AAAGAGGTTTGAGACCTTAGGTGTTCAAGTTTCTCTAGAAAAAAAATTATAGGGGTTAGTCCACTAATTAGGTTGTTTATGAAATTTAAATAAATTACTCGTTTGAAAAGTAGAAATGATGCTCATGTACCATGAAAATATGTTTAGCATAAATTAATATAAATTTATAGTGTGGTTAGGTATTCCTAAAGAAACACCAAATAACTTAAATCCTATAGATATTATTTATTGGAAAACTCAATATTTTCGAAAGGGTTAGCCCACACAAATTTCAAGATAAATTAAAAATATGATATTTTTGTTTTAATGTATAGCTGCATCAGGCACTTACATAGTATGAATATTAATGAGGTTTGAGACCTTAGGTGCTCCAGTTTCTCTAGAAAAAAATTATAAGGGTCAGTCCACTAATTAGGTTGTTTATGAAGTTAAAATAAATTACTCGTTGAAAAATTAAAAATGCTCATGTACAATGAAACTATGTTTATAATACATTTTTATAAATTTATATTGTGGTTAGGTATTTTTAAAGAAACACCAAAGAACTTAAATCGTATACATATTATTTGTTGGAGAACTCAATATTTTCGAAGGGGTTAACCCACCCAAATTTCAAGAAAAATTAAAAAATATGATATTTTTTTTTAATGCATAGTTACATCATGCACTGACATAATATAAATATTTAAGAGGTTTGAGACCTTACGTGTTCAAGTTTCTTTAGAAAAAAAAATTATAAGGGTTAGTCTACTAATTAGGTTGTTTATGAAGTTAAATTAAATTACTCGTTGGAAAATTAAAAATGATGCTCATTTACCATTAAAATATGTTTACAACACATTAATATAAATTTATAGTGTGGTTAGGTATTTTTAAAGAAACACCAAAGAACTTAAATCGTGTAGATAGTATTTATTGGAAAACTCAATATTTTCGAAGGGATTAGCCCACAAAGTTCAAGATAAATTAAAAAATATGAAATTTATGTTTTAATGCATAGCTGCACTATGCACATACATATTATGACTATTAAAGAGGTTTGGGACCTTAGGTTTTCAAGCTTCTCTAGAAAAAATATATTTATATGGGTTAGTCAACTAATTATGTTGTTTATGAAGTTAAAATAAATTACTCGTTTGAAAATTAAAAACGATGCTCATGTACCATGAAAATATGTTTAGAATACATTTAATATAAATTTATAGTGTGGTTAAGTATTTTTAAAGAAACACCAAAGAACTTAAATCGTATAGATAGTAGTTATTGGAAAACTCAATATTTTCGAAGGGGTTAGTCCACAAATTTCAAGATAAATAAAAATATGATATTTTTGTTTTAATGCATAGCTGCATCATACACTAAAATAATATGAATATTAAAGAGGTTTGAGACCTTAGGTGTTCAAGTTTCTCTTAAAAAAATTTATAGGGGTTAGTCCACTAATTAGGTCGTTTATGAAATTTAGATAAATTACTCTTTGGAAATGTAGCAATGATGTCCATGTACCAAGAAAATATGTTTAAAATACATTAATATAAATTTAGAATGTGGTCAGGTATTTTCAAAGCAACACTAAAGAACCTATATTAAATAGATAGTATTTATTGGAAAACTCAATATTTTTGAAGGAGTTAGCCCACCCAAATTTCAAGATAAATTAAAAAATATAATATTTTTATTTTAATGTATAGCTGCATCATACACTGAAATAGTATGAATATTAAAGAGATTTTAGACCTTAGGTGTTCTAGTTTCTCTACAAACAAAATTATAAGAGTTAGTCCACTAATTAGGTTGTTTATGAAGTTAAAACAAATTACTCGTTGAAAAATTAAAAATGATGCACATTTACCATTAAAATATGTTTAGAACACACTAATATAAATTTATAGTGTTGTTAGGTATTTTTAAAGAAACACTAAAGAACTTAAATCATGTAGTTAGCCCACAAATTTCAAGATAAATTAAAAATAGGATATTTTTGTTTTAATGGATTGCTGCACCATACACTGACATAGTATGACTATTAAAGAGGTTTGAGACTTTAGGTTTTCTAATTTCTCTAGAAAAATGAATTTATAGAGGTTAATCTACTAATTAGGTCGTTTATGAAATTTGAATAAATTACTCGTTTCAAAACTTGAAAGGATGTCCATGTACCATGAAAATATGTTTAGAATACATTAATATCTTTAAATAAATTACTCATTGGAAAATTAAAAATGATGCGCATGGATCTTGAAAATATGTTTAGCATACATTAATATAAATTTTGAGTGTGTTTAGGTATTTTTAAAGCAACACTAAAGAACTTAAATCGTATTGATAGTATTTATTGGAAAACTCAATATTTTCGACGGGATTAGCCCACAAATTTCAATATAAATTTAAAATATAATATTTTTGTTTTAATGCATAGATTCATCATGTAGTGACATCAAAGAGCCTAAACTCCAGTATTTAATATTTATCAGAAATTCGATATTTTCGTAGGGGTTAAACCAAATAGTTGAAGATAAATTAGAAAATATGGAATTTTTTTTTTATTGCATAGCTTCATAATTCACTGTCATATGATGAATAGTAAATATTTTTGAGACCTTAGTTATTCCCGTTTGTTAAGAAAATATATATTTTATAAGGGTAGTCCGAGAATTTTGTGATTATTAAATTTCTCTTTAAAATTAAAAAAAAAAACAATGTCCATGTACCATAAAAACAATTTGAAAAAACATTGATATAAATTTAGAATGTGCTTAGATATTTTAATCCACATTAAAGAGCCTAAACTTCCGTATATAATATATATCAGAAAATTTGATATTTTCGTAGGGATTAACCCACCATTTGAAGATAAATTAGAAAATATGATATTTTTATTTTTTGCATAGCTTCATCATGCAATGTCATATGATGAATAATAAATAGGTTTAAGACCTTAATTATTCCATTTTTCAAGAAAATACAGATTTTATATGGGTTACTCCGCAGAATTAGGTGATTATTAAATTACTCTTTAAAAATAAAATAAAAACAATGTCCATGTACCATAAAACAATTTGAAAAAAAATATTAATATAAATTTAGAATTCTATTATGTATTTTAATCAACATTAAAGAGACTAAACTTCGGTATATGATAGTTATTCGAAAATTCGATATTCTCGTGGGGGTTAACCCACACATTTGAAGATAAATTATAAAATATGATATTTTTATTTTTTGCATAGCTTCATCATGCACTGTCATATCATGAATAATAAATAGGTTTGAAACCTTAATTATTTCATTTTGTCAAGAAAATACAGATTTTATAGGGGTTAGTCCGCGGAATTAGGTGATTATTAAATTACTCTTTAAAAATAAAATAAAAAAATGTCCATGTACCATTAAAACAATTCGAAAAAACATTAATATAAATTTAGAATTCTATTTGGTATTTTAATCAACATTGAATAGTCTAAACTTCGGTATATAATAGTTTTCTGGAAATATTATATTTTCGTAAGGGTTAACCCACATATTTGAAGATAAATTTAAAAATATGATATTTTATTTTTTTGCATAGATTTATCATGCACTGTAATATGATAAATAATAAATAGGTTTGAGACCTTAATTATTCCATTTTTCCAAGAAAATACAGATTTTGGGGTTAGTCCGCGGAATTAGGTGATTATTAAATTACTCATTAAAAATAAAATAAAAAATGTCCATGTACCATCAAAAAAATTTTAAAATACATTAATATATATTTATATTTATATTTGGTATTTTAATCAACATTAAAGAGCCTAAACTTCGGTATATAATAATTATCCGAAATTCGATTTTTTCATAGGGGTTAACCCACATATTTGAAGATAAATTAGAAAATATGATATTTTTATTTTTTTGCATAGATTCATCATGCTCTGTCATATGATGAATAATAAATAGCTTTGAGACCTTAATTATTCCATTTTGTCAAGAAAATATAGATTTTTAAGGGGCTAGTCCGCGGAATTAGGTTATTATTAAAATACTCTTTAAAGTAAAATAAAAACTATGTCCATGTACCATAAAAAAAATTAACATACATTAATATAAAATTATGTCCATATACCATAAAATTATGTTATTATTAAATTACTTTTTAAAATAAAAAAAACGATGTCCATATACCATAAAATTATGTGATTATTAAATTACTTTTTAAAATAAAAAAAAACGATGTCCATATACCATAAAAACAATTTGAATATACATTATGTAAATTTAAAATGTGATTAGATATTTTAACCAACATTAAAGAACCTAAACTCCAGTATTTAAACAAGTGAATAAAATACCCTATTGAGTTCTAGGGATAAAAATGCTCTAAGAGCAACCATGATCTCATCATCAGGTAATCGACTAGATCAAACCCATTATTAAGATTCTGACATCAAATAAATTTTAATCGACAACGAAGAGAGCAATGATGTATCCTTTACGATATTTATCTCCCCACGTTAAGCCGGATTAGAAAAAAAGTTGATGCATGAAACATTCCTTACGATATTACGTTCCCACGTTATGCATAACAAACAAAATAAAATAGATTGATGATGATGCATATTCTTTACGAGACTAACTTTCAACGTCATGCATAATAAAAACAATAACAGCTATATGCATCAACCGTCACACGAATCAAATTATATAATACAACGGCATGGGGCCAATTTGAATATAGCTAGATAAGCCAAATTGGGTAAGCATCTGACCATTTCTTTTCTCTCCCGTTTCTTCTAACATCTCCTGCGTGGAACCCAGCGATGCAATGGCATCAGTTTACTCCATGTTCCAACATTCACGATGCAATGGAACTGGTTTACGCAATGACATCGAATTTCACTAATGATATGTATATTTTACGGAATGGACTGGTTCAAAAATATGTAAATATGTAGATATATATAGCCTATCTCTCTCAAATATATCGTAAAACTTCAACTCCTCCAAAACCTAGCCGTATAATGGCATCGGTTTACGCCACCCTAGCCTACTGGCTCGTAAACCACCCCAACATTGCCAATTTTACGTGGACTGAAGGTGAAACCCTTGGCTCCACAGTATTCTTCGTCTTCGTTGTAGTCTCCGTTTATCTCTCGGCCACATTCCTCCTTCGATATGTCATGGTTTCACTCCCCGCACTCGGTCCACGAATCCTCAAACCAATCACAGCCATCCACAGCCTTATCCTCTGCCTCCTCTCCCTAACCATGGCCGTTGGTTGCACTCTCTCCCTAGCCTCGTCGCCTGACATTGTGCCATCAAACCCTACAGCGCGTTTCTTCCGGTCGATTTGTTTACCCCTCGACGTGAAGCCTAGTGGACCGCTCTTCTTTTGGGCTCAAGTCTTCTACCTCTCGAAGATCCTTGAGTTTGGAGACACACTCCTCATCATACTCGGCAAATCATTCCAACGGCTCTCGTTTCTCCATGTGTATCACCATGCAGTGGTTGTGATCATGTGCTTTGTTTGGCTTCGAACTCGACAATCCATGTTTCCCTTCGGGCTAGTGGCTAATTCGACGGTCCATGTCATCATGTACGGTTACTACTTCCTATGCGCCATAGGATGTAGGCCGAAGTGGAAGAGGCTGGTGACGGATTGTCAGGTTTTGCAGTTTCTTTTGGCATTTGGGTTTGCCGGTTGGATGTTCCAAGAGCATGTTTTCGGGTCGGGATGCTCTGGTTTTTGGGCATGTGGTTTCAACGGTGTGTTTAATGCTTCTCTCTTGGCTCTCTTCTTCAACTTCCGCTCCAAGAATTATGCCAAGAAGACAATACTGGATACGTGGGCAGAAATGATTAAAGATGTTGGTAAAAAGGCGATTGGATCCAAAAAGATTGATTAAATAATTTTGAATGGTTAAATATCGGTCTCTTGATGTGTTTTTACTCGAAATTGATGTTGGGGTTGTTTGAAATTGTTTTATTGTGAAATAAAATGACAAGAAATAAAAATGTCACGTAAATCATCATGTAAGTCCACTGAATTAGGTGAAATATGAAATTTTATTAAATTATTCACTAAAATACTAGAAATGATGTCTATGTACCATGAAAATAATTTTAACATATACTAGTATAAATTTAGAACTTGATTAGGTAAATTTTTAACAACAATAAAGAGCCTAAACTTCTCAATTTAACATTTATCAAAAAACTTTATTTTTCGTAAAAGTTAATCCACATATTTCGAGAAAAATTAGAAAATATTAAAATTTTGTTTTAACACATATTTGCATCATTAACTGACATAGTATGAAGGTTAAAGATGTTTGGGACCTTAGGTGTTCATATTTCTCTAGAAAATAGAATTTTTGTTATAGGAGTTTGCCCAGTGATTGAGTGGTATATGAAATTTAAATAAATTATCTGTTAAAAATTTTGAAATGATCTCCATGTACCATGACAATAATTTTAACATACACTAATATAGATTTAGAATTTTATTAGGTAACTTTTTATCAAAAATAAAGAGCCTAAATTTTTGAATATAGCATTTATCGAAAAACTCGATTTTTTGTAGGGGTTAACCCACATATTTCGAGAAAAATTAGAAAATAAGTAAATTTTGTTGTAATGCATATTTTAATCATGCAGTGACATAGTACAAAGGTTAAATAGGTTTGAGACGTTACGTGTTCATGTTTCTCCATAAAATAGAGTTTTTGTAAAGAGTTTGTTCATTGATTAAGTGGTATATGAAATTTAAATAAATTACATGTTGGAAAATTAGAAATGATGTCCATGTACTAGGTAAATAAGTTTATCATACATTAATATAATTTCTGAGTTTGTTAGGTATTTTGAGTTTAGTATATATAGCATTTATTAGAAAACTCAATCTTTTCGTAGGGGTTAACCTACATATTTCAAGATAAATTAAAAAATATGATATTTTGTTTTCATGCATAATTTCATTATGAACTGCCATATGATGAAGATTAAAGAGGTGTCTTACCTTAGTTGTCCATGTTTCTCTAGAAAATAAAGATTTTATAAGGGGTTAGTCCACTAAAATAGGTGAAATATGGAATTTTATTAAATTATTCACTAAAATATTAGAAATGATGCTTATGTACAATGAAAATAATTTTAAAATATACTAGTATAAATTTAGAACTTTATTAGGTAAATTTTTATCAAAAATAAAGAGCTAAAATTCTCAATTTAGCATTTATCAAAAAACTTTATTTTTCGGATTAATCCACATATTTTGAGAAAAATAGAAAATATTAAAATTTTGTTTTAACGCATTTTGCATCATTAACTGACATAATATGAAGGTTAAAGATGTTTGGGACCTTAGGTGTTCATGTTTCTCCAGAAAATAGAATTTTTGTTATAGGGGTTTGTCCACTGATTGAGTGGTATATGAAATTTAAATAAATTACCTGGTGAAAAATTTGAAATGATCTCCATGTACCATAACAATAATTTTAACATACACTAATATATATTTAGAATTTTATTATGTAATTTTTTATCAACAATAAAGAGCCTAAACTTTTGAATATAGTATTTATCGAAAAACTCAATTTTTTGAAGGGGTTAACCCACATATTTTGAGAAAAATTAGAAATATGTAAATTTTGTTTTAATGCATATTTTCATCATGCAATGACATAGTACAAAAGTTAAAGAGGTTTGTGACGTTAGGTGTTCATGTTTCTCCATAAAATAGAGTTTTGTAAGGGGTTTGTTCACTTATTAAGTGGTATATAAAATTTTAATAAATTACATGTTGGAAAATTAGAAATGATGTCCATGTACTAGGTAAATAAGCTTATCATACATTAATATAATTTTTGAGTTTGTTAGGTTTTTTTAACGTACACAAAAGAGGCTAAAGTTTAGTATATATAGTATTTATTGGAAAACTCAATCTTTTCGTAGGGGTTAACCTACAGATTTCAAAATAAATTATAAAATATAATATTTTGTTTTCATGCATAATTTCATTATGAACTGCCATATCATGAAGATTAAAGAGGTGTCTTACCTTAGTTGTCCTTGTTTCTTCAGAAAATAAAGATTTTATAAGGGGTTAGTCCACTGAATTAGGTGAAATATGAAGTTTTATTAAATTATTCACTAAAATAATAGAAATGATGCCCATGTACCATGAAAATAATTTTAACACACACTAATATAAATTGATAATTTGATTAGGTAAATTTTTATCAACAATAAAGAGCCTAAAATTCTCAATTTTGCATTTATCGAAAAAAAATATTTTTATTTAGGGGTTAATCCACGTATTTCGAGAAAAATTAAAAAAATATGAAAAAAAAATAATGCATATTTGCGTCATTCACTGACATTGTATGAAGGTTAAAGATGTTTGAGACTTTAGGTGTTCATGTTTCTCTCGAAATAGAATTTTTGTTATAGGGGTTTGTCTACTGATTGAGTGGTATATGAAATTTTAATAAATTACCTATTGAAAAATTTGAAATGATGTCTATGTACCATGAAAATAATTTTAATATACACTAATATAAAATTTTTAATTTGATTAGTTAATTTTTGATCAACAATAAAGAGTCTAAACTTTTGAATATAGCATTTATAAAAAAACTCGATTTTTTATAGGGGTTAACCCATATATTTCGAAAAAAATAGAAAATATAAAAAAAAATTGTTTAATGCATATTTGCATCATGCAGTGACATAGTAAAAAGGTTAAAGAGGTTTGAGACGTTAGGTGTTCATGTTTCTCAATAAAATAGAGTTTTTGTCGGGGGAATGTTCACTGATTAAGTGGTATATGAATTTAAATAAATTACATGTTGAAAAATTAGAAATGATCTCCATGTACTAGGCAAATAAACTTATCATACATTAATATAAGTTTTGAGTGTGGTTAGGTATTTTTAAATAGCACAAAAAGGTTAAACTTTAGCATTTATTGGAAAACTCAATCTTTTTGTATGGGTTAACCTACATATCTTAATAAATTAAAAAATATGATATTTTGTTTTCATGCATAATTTCATCATGAACTGACATATGATGAAGATTAAATAGATGTCTTACCTTAGTTGTCCATGTTTCTCTAGAAAATAAAGATTTTATAAGGAGTTAGTCCACTAAATTAGGTGAAATATGATGTTTATTAAATTATTCACTAAAATATTAGAAATGTTGCCCATGTACCATGAAAATAATTTTAACATGCTAATATAAATTTAGAATTTGATTAGGTAATTTTTTATCAACAATAACGAGCCTAACTTCTGAATTTAATATTTATCAAAAAAATATGTTTTCTTAAGGGTTAATCCCTCATATTTCGAGAAAATTTGAGAATATGAAAATTTTGTTTTATTGCATATTTTCGTCATTCAGTGACATAGTATGAAAGTTAAAGATGTTTGAGACCTTAGGTGTTCATCTTTCTCCAGAAAAATAGAATTTTTGTTATAGAGATTTGTCCACTCATTGAATGGTATATGAAATTTAAATGAATTACCTATTGGAAAATTTGAAAAGATGTCCATGTACCATGAAAATAATTTTAACATACACTAATATAAATTCAGAATTTGATTAGGTAATTTTTTTATCAGCAATAAAGGGCCTAAATTTCTGAATATAACATTTATAGAAAAACTCGATTTTTTTGTAGGGGTTAACCCACATATTTCGAGAAAAATTAGAATATATAAAAAATTTGTTTTAATGCATATTTTCATCATGCAGTGACATAGTACGATGGTTAAAGAGATTTGAGATGTTAGGTGTTCATGTTTCTCCATAAAATAGAATTTTTGTGGGGGGGGGGGATTGTTCACTGATTAAGTGGTATATGAAATTTAAATAAATAACATGATGGAAAATTAGAAATGATGTTCATGTACTAGGTAAATAAGCTTATCATACATAAATATAAGTTTTGAGTGTGGTTAGGTATTTTTAAATAGTATAAAAGAGACTAAACTTTAGTATATATAGTATTTATTGGAAAACTCAATCTTTTCTTAGGAGTTAACTTACATATTTTAAAATAAATTAAAAAATATGATATTTTTTTCATGCATAATTTCATTGACATATGATGAAGATTAAAAAGGTGTCTTACCTTAGTTATCTTTGTTTCTCCAGAAATAAATATTTTATAAGGGATTATAAAGATTTTATATGGGGTTATAGTGGCTTCATTGTCTGGCTCTTACATTGCATATATTTTAATATGATTTTACAGATAAGTTGGGACATCTTATTCTTAGGTTGCGAAGATATTTTTATGGTATAAGAATGACTAATCAAACTTTAAATCCTAAGAACAAATCCAATGGACTCAAAGAGTATCTAAACATTTAAAAAAAAACGGAAAGAAAACACAATAAGTTCTAACAGAAGAACTTTTGAGAGCTCACTCCTTTTTTTACTTGTCATTATCTTACTAGCTTCTATATTTAATTTTAATAATTTTTTAAAAAAAACTAATTAGCATGATGTACCATTGGTAAACTATACCATTGGTAAACAAGAGATAATATGCCATTGGTAAACAAGAGATAATATACCTTCCATCATTTCAAAGTTTACCAATGGTATATTATCTCTTATTGCGATATACATAGTTTTTATTAAACTTTGAAATTTTATTACCTACTAATTTTGACAGGTATCTTACCAAAATCTAGTAAAACCAATCAAGTTTCATCGGAAATAAATAAATGAATAACAAGCTGAGCCGAATTCATTGAATTAATCAAAATAAGTGAGATCCGAATTAGCATAAACTGAACCCGAAATATAGACATATTTTGATTTTCCTTTATATTACCATAACTGAACTGTAACTTTCAGAAATCTGAACAGAACTAAAGGACAGTTTGTTTGGTTCACAACTATCAGGTCTCATATCTTGTATATCCAAACCGACATCGATCCAAATACCCTAATACTGTAACACAGGTACATCAACCTTATGTTTCATCATCACGTCAGCGACTGTATCAAATCCATTAGAAAACTCTTACATCAAATAAATGATGCATTCTTTACGACACTACCTTCCCACGTTATGCATATAAATTAAAGATGCATGATATATTCTTTACGATGTTTACGTCCGCACGGCAAACGTTATGCATAATAAACAAAATAGAATAAATTGATGGTGCACATTCTTTACGATATTATTTTCCACGTTAATGCATTATAAAAACACTAACAATGCAATGCAGTAACCACCCCATGAGGCAATGGTATCGGTTATACGCAATGACAATGAATCTCACTAATAAAAGAACATGTTCAATATATATATGAGTGGCCTCTCTCTCTATTTACCATATTCTCAAATTTCAACCCCAACAAAACTTCGCCAAAGAATGGCATCGGTGTACTCCACCCTAACCTATTGGCTTGTGAACCACCCTAACATTGCCAATTTTACCTGGACCGAAGGTGAAACCCTTGGCTCCACCGTCTTCTTCCTATCCGTTGTAGTCTCCATTTACATCTCTGCCACATTCATCCTCCGAAATGTCATGGCTTCACTCCCCTCACTCGGTCCCCGTATTCTCAAACCAATCACAGCCATCCACAGCCTCATCCTCTGCCTTCTCTCCCTAATCATGGCTGTTGGTTGCACTCTCTCCATAACCTCAGCCCCAACGACACGTTTCTTCCACGCTACTTGTTTCCCAGTCGATATTGAACCTAAAGGACCCGTTTTCTTCTGGGCTCAAGTCTTCTACCTCTCCAAGATCCTTGAGTTTGGAGACACACTCCTCATCATACTCGGCAAATCATTCAGACGACTCTCGTTCCTCCACGTGTACCACCACGCGACTGTGTTGATCATGTGTTTCATCTGGCTCCGAACCCGACAGTCCATGTTTCCGGTCGGGGTCGTGACGAATTCGATGGTCCACGTCCTTATGTACGGTTACTACTTCATGTGCGCCGTAGGTTGTAGGCCAAGGTGGAAGAGGCTGGTGACGGATTTTCAGCTTGTGCAGTTTGTTTTCGGCTTTGGAATATTGGCTTTGATGTTATCACAGCATTTTTATGGATCGGGTTGCTCCGGGATTTGGGGAAGTTATTTTACAGCTGCGTTTAATGCTTCTCTCTTGGCTCTCTTCTTCAACTTCCGTTCCAAGAACTATGTGAAGAAGACAACCGAGATGATTAATAAATTGGCTTGAACTGTTAAGAGTCTCTATCTCTTCTTATTTGTTGTTACTGAAAAATGTTGGGATTGCTTGAAATTGTTTTACTATGAATAAGATGATAAAAGGTATTGAAATGTCACATATATGAAATGACTTATTTCGATGATATATACAGCATTCGCTAACCAAAGTTTCTCTAAGAATGACTAATCAAATATTTAATTAATAATATCTCTAAATTATGTGTTGTATTGTATATCTACAATCGCACTCCCCATTTCTAGTTTGTAGTCCAATATTTTTTTAAGGCAATAGTTGCAAGCTAGAGATTAAGTAGAGACGATGAAGACAAGTGAGGCGGGGCTGGGATTCACTAATGAATAATCAAATCCTTAATACGACGGGTTTAACAGAACTTTGGGTTAGTCTTTACTTTGGCCCAACCCAACAAAAAAAATTATTTTAGCCTTGATTTTTATAGGTATTATCAAAAGGACAAAAAAAATTAGGATTTTAGAAAATTGAGGAAAAGATACCCATTTATAAACATTCCTAAATGTGGAGAATTTGCAATTTGAGAATGTTGTTTAGTTTGGAACATCAATAAGAGGCTTGGTGTTTGACTTCAACATCTTCTTACCAACTTCCATAGAAATTAAATGGTAAATTTGTTTGCTGCTTTATAATAAGCATGAGTTCATCTTTGACTTGTTGCTCTATTGTTTTTCGAATTTCATTTTAACGTTGAAATCCAATCCATCACCTAATTTCACATTAATCAAGAAGGTCAAATGGTTTTGGTTAGTTTCATTAACAGATGATGAACACATATTTATTTATTTTTGTCAATGATGAACACATATAAACACAACTTTTTGGTCTTTGCCACTAAGATTATGCAAATTTGGGTTCGACTTCCATTTACAAATGTTTGATCTTCCTGATTTAGATGAAAAGTGTTTCACTGATCTTTTATTGCTGTATAACCTTAAACTCTTCTTTGACTAATAACTTGTTGGCTTAATAATTTACTTTAGGCAACTCTCACATTTTTATATTAATCTACAATATTGAATATTTGACTTCATATTAAACATATATAAACGAGTAAGCGACCACGTAATTACGACCAAGAAAATCATACAAAATCTCATATTCAACCATGTTCATAACTTATTTTAATTATCGTGCAAGATAAAGTGGTTTAGTAAGAGAAATCACTCAGTTATGCAAATAAAATAACGTTAAAATACACTAATTTATCATATGATGAGCTTTGGGTAAAACTTCCGTTTTTGACTTGTCAACAAAGACTCGAGACTCCAAAACGCACGAGTGGGTTTTGTCACTAACTCCAAGAGTTCTTTGACTACTTTGACCCGATGACACGTCCAATTTAATATCTTCTTATACGAGTACCAAGTCAAAATCTAACAAACAATTTTGATGTTCTTGATTTCTCTAGAGATATAATATTGATAATTATTCATTTAATAATGCTCCTAGCATGTTAAATCCAATACGAATATTGTCGAGTCTCGGTTATCATACGTTTAGCGTTTATGTTTTACTTGACCTACATCATTGTTGGCACTTAAACTTGAGCTAAATGGGTTTATGTACTTATATGGAAATTAATGATTTGATAAAGTACCATTTATTAATTTCTTAGATTAACAAATTGCTTATTACGACTCTGATGAATTATTGTATAGTAAACCCAGAAGAGAAAACAAATCACACATCGTGTTCATGTTTTCACACTTTCATGATCATTGTTTACAAAGCTATCTTATATAGTTTTATGTTTGTCGATAGCCATCTTATATAAGACGTCCCTTTTAGATGGGGCAAAATTATGTACGATAAAGAAAAAGCCAAAGAATTAAGGCAATTTTAAGTGACAAAAGTTGGTTTTAACGACAAAAATGTATGTCTTTAAACAAACATCATGTTTCCTTTGCGAAGCATTAGAGAAAAGATGAGCGAAAAAGTAATAATTATAAACAAGGCACTTGTGTTCTCCACTTTGGAGGATACCACATTGCTTATAATATAAGTTTGAAGCTTCTTAATTATAATCCTAAAAACTACTTGATGTTCCCTATTAGTTTGGTTTTCATTCATATTATATCTAACCTTTCATATTTGCTTTCACATTTAACATTCTGCCTCGCTAGTTTCACTAGAAAACGTGGATGAATTCATAAATAAATCATATGAAGTAAACTGAGTCTAATAGTTCGTATTAGAAGCTTCGCACATGAAACTTCACAAATAAAGTACATGTTTTACGCGAGGGTCGTCTAACAGTGTGTTCTACTGGAGCGGTTGAACATGGTCCAAATCTAAAAATAAAAAATACTAAAAAATTTGCAAAAATAAATTCATAAATATAATTTAAATATCAAATTTTTATATATCTTTTAAATTTACAGTTCATAATTTAAAGAAAACAGCAAACATATATATATAAAAATGTTAACTTTAAAATTATTTTATTACATTAAATATATAGTTAACTTTTTTTTGAACAGGACCCTATAATTCGAGACGGTCCTGTTTTACCTAATGCATGTATGTCAACTATTTATGCAATAAGCCATCCTATATCCTCAACAAATAAAAGGAGTAATATACTATCCGATCATCTTTTTGTGGATGGTTTACTTTTCATGTAAAATTATATAAATTATATCAACTGAGACGTAAAAGAACCAGATTTGAAACATATTGGAATGTGAATCCGCGGATATATGTGTATTTTAATTAGCAATAATATAATGTCAAAAGAGAAGTACGTGTAGTTGTTCAAAGTATGTTATATAATTGTCAAAACAAGTCGTTTGTTTAGTCCCACTTCAAATCAATTGATAATGGAGTTTTACTTCCCTACATCCTACATTTTTCAACACAATTGTTAAATTAATTGTTGTTAATAAAACTTCTTATTTTGCGGCCTTTTATCCAACAGTCATATCCTGATTTCTATAAGCGTGACTAGAGGAGATTTTTTCATCTTGGTTCATCTGGATTTTTTGTTAATCTTGTTTATCTTTTTCATAAGTATCACCCCGAAAGTCTGGAGGATTAAACGTGTTTTACCCTAGAAATTTTATTGAAATGTGGCTTGCTATACTTAGTATGACGATGAACTAATAACAACTAGGTGATAAATTGTTTGTCGTTTAACACTATGAACTTTTGGAAAAGAAAAGCAGTCGTCGTGCAAAGATATAGTTCATTCTACAAAAATGAGCCGATAGATGACATACCAGTAGTTATTAGTCCTATCTATTTTGGACTTTCAGTAATTTCTAATTTATTTTTTTGGTGTATATATATGTTCAAAAATATACAGTAAATAATGAATGGAAGGGCTGTCATTGTTCAGGGAGGACTTTGTATGTTTAAAGGGCCATTGAATCTAGACTTGAAACTACTTATCGCATGTCTCATTCAGACAGAACTTTATAAACCTCAGAGATGTTAGAAAAAGAAGAAGAAAAAAAAACATTATGATACCAAAATTATCGAAATCTATATCCCACTTATCATTATATTTGTCTATTCAGATTACATTTCGTAAAGAAAATCCAAAACAGCCAGAGTTTCCAAATTTATCCATATGATTGATTGTAAATAAACATAATACATTAGTTATAAATAAAATGGCCAATTAAGATGCTAAACTATCTACTAAACGTGTGGATTAGCTGAACACCGATAGGAGTCATCGGCATATATCTGTATTTTAGATTCAGAAGCAAAGACGATGTAAAAGCACTTAGTAATATTTTCTTTATTTGTATCTACACATTTCTGGAACAATATCATCATCGTTGTCGTCATTTTCATATGCATTTTCAAGCGTAATCATTTCAGATTAATCTTATCCTTAAACCATTTTCATGCGTTGTTATAGATTACTTTAAATAAGATAAGTTATGCATGTCTAAGGGTAAAATTATATGCAAATGTGGTCCTGGAAACACACATGCCCTCGCATTAACCAATACACGTAATCGTATTCAAGATTTGGAACTTTGGATTGACAAAACCTATTTTATAATGATTTAGAGAAACTTTGATTGCCTGTTGGTCCGTGTGTTCTGTTCACTATATCACCAAAACGTTTTTAGTTTAAAAAAACAATATTGCAGCTGAACGTACTTATTCAAAAATGAACTCAACATATTTGACATACGTGACGAAAAAATATTGTTTCATGGATAAACCAGCTATCGAAGAACGCAAAGATAAATCGAGTATTAGAAAATCGACATAAGAAAACGATTAAAATATATATTACGCATAGATGTTAATCAATACATTTAAACTTAAATCATATGACTTTCACTGTTTTTCTTCTAGTTTTGTTTTGTTAAACACATCTTTTTCTTCTTTTTTTTGAATTTTTAGTTTGATCTGTTCACATTGTTTGGGTTTTATGGAAATACTTACGTCTTTGCTGTATAGAAAAGGCATTTTCCTTACTAAGATTCAATTTCTTGGACTTATTTACGATACTCGTGACCATATAACATGTTAAATTGCGGCGAAACTTATAAAAGGAAAAAAGTGAGATATTATTATATAAAACAAATACATGAACACATTGATGTATGCGAGCGTGTGTGATGTGGTTCTAGGTGGTTCCTTTGAATTTGTGCCTACTAATGATGCCCACAAATATTCTTTGGCACATTGTTTATTGTTTCACAATTTGGCCTAATCACATAACCTATGAAAACTAAGTATACATTATTACCTCTTTAATTAGTTATTTTCATTAATCAGATTAGGATATCAACCAACCAAACTAATTAGAGTTCACGACTTACAAGTCTTGAAAGAAAAAGATTTATTTCAGTCTTTGGCACAATATTGTTTATTGATTCACATGATTTGGCCTAATCACATAAGTTATGAAAACCAAGTATACATTATTACCTCTTTATTTCAATGATGTTCCTTAATGTAAAGAATGATCCTTCTATATCATTTCTAAACAATATCAAATATATAAACTAGTACGTGTAAACATATCCTTTGAAAAAAATTAAGTCTAAACATATCAAATATCTAAAGATTAATTTCTATTTTTTTTATCAACGATAAATTTCTAATATAAGTATGCTGTTTATGATGTACTTAAGAGACTAGTTTTTAATATAAGATTTGGTTTCCTAAAAGAAAGACATCAGTGGATCTAAGACAAATCATTACTCCTACGTATATGATATACCTGTGCTTATTAATTCTGTGTTTTGTAATTTGTGAGTGTGTTTCAAGTCATTTACACTTCGCTTACTTTATAGTAACAACACGTGATGTCCGTGCCATCTAAAAATTGTCGTCTTGTCAATGTGAAAAGTCCATCAAATGCAGAGAATGTGCATATACTACTAGTACTACTAGCTATTCTCATTTGGTTTTTGCGGTAGTGAAGGTTTAGAGATACCATAATGTTCAATTCTGCATATAGAAACTATAATGGTTTCCACTTGGTTGAAGGTTAATATAATATAGAAACTATTAAGTCTGCTTGTTATATCCTGAAGACTTAAACATTGATTTTGATCAGCAAAATGAGTTGATATATTGCCAAGTTGATTCATTATTAATTAGTTCGGTATCGTTTACTAGTATGTTTTGGATTTTGCATTTAAATGTACAAAAAGGTGTAGTGAATAATATTTAATTAATTACAACAATTAGTGTAGTTGCTTTGAGCGTGGCTGCGTGGGGGTATTTTCGGAGAGTGGTCCTATTTTTAATAATTCTCGGTTAATTTGTGTGACGTTATGTACTGGAATAAGTCATGCTACAGTAGAATATTAAAGAAACATCAGCTACGTTTTAGAAGAAAAAAATAGTAATCCATCTTAACTTTTTTTTTTTTAATAATCCGCCTTTACTAATTTGTCATTATATATAGCATTGGCCCACTCGTTAAACAAAAATCAGCTACAGTCGAACCTCTATAAATTAATACTAGATAAATTAATATACATTAAATATCTCTATAAATTAATATAACTTTAAATTGAATTTTTGGTTCAATTAATATATCTATAAATTAATATCTCTCTAAATTAATAAAAAAATAAAATGTTGGTGTACTCCCAACATTATTAATTTATAAAGGTTTCACTGTATTTCTAAGAACTAGCGAAGTTGCTGATTCTTTCCTATCTTAAAACTTTTTTTATTTAGTATGAAATAGTGTTAATCTGGGTATATTATAAGAGTGACAGGAAATTTTTATATCCAGTTAGAATATGGGTATATTATAAATCTATGGACAGGTGAAACATGTATATATTTATTTATTTGTTTATTTCTAGTTTTTATGTTTGCTAAGTTTGGCGTTAATTTTAAGTTTTGACAAAGGATATACCCTTATATATATATATATATATATATATATATATATGTATATTTCATCATTTCTATCTATTTTGTAGGAAATTCAAGCAGTTATCCAATTCAAATCGTGCATGAAGGCCTTGAGAGCTTTCAAGTACTTAAGTGAGATAATACCAAAGTTCGCTGTTATGGTGAAGTTACATATATCAACTTGTCTATTTATGGTCAGCATGAATTAAATTTAAGATAAAATAAATTACAAACTCTTCACCGGAAATATATTTATTATTAGCAACTTGTTTGAAAAACCCCAATTCATAAAAGGAAATAAAAACACAAATTAGTAGTAATAAATAAAAATCAGAGAACAAAAACTCAGTATACTATTTACAGAGTTGAAGCCAGCGGGTCAACTTATGAAACTGAGTACTTAATTAAGTGCTAAGTGATAATTAACCCTTTACATTTTTGATCCTTCCAGAGTCTATTAACTGATATTTTAACTGGACGGCATCTTTGTCTACGTGTAGACCTCTAGCATCATTAATTAAAGACGACAACGTGTTTTTGCACAAAATTAACTATTCCGGGGCATGTTGTTCTTAAATAATACCCCTACTACAAGTTGCTTCTTTTTGAACTTCAGTTACAGGCTTTTATTGACAGTTTTATTCTAGAATCAGTGTCCATTCTATCGCCAACGTAACAGAATATTTATAGTGTTATTTATTTATTTAGGATGAAGATCTCTAACGATTTATAGTGATAATTATACCACCTAAACCTATAGACTCCACCATATAGTTTTTACTGAAAAGTTACATTGAGTTATGCTGTAATTCAACTGTAATACTACAACTTTCACAAAGGAAAGAAGAAACAATATGAATTATATCACAAAAGACTTCATTTTATCATGCTTTATAAAATTTTGTATTTAATATGTATTTTAGGAACTATACTTACTTGTTGATTATGATGCTTAATTATATATTACATAATGCGAGATTATAGTTAATTATTACTACTCATATATAAATGTGTGTGTGTGTGTGTGTGTGTAAAATTATAAGAAAGAAATGAATTGTATCTTCAAATATAAGCTAAAACTACGTTTACAAAAACAAAACAAAAATAAAATGAAATAAAATGTTCAGTACCAATCTTACTATGAAACCTTCCATACTAGAAAATTTACATATGTCAAAACTGTATTGACTAAGGACACGTGTTTCAATCATTTTAATTGTAAAGTTTGAGGAATCAAAATTCAAAATGTATCCCTCGTTAGTAAACTAACTCATAATATTGATTAAGTGGTTGCAAATTTCGTAGGATAGAACTTGGAAAGCTTACCTTTCATAAGAGAATATATGTTCAGCCAAATGGACTATTCGTATTCGATAGTTTCCTTTTCTATACATCATGAATATAAAACTTCAAACCAGAATATGAGTTTAAAAAATATTACAAACAGAATGTGGAGTACTCAAGATAAAAAAAAAAAAAATTGAATCAATAAATATAGTTCTTATATTACGGCTGTCTATTCTCTTCGTCGCACATGTTCCAAATATTTAATTTCTTAAAATGAAAAGAAAATTTGAAAACTATCATCTTTTCTCCTCTATAAAACCCACAACCTCTCTTTTTCTTGTGCATTCAAAACTCATCCTTTCTCTATCTACACATAACTCCAAAAAACAATAACAATTTCTCTCTTTCTCTCTTTCTCAAAACCACAAAGAAAATAAAAACAGAAAGACCCAATCGTTTTGCTAGGGAATCTCTTTGTGGTCTCTTCGTTTGCATCAATGGATGAGAGAGCAAGAAGCTTGAAGAACAACAGCATGGAAGACGAAATGGACCTGAAAAGAGGTCCATGGACCGCGGAAGAAGATTGTAAGCTCATAAATTACATTGCTACTAATGGAGAAGGTCGATGGAACTCTCTTTCTCGTTGCGCTGGTATGGTTCATTTCAAGTTAATATACAACTGTATATATGTATGTTCTACTCCTATGTGCATCTTTTTGGCTAAAAAGAGCCAGAGGACAAGTCACAAACATAATTTTGATTTGTTCACTTTATGTTCAATCCTTTTTCATGTTTCAATCACCATGTGTGATTATGTTTTTTCTTTGTTCTTTAGATTGCCGACCTTTTCTATCTTTAAAAAGAGATATTTTTAATTTTCGGAAAATGGTTTCTTTCCATTATATGCATAGATGAAAAGACCCTTCATAGGTATGATAGAAAAAGTGCATACCCTTGTTTCTTTTTTTTTACTCTTTTTCTTTCTAAAAATAATTCCATTCGAATAAATAAAGTATTGATTATATGAGTGAGATCTTTTAGTAATGGATTCAATTATCAACCATTTCAGTATTGAATAACATATCCAAGTTTGGTTATTAAAAAGGGGTGAAAAAGAAAGAACTAATGCGAATTAATGATCATCGTCTCTATGGGAAGAGCACTATCTCAATGGAAGAAAGCTTGCAAATTAAAAAGACCCTTTAGGACCATTTGCATTTTGCATCATACTGCGGTCCATTTTATTTTGTTGGAGAACTTGATATAACTTTACTAAATATTAAACTTTTTTTTTAAATGAGTTTCTTTCGTATGGAATCATCATATTGCCAACTGGTTAATTAATGATCATATTACATACTTTTACCAATTTAACAGGACTCCAACGTACTGGTAAAAGCTGTAGGCTTCGGTGGTTAAACTATCTTCGCCCTGACGTCCGCCGTGGAAACATTACCCTCGAAGAACAACTCTTGATCCTCGAACTTCATTCCCGTTGGGGAAACCGGTACGTAATAATATAAAACGTAATGTTTTTTTGTATTGTTTCATGGGGTATACCAAAAAATCATTGTTTTTGTCTTTTTCACACAAATAAATTTAAAACAGTTTGAACGATCTTTCACTAATGTAAATTTAACATTGATTTCTAACTAAAAGGATACGTGAAATATTTTAGTTGAGAGTGTTATATATGTATTTTACTTCAAATATATTATTTGAGAGTGTAGTATATGTATTTTACATATTTTCGTGTATCAAACTATGAATCTGAATGAGATGATACGTTTCGTGAGACGTATAAAAAAAGAATAATGACATGAACTATTAAAACGGATAAAATATCAACTTATGTGGCTTTGTATATAGATATTTGTTAATGGATAAAACACTATATATATGGCACTGCGGTATCCTAATGAATAGTAATGTAATAGATGGACACAAATAGTTTGATTATAACGTGTTTAAAACAGTTGATTTAGTTTGTGTTTTTTTAATTATAACAGATGGTCAAAAATAGCACAATATCTACCAGGAAGAACAGACAATGAGATCAAAAACTACTGGAGAACGCGAGTGCAAAAACATGCAAAACAGCTTAAATGTGATGTAAACAGCCAACAATTCAAAGACACAATGAAGTATTTGTGGATGCCTCGGCTCGTGGAGAGGATCCAATCCGCCTCAGCCTCCGCTGCAGCCCTAACCACCACCAACACCACAGGATCAGCAGCAACGTCATCTTGCATCACAACCTCTAACAATCAATTCATGACGTATGATTACAACAGCATGGGACAACAATTTGGTGTAGTGAACAACAATGATTATATCACGCCGGAAAATTCCAGCGTGGCCTTGTCTCCCGTATCTGACTTGACGGAGTACTATAGCGCTCCAAACACGAACCCGGAATACTACTCGGGCCAAGTGGGGAATAGTTATTACCCGGATCAGAACTTGGTGGGTCCACAAATGTTACAAGATAATTATTTTGATTATTCTAGGTTACTTGAAGAAGATGTACCGGCTATGCATGAGCAGAGTAATCTTAACTGGTTTGAAAATATTAATGGAGCTGCTTCCTCTTCAGACAGTTTATGGGACATTGGAGAAAATGATGAAGACTTCTGGTTTTTGCAGCAGCAACAACAGTTCAACAATAATGGCAACTTCTGAATACAATATTAAAAGATCTTTATGTACTTAATTTAACACGAAGTATACGTGTGAAAGGCATTTGTTAAGTGTAATAACTAAAGAAAAGTAATGGGTTGATATTATCTTAGGATATATGATCAGCTTTTTTATTACAAGCTTGATCATATGTCATGGCGTTTTAACAAATCGCTCAATTTGATTGGTTTTATCTGTTTTTGGGATTGTAATGCTATTTTGTAGATTATTCATAAATATGGATCATTATTATTTTATCATTTATGATAAGAAAGCAAATAATTCGTCGGAGTGGGAGTATAATCTAAACAGAAATAATTAGAATTGTTTTCACACTATAGATCGAGTGACTTCCTCATTGGAAGCATAACACAAATCATTATTCATTTAATTACTAATTTAACGACGACGAAGCTCATAATTGGTTCCACCATGATTAATATTTAACACAAGATATGACACAAACAAACAAAACAATAACACACCAAAAATGTTTTTAAAGATATAATAATGACTTGAGTACTATAAAATGTATAATCCAAGTAGTATTGCTTTTTAGGAACTGTCTATAGGGCATGTATATGGGAAATAAAGTGTGTGTGAAAGCCTTTCTATGGGTTCAAAAGAAGGCATTTAAAAACTGAAAGTATTATTCTCAACACCACGTGGCCAAAGATTGTTGGCTGCGATCTAGGCTTTGAATTTAAGGTGGACATTAAGAGGTTTATTCATCGAAAAGTTAAATGTTTGTAAAAATATGTGCTAAGTGATGATAAGCCACCACTAAACATTTCCAGAAGCCTTAATTAATTATTGGAAATCGCATTATTGTACGGACCGTTAAACCATTATCCAGACAATTTCATGTCATTACTCTGCAACACGTAAGAAACACAATGTTCAAAAATAAAAAACGTAGGAAACACCATGTCTTAATTTGGTAGCTCTAACTACCCTTCCCTCATATGCATTCTCATCCTTAATTCTGTTTAAAACACAGTTTTAGGAAATAAAACAGATCCATTATATTTTTACAGTAAAATGTTAAGTAAACAAAACAAAACAGAGAAGAAATTTTTTCTTTTAACAAAACAGAGATGAAGTTATCTCCAAGCAATAATCACTTTAAGTAGGATGCAATAGTAACCACTAAAACATTACTGGTAGAACAAAATCTCCCACCGTTTCATTTTACAATATGATATTTTTGTTAAATTTACCCACTCCAACAACCACTAGACCATGCACTTTAGCTTTTTCGCATCATTTATAGTAGTAATCAGTTACACCTCTTCTAAAGGTTGTTGTATACTGTTAATGTTGAAAATAAATGAATCTAGTTACCAAGATTGGCCAGAATCAAGACAACAGCTTAATATATAATCTAACTATCAATGAACTTTGACATTAATGTTATATTGGATACCCTATTTTCTTGAGCTGAATTTCCATTAAATGTGAGCCGTAAAAAAGAAACTATAGTTTTTAGGGCTTAAAAACCTATAGTTGAAGTCGTATTCTTTCTGTATATCAACTTGATCCTTTAAGCAATAATACGCCTTTCCTCATGTCTTCGAGTAGAATATCTTCTAAACTCAAACATAGTTTACACACATGTATTACATGAGACATATATGATGCTTATCTTATGGAATTGGCACGTGACCGAGAAGAGAAATACACGTGATTAAAGTAGTGAAGGTGAGGGACGACTTGAAAGGTGGCGGCTGCTGAGAGAATGAAAATTTGTAGACGGTGTGTGGTGTGGCCAGCAAGGAAGCCGACGCCGAAAAGCTATCCCAAAACCCATAGTGGTCCCAAATCTGAAGATCTCCATTCCTCAACAATATCTTTACCAAACTTCATTCAAAATCAATCCTAGAATTGATATGTTGAGTGCGCTACAAGGGCTTATCTCCGATCTTTATCTTATATTCCTTAGAGCACATGCATCGCGGGATAAAACTCGACGCTTAACACAAAAAGTAAGAGAAGGGTCCCACAAAAAGATAAAACTCAACGCTTCTGATGCCACAATAAGCGTCGATTTTGCTGGGTGCTTGGGCTTTCTCGCGGGCCCCACGACACGTGGCGGCCTGCGATTGGTTACACTTTAATTTTTTTTTTTTTTTTTTAACCAGAAAAAAAAAATTAAAAAAAAAATAAAAAATTTTAAGCACCTTTTTTTTTGGCTCTAGCGATAATCATGCTCTTAGCTTCTATATATCCAGTTACTTAGACCATGATTAACCCGAATTCTTAGGATTGAGTTTTTAACGGAAGTTAAGAAACTGTTTCGTAACTTTTAACTAAAAAAATTAAAAATCGATTAAATAGTTAAGTTCCTATTTAAAAACCGCCTAAAAATTAAGAAATAGTTTTTTAACTTTCGTTAAAGACCCTACCTTAGAAACTCCGGATTAATCATGCTCTTATAATCTCATTATACTTCCTGCAGAGACTTTGTCTAGTCACTATTGCAAGCTTTAAGGTAAAAAAAAACTGACATTAAAATTGACATTATTTATGTAAAAAAAAAGCAGCCCTGGTCTAATTACAAAAACAAAGGGCTTGAGCACGATTTAAGTTTCTTAACTGAGTTAACTCAGACGTGGTTGATATGTAATCTCCTTCATTGACCCAAAACAACGAAAAACTTACTTTCCCAAGTCAAACTTGTGTTAAGGTTCATTCAGAAGAGACATGACAAAGGAGAAAACACATTCAGATACATGAAATAGACTTACCCGTGCGCCACATGGCAATAAAGGATTCGATAGGGTGGATAATATTCCATTATCGAGGAAGAAAGACTGACTCCAATAGTTTTTTGAATGGTCAAGGTCAACGCGTCCCTAAACTTACACGTCGACATCAACGTGGCTTTCCTTTGGGTCCTACTTTTTCTTACATACATTAACAAATCCATATCTAATCCTGATACCAGCGAAATACATTGTATTTGGAGACTTCCCTTTTTTTCTACATAAGAGAATATGCTTGTGAGAAAGTAGCATGAGTGCATGACTATAACACACGAACAATACTTTGGAAATCTTATGGTTTTAGTATCTTGTTTCAGTTTGCATATTTGCACACTGACCCCGTACAATCTGAATTTATATAGTGAAAAAGAACTTTTTATTGTATAGCCATGGTTTTTTGCAAAAAAAAAAAAAAAAAACAAATCGGTTTTAGAATACTAGATTACACATTCGCCTGAAACAAGTCATGTGACTATATAGAGAATGTCTATGAAATTTTGGTGTTGAATGCACAAACTTAGTTAAATTGTTTTTAGAGAGAAAATCTTTTTCAACGGGAATTGAGCTTATAACTTTTAGACTAATGTTAGGTGGTTTAAGAGTTTTGGTCCACTGATTACGTTTTTGATCAGCCAATCTTGTCAAAATATTATCCAGTTTTCTGCTCTAACATATTCATCTTGCTGTATACAAAATAGTAGTTTCGAAGTTTTCACACATTTTAATGACAAATAAATACCATACAAAAGAATAATACCACTTTAATAAATAACTTTAAATGATTATAGGTAATAATTAACTTAATTAATATAAACAAAATGGAGAAATAAAATATTGAAAACACAAAACTACTATTTTGTGAAACAAATAAAAATTTCAAAACTACATGTTAACTAGTGTATGTTTGGTTGATAACTACAAACGCCCTACGTTTAAACATGTATAACGCACGCATGCATATTTTTCTAAACTAATAACATGGTAATATTAATTGTATTACAACTACTCTTTTACAACTTCAGTCTTATAAATGAGTGATTGTATTTTCAAATGAACTGTTAATGTCAAATGTTTAACTTAAAGCTCGCAACAGCGACTAGACAAAAAGTCTTCACAAGAGATAGAATGAGATGATATATAAGTAACTGGATAATATGAGTGATTGTGTTTTGGTGCAAAAAGATTGATTGTGAACACATTAACATGTACTTGCCTGTATGTTGCTCGTTCTTATTTTCCCTTTTTGGGCACAAACCATTTTAGCCACAAAAGTCTACAGCCAAAACCCCTTACTAACACGTGACAATAATAAAATCAATTGAATTATCGCTTTATTAGAGCATCTATAACAATGGATCGAGACGCAAACCAATATTAAGCACATTAAGGACTACCCAAATCGTGATATTGAAGCGATATACATGCGTTACCCTTGTAAATGATAATTCCTATTATTACCAATCTAGGAAATTTTTGTATTTATAGGTTCCGTGGTACCTTTGGACATATAAAAAGATGTTTATGTTATGTCTGTCCCGTCGTAATTTGATTGATACTTGCCTTGAAATTTGCTATACCTTAGCAACCACTTGTTTGTTTGTCTGTCTTTCGTGCTTATCTTTCTACCAATTTAAATTTGTTAAAGTTAGAATTTTCGTTGAAAATCAATCTAAAAACGATTCATCAATCTCATATATAGCTTAGTATTGTAGGGTTTGTGAGCTTTCACTACGTATGTTAGCGTAAATTTACAGATATTTTTTCCATGGTATTAGGGCATATTTGGTTGTACACATTCATACGTTTGTATTTACGTTATATGGTCATGTAAAATTCATTTGATCTTGATACCTTAATTATAATTATTCTTAGAATAAATTCAATTTCAGTGTGTTTTACCTACCAGCTTAGATCTTTCAAGAAGTACTGTTCGATAACATGTAAATATACATATGTATGTATACCTTCTAATATTCATGTACGATATATACGATATATATATATATATCAATTGTGTGTGCTGGGGTTTCTATGTTTGAAGATTGCATATTTAGAGATGAAGATAAGACCGAGTTAGCTAATAAATTAACTAGACAAGTTGATGCACGTTATATAGCGACGGTCCTATCTCATTCTAGGTTATTCAAACACAAACGTTAAGTACTAAACCCACATGCTCATTTCACGTGGTTAGGAAGCTAATATGAACACTAAGATAATACAAAATAAATTAACCACTATATATAGATCTCCATTAGTATAATTTGATAATTTAAATGCATACACATTGCCATTCTAACATGAATAATCAACTAAGTTGGCAGTATTTTCCGTTACAAAAGATTCGAGTTTGTGTATTTAAAATCAAGTAATAATCAGTTTAAAGCTTTATACCAGTTTACATTGTTGTTTTGTTAATTACATCCACGAGAAAATGTTAGTTCCTCCTCCTTTTTTCTTTAAAAAATATCATATAAATTTTTATAAAACTGCTTGATAGTATCCATTTCTTATTTGGCAGTTGCTTGAAAAAACCTATGGTAGGGATTGCGCACCACATCTCTTTTATTAGACCATATGGTCTCTTTGATATTGGGGCTGTGACCATTAGTAACTCCCTCACTGTATATCCATATATTGATAGCATTTCTAAGAAGCTTGATTTCATAGGCATCAATTACTATGGACAGGTAAGGGAGAGCTAAGAGCAAACACATTTGGCCTTGACTTTTGATCATAATACTAAAATAAGCATTTTGGAATCTAACCCCGGGAAATTAGGAATCAGTGAGTGGTGTTGGAATAAAGCTTGTAGAGACTGATGAATACAGTGAATCTGGAAGAGGGATATATCCATGATGGTCTCTACCGTGTGTTGTTGATGCTTCATGATAGATACAAACACTTGAAAATTCCTTTCATCGTCACGGAAAATGGTGTGTCTGATGAGACAGATGTGATTCGGAGGCCTTACCTGATTGAGCATCTCCTTGCTCTTTATGCGTGCAATGCTAAAGGTATTTTGTCCTTGCAACTCTCTGAATCGTACAAAAGTTTATTCCTGTTTAGCTTATGGCTTTTGTGGCTTTTTACGACAGGGTGTTCCGGTGCTTGGTTACTAGATGTATAGATTAGAAACCAAGTAACGTGCTCAAGAATGATAAGGAGAGGATGATTAACCTTGACTTGTTTATAGATTTGTTAAAAATGTTTGATGTAAATTTTCTAAATATATTTGTTTACTTGTCCAATGAAAGAAACCTTTTTCTCTGTGTATTACTTGGAATATATATCCACTACATGATATTCTTACCACATAATAGATTTTAAAGAAACGAGTATTCATTCATCAATCTTCTATTTCAACACCATCACCATCGTTGTCCTCTGTTGTGTCCTCCTGTGAAGTTTCTTCTTTAAATAGTTCTTCACTCCCCATGAGTTGTTCATATAGCTACCAAAACCAATATGTTTACATAAGATTATGAAAGAATGTATACTAGACCATGACCCGCCCGACCGAGCGGGTGTTTTGTTTTCTTTTAATTTTTAAGTTTATACTAAATGATGTAAAATAAAAAATGAAGTATCAGTTAAATGGTTACAAATTACTTATGGTTTAATTTTGACAGAAGAATACCGAAAGTTTGCTGTTTGATCCGCGCAAGTGTTTGTTTTTATATATTTTATAAGTGATAATATATATTTCTAAATTTACCCGTTTAAATAATTGTTTAAAATGACATTTTAAACACACAATTTTATAGTTTATATTGAGTAATTTTATTTTATCTTATAAACTATCATTGTCTCATACTTATTTTAAAAATATGACCCGTATATCTGCACATATGTTTTTATTTTAATTTTATGGATCAAAATTTTATGATAATGTATAACTAAATTCTTTTATTTACTATTTAAAATATATAGTCCTATATATTTCTACTTTTAAACTTTTATTATCTGAATTTACCTTGAACTATTATTTATATAAAAATATACATAACATGATATGTTTATATTAATCTTTTTATTATATATTACATAAATGTTTCTTTTTTGAATTTTATTTTAGTTATTACTTATAAATAATAAAAATATAATTATATATCTTTGAAAAAAAATCATTAACTATTTAAAGATATGTAGATAATTAATAAGATAAAAATCCTAAAATGTGGGTTAATTAATATTGGAATTAATTATTATGTATATGGAATCAGTAAAACAATTTCTATATAATTTATTTATTTAATTACGAAAGGTATATATGAAAATAATTATTTTCATTAATTATTCTTTCCATAATTTTTTTTAGTTAAAATTTGATTTTGGAAATGCATTAATTAAAGTGAAAAGACAAAGAATCCTATAATGTAGGATAATTAATAACTTCAGTGGCATAACATTGTAAATAATTAGAAAAACTTAGGGGTATTTTATATGGGTACTTCTCTTTTAATAATATAGATAACTTGTCAAGATTTGAGAAGGGTGGAGCCTTTTACTAACCTTCACTGCCGATTCCACAATCTCATTGTAGTTCAAATTTCCATCTGGACTAGAGGTGGAACTGATATTACCTCCAAATTCACCCTGATCCAAAATCAAAACTTTGATTTAGTGAAATGATATTACCATGAAGAGATGAATATGTAGATCACATTCCTCACCTTGACAAGCTCTTGCACGTACAGGGCTCTCCAGAGTAGAAGAGGTTTTGCTTCAGCAGTTACATTCTCATCTACTGAATCGCTTGGAAGATTCTCAGGAACATGCGGGCTAATGAGAGTACTCATGGCTGATAACAGTGCAGTTTTCCCTTGATCATCGTTGTCACACACAGTTGAAAGATATAAAACATGCCTGCAACAACAACAAAAATGTATAACTCAGGGACCAATGGAAAGAATCATCTTTGACTGAACCACAACTTACATGTCAGGTGGACAAACCGCTAATCCACTACCAAGCTGCAGAACTCGAACCGCAGTCAACTGTTCAGGAAACAAAGCTAGAAGAAGAAAAAAACTTTCAATAAGCAATTGACAATATACATAAACTACTTAGTGAGTTTCAAAATTTATCTTACATTTAGGTGGATATACAATAAGAGCGTTTGATATCTCAGCTTTCACAGAACCTCTAATGATACATATCCCTCTTGCAATTTTCTCCTTACTACTTATCTCCTTTGGGACAAGAACACGAATCGTTTCTTTCTGCTGATCTGTCAATGACGACAATGACTCCAACCCAACAGTAACACACGGATCCAAAACCAACTTTTGACTGAATATCTCTTGACCTGAAGCTAGTCTAACACCTTTGTAACCCCCAGTTTCCTGCAAGAATCAGTTGTTAAGGAAACCAGATTTTAAACACATATCTAGTTTCAACAACCAACTCACTTACCTTATCTAGAAGCAGAGCAGTAACAGGCATCCGAAGAACCTGTTCACACATTAAAGCCCATTCTAAGTTAACAGCTACCATAGCAACACAGTACATAATACAGAACATACATAGATGCATCCTTTGACAGCTGCTCGACGACAAAAGGCTTGTGGAAGTTCCCCTTGTCCATAAATTGGGTACATCAACGCCCCATGTGCGTTAGAAAACCTGAAAGTAGATAAATAAAAGAGTTACAAACTTAATTACACTTGAGTATAACCAATGTTCAAGAAATAGCTAGGCTGTGGAGGATTAATTGTATAGATATAATGTATAGACCCAATGTGAATGAAAAGAATAAGAAAAAGACAGAACAATGAATTCACCTGCCAATAGATGTAATGTACAGAGCCAATCTATCTAAGCCCTCTTTAGTCTTGAGTAAACATCCACAAGTTTCACCATCGTCTTGATCATAATCTAACATCGCAATACCATACAAAATAATCCTACAACAAAAGAAACAAAGCCTTAATCATCCCCAAAAAAAAAACATTTTTTTTTCATCTCTAAAGAAGGAGAGAGACTCTATTACGATTTGATTTTGTTTGGCAAACACATCTTCTCCAAAAACTCAACAAAAGAACTCTCCAACTCTTCCTCCGAAACAACCTTAACATCCTTCTCATCCGCCAAATGTGTCTGAACAAGCTTAAAGAACTTCATCAACTGTCTCTTCTCTATAAGATCCAAACTCTTGTCGTTAAAAACCGCACCTCTCGAATCCGGAACACTCCTCAGCTCTCCGTTAGAATCTCCAACAAAACTCGCGTCTATGCTTTTGAACTCAACGTAATTGTTAGCTCCTGATTTCAACATCAGGTTGATGGATTCATCTGCGCAGAAGACAACTCTTGGACCGGACAAGTCGATGTTGAAACTTCTTGAAGTTTCCTCGAGGATGTCTGGTTCGAAGGTGGAGATCTCGAGGGAGGAGTATAAGGAGCGGTTGACGAGATCAAGGGAGAGGAAGGAGGAGTCATCATGAGTGTTGTTGGAGGGAGGAGGAGGAGAGAGGGTGTTTGAGTTGAGGTAAGAAGTGAGATCGGGGAGGGAGAGGGAGGCGAAGTGAGAGGCGTAGAAGGGGTTGGGATCGAGGTGGAGAACGGAGGAGCCTGAGGAGGAAGCTGCGGCGGAAATGACGGAGGAGGGGAGTCCCGTGCCGATGATGATGAGATCGTAGGTGGTGGGATCGAGAGGAGGGTAGGGAGGGAGAGGATCGGACATGGTTTAGTTGTGGTTTCGAACCAAACTCTTGAGTTTAGTCTGTGCGGTTGAATAAGAAGACTTTACTATTTACTATTTACCGTTACCTTTTTTTTCTACTTGGTTTGGTTTTACTTTTACCTAGAGAGAATATAGAGGTTGCAGCTGAAATGCTATTTTTGTGGAATAAATGTGTTTAGAAAATGCACTATTAGTTAGAATTAGATTTAGAACCATTCTAAAACAATTTCATATTTGGAATGAAACAAAAGTAAAAAGAATTTTGTAAAATTTATTCATTTTGTTCCACATTATAAATATCCATGAATGAAACATACTGAGAGAGATTAATTATTCGATTAATAATTTTAATTCTTATTTCATTTTATTAATCACTCTATTTTTTTTCTATTTCATAAATACCATCTTTTTTTTAATTCCGGACATTCTTATTAGAAATAACCAGTTGCAGCCATATATTTAAAAAAATTAATCTGATTTGTATTACGTTAATAATCGTATTGTATTTGTTTAGTAACTAAAATAAATATTTTGTAAAATATAATGTTTTGGTTATTTGAAAACTGATTTTATTGTATAATCTCCTTTGTGTGAAACATAAAGAATATGGGTATCCAAATAGATGATAGATTTACCCAATGGAAACAAATTATTAGTCCATCAATTTCAAAAAATTATATCATTGGTTGAGATATCAAATGAATCTTAGTTTGCAAAGATTGAAGAATCTTTGATTGGAAGAGGCTGTACATGCTATAAAAAAGTCATTTTTCTTTCTAAAACCATTTTAGTAAAGCAATTATGTTTTAGATTCAAAATTAATCTACAGCCAGAACCTTAAGAAAGGAAATATTTTAGCTTTGAAAATCAATTTTTCTTACAACTTTTATTTAATACTTTCAATTTTTTTTGAAAATAAATCTACAACAAAAAAAATTAAAACCACAGTCGAAAATTATATAGTAGAAACTTTAAAGTAAAAATCATAATACCACGGCCCCTTTCTAATCAACTCCATAAACTAGGATTCATTTACAAATTAGTAAAATATCATTATTCATTAGTCTTTCAAATTGGATAATATGATGTTTTACCTCAGTTCTAGATGACATATTAATGCACCCATTTGATTAACTATTGTATAACTAAGCATGTTTTTATGCATGTGTAAACGTAACTTTGTAATTAAATTTTAATTTGTAATAATAGGTGTATCAATTAGAAAAAGACATGTTGATACTTGTCTCTAAAATGTGATTGAAAGTCTCTTTTTGTAGGATATCTTTTTTTTTCTATTATTTCGCTTTTATTTTGTATTTCAATTGTTTTTGGTGAACAAAGATTCTAGAAATCAACTCTATTATAGTTTTAATTCCATAAAAAAATAAAAAAAACTATTTATAAAGTATGTAATAATTCTATTGTCGCTTTAAAACTTTTTTTATATGAATTGATCGTTTTTTCTTGGTTCCTTAAAAATAGTGTCGTGAATACCACAATATTCTATGTGGTGAAAATACTAATATATCTTTTTAAAACTAAACTTTTCTCTCTTGTGCATACAAAAAGTTGGGGAAAAATTAGCATAGAAAGAGTTGATTGAAGAGTTAATGTCTTTTACAACATTATTTACTATCTTAAGACATGTTTTGTGTAAGCTATTTTAGATTGCTTTATTTTTTTAGAGTATGTGATTATCATTCCTTTGAATTCACATGATGAAGACACGGAATCACCCATTTAATAGTATTCATGTGTTTTTTTAATCTAAAGTTTAACAATTAAGAGTTTAAATATATATATTTTGTGTTCATTAAGATGTATGTTCGATCTTAGTACATTTTCTCTTTCATTTTGGTGTAGATTCCTTATAAATTTACAGGTTAGAATAGAGAAGAAGAAAAATAAAAGAGCAATCTAACAACATTCAAATATTATTGTTTTACCTTTCACAAGAATCTTTTTTTTTCCTTTAATCATTTCGAGTATTTTAGTGGTATTCTACAACTTTTATATTGTTTTCATTCAAAGTATCTCACCAGTTTATTATTCTTTTAAAATTGTATAACTAAATTTTTGTTATTAAAATATAAACACTCATATGTTAAATCATGTGTTTAGAATCTCGATTTTTCAAAAGTTTTCAAATAGAAAATTCCGTGTTAATTAATTATAACTTTCTATGTTTCATCTATACCGCTCACTTCGTTTATCTAACATACATAGCCGAAGCTTGATGATTGCAAACTGATATAAATCACAACTTGTTTGACAATTTACTGTTATTTAAAATATATACTTATGTAATGTATTTGTGATTTAATCAATCATAAATTTATATGGAATATAATAAAAATAACAGTTTAACTGGTAATTACGGACAGAGATATTAAAAATTAATTGAAATAATAAGAATAAAATAGAAAGAATGTCAAAGAGTATCAATTTTGTTCTATGGTATATTGAGGAAAAAAATAGAACATTATCTCATCAATCGTATAATTTAATAATATTTTATGTTCATATTCATGGTCTCCATTCAAAGCCTTAGTTTTGATGGATTAATGAACTTAACTTTAGACTGAACTAGACAATCCTTATACAAATTATTAACTGATTTTGGAAAAATTGGTAATACAAAGTAACATCATCGTAAACAAAACATAGATAAACAAGAACTTTGACCTTGTTCATAAATAAATATACAGACAGATGACATTATACCAAACATTGTATGCATCTCTACCTCTCTGATTTCTTCTATCTTCTTCGTATAACTACCATATTGCGTTGGTTCATCAAACTCCTCTGCAAATTGATATGAATTCCACTCAACTAATGTCCACGTTGGGCCTGTTCAGACGTGCTTCATACCTGTTGTTTCCCATGATACAATAATAAAACGTGAATTGACATTCGCGCTTTCTATTTTGTCTAATGAGACCAAGCATCAAGAAGAGCTTTCTTCCATATGAAAACAGAGACAGGAGTTTTGTTTACTAACCAGTTTTTGGGGGATTTGGACGAGAACAAACGAGAAAAAGTAGAGACAAGTGCAGATTATTAGAGCTGAGATGGTGTTGTAGACAAGGCGCTTGTCATCTTTGGTTGGTATGAAAGCTGTTTTCAAAGTGTTGGTAAGCTCGAAGAGCCTATAGGAAACCTGAAACAGAGAAAACAAAACGTCAATCAGCTTCTTTCTTTCATTATCTCATTTCGGCTTTTAATTTGTTTGTAGAGTTGCTTACAGCGACATAGATCGAAGTTGTGAGCATGAAGTTCAATAATGGGTATTCCGGGATTAGAGAGAGTAGCAATTTGGGTTGACCATCAGGAACTCCAGATCTGTGGATTCATTGGAATATGTTCATTACACAATTTCATAGCTCAATGGCTCAAGACTAATATCAAGAGCTTGTTGTATTAGCGTTATCAGCCATTAACTTCCAACTTAAACCACAATAGAAGACATTAAAGAGAAGAATTGTGACGTACCTGAGCCATATATGAAACTGGGAGATATATGTCTCCAGTGTTATTTTCCCAAGCCACCTGAAAGTTGATGAACAGATTTTTGGTTTTCTGGCCATAGGAGGACGAATATATCTATTGAATACATTTGACTTACGCCAAAAGGGTCAAACTGTAGCCACGGAAAGACTGGGTGATGTTTCGGAGACAGATATAAACACTGAAGCAAAAGCAACACGAGACACCAAGTTAGGACTGACTTTTGGAAGATTCATTGTATGAATAGCTTACGTTATTGGAATCCAAGAGGTGTAAGGATGATATTTGTTGTAAGTTAGCTTGTCCATCTTGTATATGTACTCGAACCAAAAATATCCCACCTAAAAGTTTCATAATAACAAATATATAGATTAGCTGGAAGAATAACGTGTAAGGCGTCTTCCACCTGGGAGGAAGTGAAAGGATGACTTGTTATACCGTGAGTGCTATAACTGCCACGGTTGTTTTGATAGCCATTCTGAACTTCATCTCAGCTTCCTCCAGTTTATCCATCCAACTTTCAACCTAGAATATACATAATAGAGGAAATGAAGGACAAATTACTGTAAACCTTTCTCACTAAGCTACCCATTTTGAACAGAGTTGATGTGATGTGAAGTTCAAGTGTGAGTATTGGGAACTTACAGTTGGGTGGTAGTATGCATATAGCATCCCGATTATCCATATGTATCGATCAAGACCCGAGCGGAAATGCCACTCATGCAAGAGAGGAAGCTGCGGTTTTGCGGGATCATTGTAACCCATTAGGAACGTAAATGGACTCCAAATCCATTCGAAAACACCAGGAATCTCCCAAACGATGATAACAACAGCGAAGCAGGCAACCATTTTGGCAGCTATGACTGAACCCATCTCATTATATTTGTTCATAATACCAAGTGCTCCGTAGACCATCAAAGTAAACAGTGTGTGCATTGGGCATATGTAGTATAGCATGTAACTGTTGTTGAGGACGATGCAGGAGAATATAACAAGGAAATTTAGTCGCCACATCATCTGTAGAAACAAGAGTATGTTAAAGTTTAGAAGCTAGAAATAAGAAAAGAAGCCGAGAAGCCATAGCTGTTACCTGTGCAAACCTTGCAAGACTAAAGTCCTTGCGAATGTAGTAATAGGAAAAATTCCCAAATCCAGTCATCCATACATAGCAAGCAATGAAAACACGGATTGCATTATAGTACTCTGCAGCAGCAAAGTAGTGGTACATCAAAAAGAGGACCTACAACACCAAGAAAGCAAAACAGTGATGAGGTCTGAGCAAATGAAAAGGCAAATTAAGCACTAAATGCTTCTTTGAGAACTGAAATAATCCCCCCAGCTAATGAATCAACAGAAATGTAAAAGTAGAAGGGCAAGCCAGTAGCATAAAAGATAAGCGACAAACCTGCATCCACCCTTTCCACTCCTCTGTTTGATGCCTATTCAAGTACATGATGGATTTCCCGTTGAATGCTGATTTATCATTATGTATCGTGAACGAAGTTATCGCTGAAACAATGATGAGAAGGAAGTAAAGGAACAGAAAGAGATCCCGGTTGTAACTCTGCATCAAAAGATAAAACAATATAAGCCTCAGTCACATAAATGCACAAGCAGATTTCTTCATCAGCACATATCAAATGCACAATCTTATGGAATCTAAATCTTTCCATATAACATTAGACCAACTTGAATGCTAAAACGTAAGATGTTGCTGAACATTGTATACCCTATGTAACTACATAAACCATTCCCTAATCTACTAAGCAGAACTTCGTATAACATATCATTATAAACATCACCTTCTTGGATGAACTGAATACATCCGTGCGGTCACATACGTAAAAGTATCCCATAAGTACAGCAAATTCAATTCTGCATACAAAACACAAAACAACATCAAAAGAACAAACCTTTAAACTTTCAACTCAAGAAAAAACAGACCACAAAGACTCACATTGCTCTCAACGTCATCCTATTCTCAACCAAGAACGCTTCATCCAACAAAACAAACCTGCGTAAAAAAAAAAAACCCAATCTAACCATTAAATAAAAAAAACAACAGAGAATATTAGCTACTTAAAACTAAATGTAAAACCTAATGAGAGGAGAATGTGGAGAGGAGGAGGCCTTGGCTTTAGGAGAAGCTGCTTGAAGAAGACCACCATCTTCTATCAAAAGAGCTTTATCATCATCTTCTTTCACAAAATCTTTCCCAATCTCCACCAAACTAACATCAGAGTGTCTACTAATAACATACACACAAATCAAATCAAATCAAATATCAAAAAAAACAAAAAAAAAGGAATGATTGTGTTAACAACATACGCTTTGGCGGAGACGGAGTGTTTTGCATAGTGAAGATACTCAGCGTATAGCCACGCCGCGATCACAGGCACAATCCCGAGAACCACCGACATCTACAAAAAAATTTCCATCAAAGTAAATAAGATCTGATTCAAAATGAAATTAAGGTTAGAACAAGAGTGTTACGTACGAGCCCAGGCGTAATTGGGCTTGAAATCGTCATTTCTCTGGTTATGAGGAAGGATTCAAACTCAGAACCAGATCTGGTGGTGGATCTCGTGATCGAATCGAGAATGAAAGAAGGTGAGAGTGGATCAAGGAGTATAGATAGGTAGATCGTCGAATCGTCTCTCGCTCGTCTCTTTGTATAGTTAGAGAAAGATATTAACCGCTCGGCTCAGGAGTAGAGTAATTGCCTCAAGGGCCCTTATTTGAAAACTTTAAAGCTCAAATGTCCTCACTTTTTTCTTTTAATTTTATATGTCAAACGAAAAATCATAAAACTAAATTGAAAACGTCAATATTTTTTATTTCATTTATAGAATTTTATAAAAAAATTTCAAAAATCAAAAAACTGTTTTTTCATATTTTTCCGAAAATCACCAAAAATGATTAAAAAACGGTTTTAAAATATTTTTTTGACGAATTTGAAACATATATAATTTAAATATTTTACCCATGGGTTCACTGATCCATAGGGGGGATTTTTGTTTAGTTTTGATCGCTTGGAAATGATTTATTTGGGATTTTCATTAATGATGAAGGGTATTAAGATTAGTGGAGGATATAAGTGATTTAAATTTTTTGAATAAGGGCGTTTGAGGTGATGACTCCTCGGCTCAGAGAAGCTTCACCGGAACGAGTGAAGTGTGTTTGCGAGAGAGTTCGTTAGTTATTAATCAATAAAATAAAAATTACTAACCGACAAAATTTTAATTGAAGAAGTAGTTTTTTTTTTGGATCAAAATTGAAGAAGGTTAACCAACGATTTAAACTAATATGAAAACAACTTTTTTTTGGTTATTTATGCTCTTCTATCAATTCGAGGGATATTATTGAATAGGATTTTTTTTTTGCATAGATACAAATGTATATTTTGTGTTAGTTAATTTGAGATGCTAAACAATAAAGAAAACGTGTTACAAAAATTGATAAGGAGCCAAGATTATTGGTACATTTTGATTCCTATATCATCTTTTGAGTATATGCATAAGAAAGAGATGTTTGTTTTATGGAAGACATTTTGAGTTTGCAATATTATTTTTACGTATTTTTCCTCATTTTACGTAGTAATATCTTTGCACTCAAAGGATTAGATGATCATGTGAATCGGGCGGTGTTTTTAATAGAACTTCTAATCTTTTTTTTGTTCTTAATCTATCTAAGTCTAATAATTAAGAGCTGATCATGTGAATCGGGCGTGTGTGTGTGTTCAATATTTTGCTTTGTCAACGACGCGTTATAGGTTATGAATTGTCGGCAGATTATTGTATTATGGAGAAGTTTGTTAACATTCAATCATTTTGGAGTTAAACAAAATTGGAATTTTAATATTATTCACCGACATTTCATTTTTAGCTTATGACTCTAATTAATGGATTGATTCTGTGATCTAATATTCAACTATTAATGATAAGGTGTTCATATTTGAACAAATCATCTCATATATGTCCGTGTAGTCTCTAAATTAGTATTCTGTTGGTATGTTTATTCTTTCTTTTAATTTTGTTTATCAAACCTTATTTCATTGATTTCAAACTTAAATATCCGACAATATTTATACCTTAAAATTTGAGAGATTAATTAAATATAACGTGACAATTGCAAACAATTCAGATTGTAAAAAAAAAAAAACATAAATAAAAAAAGAAGCATGGTTAGAAGTTGAAGATGGCAGCACCACTTGAAGGCTTGGAAGCAAAAAGGTAAAACCCCATATCTTCCTCCTTCACCACTCCTTTCTCTATCCTCTTTCTGTAATACCTCTCCTGAAACATTCCATTTCTTCTAACATTAGTATCCTCTTATCAAAAACTAGTATCCTAACAAGTATGTTTTATTATTACCTTGACTGCATCAATGAACTGAGAAACGTTAGACTCTTTAACCAAGGACACGGTGCAGCCTCCCCATCCAGCTCCAGTTAGTCTTGCTCCAATTGCTCCATTCTCCCTGCTTACTTGAACTAGTTCTTCTAACTCAGGGAAACTACACTCGTATAGGACACTGCAGCTGTGATGGCTATCGTTCATGAGATCACCAAGTTTCTTTAACTTTTCTTCATCACTGCACAGTTGAATGTTTCAATGTCTTAAGTTAGTTTCCAAAAAAAAAGATTTATGGTGAAAAGTGTTTCTGACTGACCTTAAGTTTGAATAGACAGTATCTTTAAAACCATGAACTCTCCTAGCTTCAGAGTAAACATGTGCAGCTCTCTGTTGATCATTGTAAGCAGAGGAGGAGCCTTTATTATTAAGACTTTAAAGGGTAACAGAAAAAACACAATAACAGTGTTTGTAATAGTTTACCTGATGCAATTTGAAATGTGTTGCAGCATTAAGTACAGCTAAAGATGTTGAATCATTGTTCAATATTGATGGTAACTTCTCCTCCACTATTTTCTCAATCTCCTCAGCCGTATATGGTTCTTCTTTCAGATATTCCTTCACAGCTAGAACAGGATCAGATGAGCCATGATCACCAGCAAATGAAACACATAAACCCTCCACATCAGAGAGAGTCTTAACTTTTGATATTGCTTCTTTTGGTTCCATTCCGAGTTTAATCCCAAGTATGATCTATAAAGCCAAATGGTAGTCATAATGATGTGTAGTTTTAGCAAACAATGCTGAAGAAAAGTTATGATATTACTTACTGAAGCAAGACGACATTCAACAACCCTGTTGTTGTAATTAGTAGCAGCTGTAACCGCCTTCTGAGACTCAGCAAGAGAGTGTGCTATCACAAAGCTACCACCATCAGGGAGTTTCACATCGGTTGCACGGACAGGGTTGAAGTCAATAAGCTCAGCAAATCCAGTTTTAGCCATTATAGAGATTGCCTGTTGATATAGAAAGAGAGATGATTTCTAGGTGCAGTGGTAAGTAAGAGATGATGGATTATTAGTGAGCAAGTTACTGACCTGGTCCATGCCACCAGACTGTGTTCCAATGTGTCTTTCACATTCACAAGTAAGTTGTGCAAGTTCTTTCTGAAAAGCAAAGAACTTAGCCAATTTAAATAATCAACAAGAGAATTAACTATGAGGTTCATTTCATCAAAGCATGATTTGAGTAAATAATACCTTTTCAAAGTTCTCACCAAAGACAGACATAATAGCAATCATTGATGAGCAGACAAAGGCAGCAGAACTTGACAAACCAGAACCTAAATAAATAAAACTCCAGTTTTTAAAAAAAACTTCAGGGTGAAATGATGTCATGATGTATATATAGTGGGAAGTAGATAGACAGACCTGTAGGAACAATGCCATCAACAACCACATCAAGTCCAACAGGTGAATCAACAATATTCAACCCTTTTGACTTTGCATACTCATGAAACCCTTTGTACCTGTAAGAACCAACAATCATAAGGCATCTCTTAGTTACTACTGTTGTAAAAACAGAGGAGAACCCCTTACGCGCAAATGAAGTAATGACCCCATTTGTGATTCTTCAAGTCAATTTCCTACAAAAAAATTGACAACAGATGATAAGGGACAAAACATAGGAACAGAACAAAGGGATGATCACAAGAACAAGATAAAGAAACCTGGTGAGGATCAGCAGGATAAGTACACATGGAGTACTTATCATTAACGTTTGCAATCCTAAGCTGATTCTCACCCTCACGTTTTCGAATAGCAATAATGGTGTCCTGACGAATAGCCATTGGCAATACTGAGTATCCCTCATAGTCAATGTGCTCTCCTATCAGATTCACTCTTCCTAAACACAAAACCACACACAAAAACTATCTCTTATAAAAAAACTTTGCAGCCAAGGTTAACGCTATCTAGAGATAGGGTCGAATTTGGACACAGCCGAACTAAACATTCGTCTTGACCCAAAAATAATTAAAAAATTAAGCTCCTAAACATTGACCTTAGCCCCAAAAATTTTTAGAAATTTTTAGAGTTCTTAAGAAATGTTTCAATCCCTCAAAATCTCAGTTCCGGTTCTGTCTAGAGATCGTTTGATCTCTTTTGTCTAAGCCATGCAGCAAGAGAAAGACACAACAAGAAAACAACAGAATCTCGTTATTACCGGGAGAGCGAGCGAAGAGTTGGGGAGAAGCATCGAACACTTGGTTGAATTTGTCCTTCAAAACGTCGAACCGTGACTTAGCTTCTTGGAGCTGAGATCCTTGGCCGTAGACAGGTTCAAGGGATGAGAAGACTGGGACAGCAACTTCTTCTTGTTTCGCCATATGTCTATCTTGTCGTCTCTTTAACGAATGTTTCTAGTAAACTCTTCTTGTCACGAAACGTCTTCTTCTTTCCCTTGCGTGCGTCATTATTTATTACTACTGTACTATATATATCCACCGATCTTGTTTTTTTGGTTAGATCCGTTACGGAAGATCGGTTACATTTGTTCGAATATCTTTTTTTGGATATTCATGAATATCCACGTATCTTACTTATCCAAAACTCTGGATAATTTCACTAATTCTGTTTTTTTTTCTTGTTATTTTCAGTTGGATTATTCAGTTTCATATTTTTATAACAAACAGTAGAATTCTATATGACTTTACTAATGGAAATGTTATATAATTTTGTCACATTCAAGAGATAATAAGTAAGTCATTTTATTTTATAAATGTATAAGTTAACTTTGACTATCTGACAAGAGAGATTTTAGGGAAACAAAACCATGATTATAAAGTTTTATTTGAAACAATCTAAGCTGTATTTGTAACAATCTTTTTTAGTCGTTAAAAAAAATATCTTTCCAAAAAAAAACTAATTTATAGGTTTTTCATGGTGGAAAACAAGGGAATTAACGTATTATATATGGAAGATCGTGAACTGTGAAATATCGATCATGGTTGAATTATCTTAAACCATTTTAAATGTGAAATAAACTTAGCGCTTTCTAGTTTCCAGGTCAGGAATGTCGGGATGATTAGTCCAGTTTTGCAGTTATAGAAAGAAAATATCCAGGTCATTAAGGGTCCGATTGGTAATGGCTGTAGCTTTAAAGTTTTTGCTGTAGAAAAAAATCTGTAGACTTTTTACTGTGGCTTTAGATTTTATTGCTGTAGATTTTTTGGAAAGCACTAAAAAATTGCTTTGGATATTTGGCTCTGCAGAGCACTTGTATAGCTGTAGATCATTTCAAGAGCTGTGATTTCAAAAAAAAAATTAAAGCTTGATTGCTCTAAATTTAGTGCTGTAGGAATAAATAGGGCTGTGGACAGCACCTACAGCAACTACCAATCACCCTCTAAAACCATAACTTGCTTGACCTTGAATATCTGTAAAAGACTTTTTTTTTTAACGTGAATATCTGGAAGCCCAGCATTTAACGGTTGGGTGAAATTCTTTCTCCTTTTTATTTTAATGTCTACTGACATTTTTTTTTTCTCTTATGATTCTTTATCATTTTGTATTGTCTCGAATATTTTTACGTCTTAGTGTTATGAAAAAAAAAGAGTAGATTAATAGATATAGGATGCTACTGCTTCCCATTAAAAAACCTTTTGGAAGGAAATATAGATTTAGATACCTATTAGTTCGAGAATGAGATTGATCATATCTACATAAAATTCAATAAGAAATCCCTCAGTCGAAACCCTAGATATTTTTTTTTTAATTATTTTTCACATTACTAGTGGAGTCTTTGCCTCTCCCAAAAGAAGCCGTTCTCAAAGAGATGTTGAAACGCTTCTTCACTAAGAAGCCAAATCAGCATCCAAAGGACACTAACTCGTCACCTATCTCTACGTATCAATCGCTTCTCAAGATGGTATCGAGATCATTGATGAGTCTTCCTTTCCTATTGTTAAATTTTCGACGAAATTATGTCACGTTATGTTATGTGTCTTTAACATCTCTTTAACACATGAGTTCTCTTGAAGAAAGGACTGATCAAACACGCATATACACACAAATCCATGCATGTTTGAATTATCAGGTGGAGATTATTCACCTAGCTTTCATATTACATATTACATTTGAAAGGAGTTTCCCAGCAATAGAATAATAATAAGAGGAAGGTATAAAGGAAAGAAGAGGACAAGGCATGGCCACTCCCATGTGCTTCTTCATACTTTTCAAGTCACTTTCTTAAATGTTTTTTAAAAAATATACTTTTGCTTTTGTCATTTCCTTCTTCTTGTCGCTTAGTCATTCTTTAGTGTTTTTCCTATATTGTAATATACAAGAAAAAACAGATTGTGTTACTCTATTAGTTGCTAAAGATTCATATAAGCACCAAAGATGGTACTTTATTTAACCCACTGAGTTTTTGAAAGCGAAACGTCGAAAACAAAGATGTACGTATGCAAATGAGTGTTGTAACTTAGCTAACGTTTTTTGTTATAAGGTAGTATCATATAGGGGGTTAACCATTTAATAAAGTTATTCGAAATAAACATTACTGGAGTGACTAGTCTATTAATCTGTGTGGTAACATCAACTTGTAGATGTTAAAAGAGGATAAAACAAACGAACATACTTTGTAGTGCATACATAGGATAGATACAAGAGAGGTAGGGGGCACACAATAAAGCTGACTAGATGATTGAGTGACAGATCTATCTCATCATTCAACACATCAATCATTCTCTAATGCAGTCTTCGCATGCTACCATAATCAAAATCAGTGAGTTTGTTAACCCATTAACATCTGCTAATTAATAAACTGAACTTGTTATTAATCACAATCTAAAGAAAATTCTATCTCGCGTATGTACAAATCTATATCTCGTTTTCACGTATGTGGTACGTAAGATGATATAGTACATGCCATGTTTGAGGAATTAAAGTAACGTCCACATAAGGTTAAATACTCATTTCCACCAGCTGCAATAATGTAGATAATCAATTATCTAAAACCCAAATACTAATCCAACACGGTTTGAATCTTAGTGGCAAAGATTTATCAATAATTTTTTCTTAAAAAAAAAAGATTTATCAATAATTATACACTAATAACAACATCAACTTAGTACTTGGAGCTTTTGTTAACTCATTTCAAAGGTTACTTCAATTATAACCAGGGCCGATCCAACTTTAAAAAAAAAAATTGTAATGTCCTATTCTAAACTACAAATTTATACTTTTATTCTTTATAATTTTTTTTATAATGTTCTGTAAACTTATAAAATTGTTGTATAAAATCGGGATGCCCTAAACGGCCGGTTATTTGACATATGCCCGGACCGGGCCTGGTTATAACGAAGAAAGAGTACTTGCACAGATTACACTCAAAACGTATTATGTTTATATAATATTATATTAATATGAAATTGTTTTGGTGTACACAGAGAGACACTGACAGAAAGAAAATGACGATTTTAACCTCATCAAATCGGCGGAGAAGCTGAGTTTGAGCCAGAGAGAAGCTCAGCTAGAGACTTCATGGCTCTGACTTGCATCTCCAAAGCCTGAATGTAATCCGTCGCTTCTTCAAGAATCACCGGTACTGACTCTTTCTTGCAACCCGGAACTAACCGGCCGAGAACACGCACTTTCCGGTTAACCGTCGGTATACTCTTCTTACTCAATCTCATAACCGACACTCTCCGTTTCTTCGACCTTCTGCTGCCGCTGATACTCCCCGTCGTGATCAAGGACGGTATCGCCGTCTGTTTCGGCCGTTTCTGTTTCCGGAACTTGAGCTTGATCTTGTTAGCCAAGATCGCTCTGCTCCAGAGAGTCCTGCCACGAGCGGAGACGGCGAGAGCGCGATCCGCGGCTTCACGTACGGCTTTTCCTCGCTTCTGAGGCGTTGGAGATGATGAGGAAGAGGTGAGGCGGACTTGTTGCAGCGCTTGGACAAGCTTGGATGAGTAGTTTCGCTGCTGCTTCTCTGATCTCCATCGCGCGTGGTTATCACCGTCTCTGGTGGTTACGGAGGAGGAGGAGGAGGGAACAGAGAGTCTCTTCTTTCTTCGAGTTAGATCGGTAGAAACTGTGTTTGAATGCGTAGGTGGTTCAGTATCTGAGATCAGAGACGCCATAACTGAGAGACTTGATTCTGATATTGTTATTATTTTTCTAAGCGTATCTTAAAAAAAATGGATAATCTGAGTTTCTGGGAATGAGTGGAGAGAATATTGGAAGGGAAAGGTAAGGAGAGAAGACAGATATATAAAGGAAGTGAGGCATTATCAAACGTCGTCGTTGTCCTTTTTTTCTTTTTTGTTTATTTATTAAACAAAGGCTAATATTAACGAAAATGATAGATTATAATATATAAATTAGTGGCTCTAGCCTATATATGTGGTTATGTGATTATGAGAGATATCAGTGTGACTTGAAGCAATGTTTATGTATAGTTTAAAACGTTTATCATCAAGTATTACTATTAGCATGATTAATAGAAAGAAAGTAATATGAAAACTGTAATCCAATCATCAGATTTTTTTCATCATCCATAATCTAACAACAGACAGTCAACTAAAGACATAATGGTCACATAACATGTTCAATGTTTGACAATGTACTGTTGCGACAGGGTCACAGGAAAGAGGTGGTAAATGCTTAGGACACAAGATACTATGTACTTCGTGTACTTAACGAGGTTATATTTAATGCAAGAAATGCTACAAAGATAATACTGTGGGTATTTTACTTTGGTCTCAAAGATGTTAAAAGTGTGAGTAGTTTTTTTGCGATAGAAGTTAAAAGAGCTTGTTTACATACAAAGATGTTTAAGAAGGAAGATAACCGTTTTGGTAATTTAAGAGGAAACCCCTTATATGCGTCATAAAGGTCGATTCTTTGGTGTACTGGAGGAGGAAGGTAGAGATTCAAATGGCATGACAACGTGTAATACAACTATTGGAGAAATCTATCTGTGACTTTCAGTGGTCGTTTAATGGACTGACAAGGCAAAAAGAGAGGGGCCAAAGACTCAAACTTTGGATTTTGTATTCAGTGCAATGATTTCGTAAATGTTAAAAGTTTTACTTAAATACGACTTTATACCTAAAGTAAAATACCAAAACAAAATGCATGTGCCATGTAGGGTTAGTGGAATTGCCTCTCTTTAAGGCTTTTTCTTTCTTTTGTATTTCCTGGTTATTGTGTGGGTTTACGGGAGTGGCATTTGGTCCACATATCTTGCAGAAAAGGGAGCCTTTGAACTTCTACATTTGTAATGCCATAAGCATTGATAACACTAGTTTTAAAAGAAAAAAAAATTAGTTTGTATGTTAGACATGAAAGTATAACCAATAACCAATGTCATAAACTACCGTGTTAAGATTTTTATGGAGTAAAATATGAAGTTGGATAAGATGTTGAAAATGGAATTCATACTTTATTAGGTCGTAAGGGTTAATTTATGTACAAGTTATGTAGCACATTCTCTGTACCTTATAAGGTATAAGTTACAATGATTGCACATGACACATCAGTACTCCAGTTATCCACTAAAAGGGCTACTTGCTTTAGTATAAACTTATCTATTTCGAATTTAAGAATTTTTTTTCGTGTTAGATACTTCAATTCCCTCAATACTTTAGAATCCAGCCAAATTTATATACACAACACATAATCTATTTCATTGGCTCATGACCAGTCTCGTTTATGAATTTAGTAAAAACAAACACTATTATTTTACCGGTTCGTATATAATTCTTATGAGCTCTATTTCATTGTCATGGCAATATTCTAATCAAACGACACTGAACGGATTAAGAGGCTAACCATTAAACGTGGCGCTTATCCCTATGTAGAAAAAGTACATTTGAAAAAGGAGCAACCCTATGAGTCTATGATCTATGGTTCTATGCACCTAGTTGTAATAAATACTAATTTCGAAATAAACATGAAGCTTATCCATATTTCTTATGAGAATTAATTGTACCTTGTATGGGGATACCATTATAGAGAGGATTCTCAGACATGAATACGTAAGCATGAAAAAGGGAAAGCAATTATGAAAATCTGGAGAAGTGTTACACTAAAGAGAAAACGATGTTTCAATGATGAACAAATATATACGCTGGATGTAATGTAACTAATACTATAAGATGGATGCATGAGATAACGGATAATTGCCAATAGTTAATCCGTAATACTGTTTATGTTTTTGTAATTTTAATATCAACTAAACACTTTATCAGAGGAAAAAATACGGAATACTTACTTACCTGTAGAATTTTTTCATATGTATCCTTTCCAATTTTAGATGCTTCGCTTCCGAATAAGTAGTTGAGTTTTGTTTTTTCTCAGTGTGATAGTGTCCTGTTTAAATAGCACAAATATATTATTGTTAGATTAGATTATAAGCATTTCGAAGCCTAACTCATTAGTTGTTATCATTGGTAGAACCATCAAGGTTGAGCAAATTATTGACAAGTACATGAGAACTAATAAAAGATTAATTTTTGTGAATTGGGAAGCTGAATTTTCAAAAGCACAAGGCTTAATACCGACTGTTAATTGATACATGTGAAAAAAATATAAATTTTCTAATGGGAACTCGAATTCCAAACCAAAACTCAGTTTGTCCCAAAGAATAGTCAGGCGAATGAACTATACAAACGCTACGAAAGCTAAGGGAAAAAATTATACCAACCCTTGGTTATATTAACAAAAAAAAAGGTCATTTAGGATCTAATCAAATGTCAAGACACAAGGATAAGACCGATGTTTATTGACAAAAGAGAAAGGTAATGCATCTTCAATAATTGGTGTGCCCACTAATTCAAATCAATAAGCCTGGATTTTCCTTTAATTACACAGACACTTTACTATAAAAGTAAACCAACAAGAGCTCCTTTTCTTTAACACATGTCACATTAGTTTCTGTTATTCTGTTGTTTAGTGGCCGACTACTATAGTATCCAGTCGAAAAACCCAGCACAGTCTGGATAATTCTGTCATTCACCTTTTCTAGATACATTAATAGTTTCAAAATTTAATACATTGTATCATCATCCATAATGGAGAATAGACCTACCCTAATACCACCAAGAGCTAACCCTACACATTAATGAAAATAATATCAAATCAAGTAATTACCCAAAAAGCTCCACAGGCTGGACTTTGCAAGGACTTGTCTGGCCTAATATACTTAAAAAAGTAAGGAACACCTTGCATAATAATGGAACACAGTCTAGCACATGAGATCTAAAACCTATCAATTTGAGAAGCAACAGAAAACAAGGCACTGCAATTATATGAAACAGCGATAAGGATGGAACGCATCAAAAAAGATTAGAACCTAGAGACATAAATGCTACAGAAGCCTATGTATGGGATCTGTGATGCAGAGAAGACTATGCTTTTAGTAACACGAGTCACCATGATTACAAGACCAAATGTCATATCATTTGCTCCAAGAAAGTGTCAGGGATCATTCATTGGTTAGAAATGTGACTAAACCAGCAACTAATAAGACCTACTGGCAGACTCACTACCATCAACCTATTAATGGATCTTGTAAGATCACTTGGTTTGGGCCTAGAATGTGCATTAGTTTTAGTTTCCAATCATAAGGCCTAGGAAGTTTGAATAGATGTGCATTACCAAATAAGACTTCACTGAGATATCTGTATCACTTTTGCTAGGGAATGTGTGGTTCAATAATTCAAATAGATCTGTATACTAGAAAGAAAAAAACAAAAAAAAATAATAATAATTTAGAACTGTTCTATCCTTTGATTGAAATATGTGATAGGGATGAAATTCTAAAGATACTAGTAGCCAACTCAAGATAAATCATAAACGGAGAAGCAACTTGAAATGAGACGGGATAGATTATGCAACATATGTTATCATCATGTTATAAAGGTAGTAAATCTTTTCAGTGAGTTACCTTGTAACCATGTAAACTGATTTGAATCCTTCATGTTGGAAGTGGCCCACCATAGTAAGCAACTTGCCCTCTGACGGAGACCACAATCGCAGCTAACACAGCCCAAAGGATAAGAATCAAAACCACAACGCGGGATTTGCGAGTAACAACAACTCCATCGATCCAGCCACGTTCTTCATAGCTCTCAACTGAAGAGATGAGTTTCTTCAGGTCACTGATCTCCGCGCGCAAGAACTCCACAGCAGCAGGCAAGTCCACAATCGACTGAATCCGATCAGCGTCGATGTGAAAATCCTTGTTACTAGTAACGGTCGAATCTGGAGACTCATCGCTCAGAAGAGAAATCTCTGGCGTTGTTAACAGATCTATGCTCGATCCGTGCACAAAACTCTGAGATAAGCAAACGTAAATTCAAATCATCACACAGTATCGCTTCTCTTATCCGTTACTAAGCACACATCAATCAAATCGATTCAATCGCAAACAGTAAATATCTAATCTGAACGGATCTGAGAATCTGTAATGCAACATAACAGAAAACTTCGAGTGAAGTTGAAACCTAGCTAAAACGCGAGAGGAAGTGTACCTCGGCTTCGGAATCGGAGATCGCGGCGGAAACCTGAGAGATCGGAGTAGAGTCCACCGGAACCTTCTTGCTTTCCACTGACGCGTCGGAGAAGGTCGCGCTCTGTCTCTTCTCCGCAACCTACAGTCAAGAGAAGGGAGATTACTGGCGGAGGAGGAAGAAGAAACGAAATGGAGATTTAAGGATTGATGATACGTTGAAAATTACCTTCCGATTCTTCATCTCGGAGTCCTTGAGGAGTCTCTTCGTTGCAGGATCAGATGAGCGCGCTAAGTTTTTCCTGGGGATTTGAATTTCCTTCATCTCTCTCTCTCTCTCCAGAGCGTTTTTTGAAATTTTGGAGTTATGTTAGTGAAAATTTTGAGCGGAAGATATTTGTAGAAGTATCCTATTTCCATGGGCTTAATTAATAGCCCATATTTGTTTAATTAAGGCCCACTCAACCCAAGAAAATCGACCAATTAAACCGACGGTTAAGTGATAGAATTAGAGTCCGGTTCGGTTTTGGCACTGTTTAGCCTTTAGGGTTTATAACACTGAAGCTCGAACACACTATCGAACCTCTCTATAGCTGGAGAGTTGATTCACTGAAACTCAAGAGAGAGAGAGAAGAGTTAGAAGCAATGGAGGGAGCAGAAGCAGCAGAGATAATGATTGATTCGAAAGACTTACAGCAACAAAGCAAAGCTTTAGACAAGCTTACCGATCGTGTCGAGGATCGCCAGCTCGATTCTAATCGTGTTCAATCGGTTTGTCACTCTTTCATCATCCATAGAATGATCGTTATATGTTCATTAGTCTTCAAGTTTTGAGCTCAGTTAGTGAAAATTTGATTGGGCTTACAAGGTTAATGTACGTGTTTCAGGCTATGGCATCGATTGCTGCTTCTAGGGAGGCTGATCTAAATGCCAAGAGATTGAGGTAAATGCTAAGAGGTTGAGTATGTAGCTAATGACACGTGTCCAGTAGAATGAGTTTTCATAGAATCTCTTTGATTTTTCACATGACTCACATCTAGGTTTAGTATTGGCACCAGATGTTAATAGTGTTGTAATTTACAGGTCGAATATCATCTTCTGTGTTGTATATTTGATTAACAAGTTGCTGGAACTTTATGCAGGGAGAAGGAACTTGCTTCTGTTAAGATCAATGCTGCAGATGTTGAGCTCATTGTAAACGAACTCGAGGTTATTTTCTTCCTTTTTTTTCATCACTAGCTGAAACATTCATTATTTTTGTGGCTGTGTCCTAAAAGTTTTGAAGTTTTGTCAACATTGTAAACGAGCAGCTTGAGAAGAATGTGGTGGAGAGAACTCTAAGGGAGCACAAAGGCGATGCAGTTGCTGCAACTAGAGAATTACTTTCACGATATCCTCTTTGAAGGACCAGTACCAGTTTTACTTCTTGCAATTGTTTGTGAGAGGTTTTAGAGACTTGAGATTAAACACCCCAATATTTAACACAACTTTGAAGTTTCAGTCTCTTTTCAAATTTTGAATCTGGGTGAGATGGGAACTATTTGATATTATGGTAACAGAAAATTAAGTTTAAAAGTTAATACGTTGTTTCTGATAAATACTGGAAAAGTCCCCTAAAAGATGTTAAAACTCCCCAATGATGTAGCAATATTCACTCACAATTCTCCCCTGTACAAACCATCAAATGGTTCTTCTACCACGCTTGATTGCATACAAAAATAATAACAGTAATATGCATAGAAAAATATATAATATATGCAAGTATGCAAGTATGCACCCTTGCACACCTGCCCAACGAGAGTGCATAATTCTAGCACGTGACATTTTTGCAATCAACTTTCACATCATAATCCCTTTCACGCACTTCCTTTAAGCCTCTTCGATAGAAAAACCAATCACCACAATTAATTAACCAACCTCCCTAGAGCCAACACGTTCCTTTTTGGCATGTTGTAATGACCCACAACACACCACTTCCTTCTTTTAGAACCAATCCAACAATTCCAGTGGCTGCCTCAGCTCACCAGTCTCCTCCACGTTGTAATTAAACCCATCCATTTTTACTGCTCAAAACAAACCAATTCTCTTACCTTCCTTTGTTTTCCTGAACATCTTCATGTCTTAAAATGGCGCCTTCAGGAACAAAAGAGTCGGACTTTTGTTCACTTTAGTTGTCCTTGAGGGGGGAGTTGTCACGTAAGGCAGCACGAGTAGCTTGTAATTGTATTGTAGACTTTCTTTGCATCTCCCTTAGCTTATCCATCAACTCTTGGAATGTTGGTCTCAGCTTTGTATCGCTGCAGTGTTGGACAAACCAATAGAGAAACATATATTAATGTCAACATTAGATGTGAAATACGAAGAACATCTAATCAAAGAAGATTCCTCTACCAAAGGTTATGTGGTGTTCAATATGTGAAATTTACCTGTGCCAACAGCTCTCCATTAATGCGATCCATAAGGGATCAATGTCCTTTGGAATTTCCAGCCTCTGGTTCATGAACCCGACAGCTCCGATTACCTGCACATTTTCAAATAAGTATCTCTCACATTTGGCCCGTGTATGTGTATGGTTAGACTTGTATATAATAACACATTTTTCTTGTATCTTTACACGTTACACTAATTATAATGGTTTTTATGGTTCTTATAGAATTGACGTGAATTATTAAACAACTTAGACTATAAATACAAAATTTTCTTATTTTTAGCTTAATTGATAGAACAGAAAATGTGATATCTGTAAAATATGATACCTGCATAGCGTTGAGAGTTTCCCATGGGATCTTCTCGGTGGCAAGCTCCCACAGGACTACTCCAAAGCTGTAAATGTCAGACCTGTATCAATGATTTAAGAATAGCTAGTTAGCACTGAAGGCTACAGAACTATTACTCAAGGAATGATACCAAAGAACACGAGACTATACTTCTCATCAGCAGACTCATTTCGAAGAACTTCTGGTGCCATCCATTGAGGCTGCAGAACAGGTAAACCGGAAATCAAAGATTACTGTGAGATGTTGGCTTATACGTCAGACCTCAAATTAAAAGAGCCTAGATTGTTTAAGTACCGTTCCCTTCCCAGACTTGGTGGTTAGGTATGTCTCATGCTTGATACGCGAAAGACCAAAGTCAGCTACCTGTTAAAGATGTCACTGTAAGTTGACGATGTAACTAGTTCCTTTCTGCAGGTCTGAGTCTCACTTTACCAGTTCATTCACATAATACTGTTATCTAATGCTTCGCTTTAGAAAGCAATATAATTATTATGAAGATGCAAAATTATTATCCATCTCGATTACACAAAACAAATGTATCTAAAGATGAATATCTTACTTTAACTGTCCAGTTCCTGTCTACCAGCAGATTTGATGACTTCAGATCACGATGGACGATGGGTGGACTACAATGGTGAAGATAATTCATACCGCGAGCCTGTGTGAAGAGTCATATAACATGATGTATGAGATGTATGGTGACTTGAGTCAAATAGAGTGAAAAAGAAGGATAACAAGACAAATACAAACAACCAATCAAACAGAGCGCTCGTACAAAATTCTCTACGTTCAATAGTCAATGATCACAGAATGGAATTATCACATGTCAATTGAATGTAACTAATACTTACAATGTCCAAAGCCATATGGATACGCCGCCTCCAATCAAGTTTTGATGCACTCCTCTGTAGTAGGCGGAAGAGACTCCCACTGCAAATAGTAATTCGAATAGGAGCATGTTTCAGAGCTATGTCTTGAAGGCCAAAAAGCTCAAAAACGTTAGAGTGGTTAAAAGAGACGAGAGCAGACCGTGGAAGGAACTCCGACACTATACAGAGGCGCGGAGGTGAAGTCACAGCTCCCATAAAGAGCAGGACGTTAGGATGTCTAAGTCTTTTCATCAACAATACCTTTACAATAAAATAAGACCAACATAAATAATGAAGAATTTCAATTTAGCTGTTTTCAGAAATGATTTAATTCGTTGCCATGCAGTTTGTAAGTGCGTATTCATTAGTACATAAAACGGGTGTAGTTGAAGAATCAATCTGAGTATTGTGATATGAAAGACAGAGGTTACATGTTGCTTCTACCAATAAAACGTGAAATGTCTTTTGTCAAAACTACACTCAGAGCAAACATTACTGGCAACGAACTAAAAGCAATACCTCTTGTCTAAAAGATTGTATAACGTCTTCTGAATATTCTTGCTTGGAGAAAACTTTAACAGCTACATCCTGCAGTGATATTACCAGCTCTCAATAAAAAAGATCTCACAACTTACAATTTATGTTTAGTTATCAGAAAAGCGTGTATAAATATAGAGAAACGCATATTCTGCAATATCGCGAAAAGCCAAAAACTTACAGATCCAAACCAAAGACCGTGATAGACAGTTCCACATGAACCTGTAAAATGGAAAGGTGCATGTTAGCAGAACGAAGGTAGAATATCACATAAAATGTGAAGTTACAAAGAAAGATGTGTGACAAACGAGATAATCTTTTTAAGAAAATAAATCACCTTGTCCAATTTGTTCTCCAATTGTCAAATCCTCCCATAAAATTTCGTATTCCAGACCATCACTATCAGTATCATCAATCTTGTTCATCACACTGCTGCTAGTACTTCCGCAGCTACTAGCGCTGCTCGTACTGTTCACATTTACAGAGGAAGACCACATACTACCTCCCTCATTATTTGCAGGCGGCTTATTACTTTCAAAGGCAAGGCTTTCAGACTTAACAGCAGAAGAGGGAATAATCTGGTGAGTCTTATCTTTCCCTCGTTCATTGTGTACCCAAGGCCATACAGAATGAGTTGGCCTTCCTTTTGAACCTTCCTGCTCACTCCCTTTCCATGGCCATGACAAACCTTTCTTTACCATCCATTCTTCAGCTTTTGAGCTGATAACCTTATGGATTGCAGGCTTTTCCTCACTCTCATCACTGGAATCTTTAAAGGGTTTCGAAGGAAACTTTTCTTCGTTACATGTGAAAACACCAAAAGGAGACTGTGCAAAATCCCCTCTTGGTGTGCTAGCACCACTTGATGCTGCATCGTCCCTGTGGTCAGAGAGAGTGGCACCATGATCTGAATGATGACTATCCCCACTGCCACCCTCAGAGAGTGTACCACTACTCTCACCTGCTCGCATTTTCGACCTTACCCTATTACTCACCTTGGAAGCCTGCAATTTTAACACTAGTCAAAATACGCAACATCAAAACAAAGGCGAGAACAACACTTAAACTAACCAAATTCGATATCTTTGACGCTATAGCAGTTTGTATAGGCTGATCAGAGTCAAGGCCAAGTTTCGATATAACAGCTTCTTTGGAATCCAAACCAAGCTTCGACGCAAAACTATTCCTTACAGGCACAAAGCTCGTTTCACCTTCTTCCGCCTTCAACTTATCCAAAGAAACCCTCGGGTTCAGAAACGGCGCCGTGTTACTAGTGATACAAATGATCCCTATCAGAGTACCGTCGTCATCATAAAACGGGGAACACGTAGTCACCGCTGAAAACCTCTCCCCTGATTTACTCTTGACAGGAAACTCTCCCGTCCAGCTCTCTCCACGTACACAACGTCTAGCAATATTCATAGCGAAAGCAGCATCACGATCATCTGCTATCACATTAATTGGATTCTCCCCAAGTGCTTCTGCTGCAGTGTATCCGTAAAGCTTCTCCGCCATAGCATTCCTGAAACAATCAAATCACACAAATTAACAATGATCAAGAATCTAACTAACCTTTCTCTATGACAAACTAATCATATCACAAATGAACAATGCATGAACCAAATCCAGAACTTAACTTAACCATTCTCTATCACAAAATAATCAAATCACACAAATGAACAATGCATGAATCACATCAGGAATCTAACTAACCATTCTCTAACAGAAAATCACATCAGGAATCTAACTAACTATTCTCTATAACAAAATAATCATATCACACAAATGAACAATGCATGAATCACATCAAGAATCTAACTAACCTTTCTCTATAACAAACTAATCATATCACACAAATGAACAATGCATGAACCAAATCCAGAATCTAACTAACCATTCTCTATCACAAAATAATCATATCACACAAATGAACAATGCATGAATCACATCAAGAATCTAACTAACCTTTCTCTATAACAAACTAATCATATCACACAAATGAACAATGCATGAACCAAATCCAGACTCTAACTAACCATTCTCTATAACAAAATAATCATATCACACAAATGAACAATGCATGAATCACATCAGCAATCTAACTAACCATTCTCTAACAGAAAATCACATCAAGAATCTAACTAACTATTCTCTATCACAAAACAATCATATCACACAAATGAACAATGCATAAACCAAATCCAGAATCTAACTTAACCATTCTCTATCACAAAATAATCAAATCACACAAATGAACAATGCATGAATCACATCAGCAATCTAACTAACCATTCTCTAACAGAAAATCATATCAAGAATCTAACTAACCATTCTCTAACAGAAAATCACATCAAGAATCTAACTAACCATTCTCTAACAGAAAATCACATCAGGAATCTAACTAACCATTCTCCATCACAAAACAATCATCCAGCAAGTCCACAAGATCGAACCTACTCACCAAAATATAATCCGCATGTTAAGATCAAAAGCATGAACAGCTTGAGCCATAGACTGCAAAATATTCAAATAATGTTTATCATTAAACTTCCCAGCCGACGGTCCACCTCCTCCGCCTCCTCCACCGCCGCCTCCACCTCTCAGATTGATCGGACCTAAGATACGACTATCCTTACGCAGCGGCGAGGCGTGACGGAACGAGGCGGCGCCGCTCTTCCTCCAAACCGAAGAAGCTCCGTCGCCGCCGCCGATGTTTCTCCGCGGAGGACGATGCGGCGAGACCGAATGCGATCGCTGCCGAATCTCAGTGGAGACCTTGAGCCTCGACATCTCCTGCTTCAGATGCTCTTGATTCTCCTCGAGCTCGAGTATCTTCTTGAGAAGCTGTTCGGCAGGTGGAGTCTCCATTTTTTGGCGATCAGAATCTGAGCGAGTTGAATCGGTGGATCGCTCGAGTTTAAATCGGAGGTTAGTCAACAAAAATATCTTTAGAGGAAGAATCGGTTTAAGGAATGATTTGACTCTCTCTCTATACAGCAAAAAAAGGTAGAGAAAGTCTTTTTTTCTCTCTCTAGGAGAGAAATGGAATTGACGCGATAAATGTTTCTTTCAATGAGTCAACAATAATGGAGGTAAAGCTTTCCTCCTCAGCTTATAATCTTTTGATTCGCTTTTCTTCTCCTTGTTCCTTTTTCATTTTATTTCATTTCATTTTTTTACTACTTTTCTTAATATCTATTCCCTCCGTTTCATATTAAACTAGGTGTTTTGCCCGCACTTGCGGGCTTAATAATTTTACTAATATCTATAAATAAATATATAATCAATTTATGTAAATTATAATAAATTATAGTTCATAGACTCAAAATATTTAATAATAAACTAAACAAATTATAGTTCATAGACTCAAAACATTAAACTGCAAATTTTTCATCATCATATAAATAATTTTCATTACACAACTTATATTTGAAAATACTCATGAACTTAAAATATTTAGTAATAAATTAATATCATTTGTAGACATAACAAAAAAGTATAAAAAATTATCTTTAATAATGTTTTGGATAACACAATATAAATTATCTATACATAAATTCTTTGCGAATTGATTTTTCATAATTAACTATATATTAACAAATAGAATTAGTTTTCAACGTTAATAAAGACTTTATAACACAATATAAAAAAGTTTTAGATAAAGATAAATCTAAAATCATTGAAATTCTTTTTTATTTATGTTTAATTATATTAAAATTTTTAATCATTCATTAAGGATATAAACGATATTAACCGCTCTAACTTTCAACATGAAAGTTACAAATTAATCAACAAATTCACTTAAATTTTATAATAGAAAATAGATTTTTAAGATAATAATCTAATACAAAATAATTAACATATTTTCTAAAAATATAATATTATTAACATAAATTCGTTTTTATTTTATAATAAATTATTAAAACATGAAAATAAGCAAAATAACCTAAAATCATGGAGAAGTTGACAACTAAGCAAATTTACTTCTCAAATAATGTTATAGATGTCGAATTTTTTTCGTTACAAAATAAGTGTCGTTTTCAATTTTCAATGTAAAATTTATTAATTTTATTATGCAGTCCATTTTTCTATTAGTTGATATATGGTTAGATGTATAGGTAATTGTGTTTTTATATAAAAAAATATACAAAATTAATAATTTCTTTAATCAATGTGCATGAACCTAAAAGGATACTTATAATAAAATAGAGGGAGTATACGGTTTATTTATTTATTCTCGCTGTATTTAATTTGGACATATTCTAGATGTGTTTGGTTGTAAGAAGAAGAAAAATTGAATTAGACTAAATAATGCTCTTTCCATTAATTGTTGCATATAAGTGAGATTTATGTTCCAATAAATATGGAAGGAAGTTTTACCAAAAAATCTTATCTAAAAGGAAATAATAAGCAACAAATTAAGAAATGGAGACAGGTTGATTTGTTCCTATCTTCTTGGGGGGGTCTTGTGTTTTTGTGATTAAGATTGTGTCCTGTTTTGTCAACTCCCCATTCATGCATCCACTATTATTATTTATGAGTATGATTAAGAAAAAATTAATATGTAAATTTGATGGAGTATTATGTTCTTGTTTTAATTGAATAAGCATTTTCTGATGGTTAATGGTACCATGAGCTAGCACGCACACTCATTCTCTTATTGGATTTGCTTTCCCATATATAGTAAGAAATTCTCTGGCTTTTAAAACTATTCTTGACTATATATACTTGATTAGTGTGGTTTATAAAACCTATCACATAACATAATATCATTAGGACAATAAATATCTTCACAAAATAATAGTATAGTATATAGTTGCAATAGTATAATTCAAATTAATGGTATTTTGTTTTATGTATGGTCAATTTTTTCTTATATGGTAGATACATTTCTATGAGAACTTCTTTTTTTTTTTGGACAAACATTTCTATAACTTTGTACAATAATTTGAGTATGAATAAAATAAATCACTCTGTGCAAGGAAACTTAATTAGATTCGTGATTATATCTTCCTGAATAGATGGATACATATACAAGAAGCGAAGATTTCATGTTGTGATTTCGACAACTATTCTTGTTTTCTTCTGCAATAAGAAGAAACTTTTTTATGGTTAATTATAGGACCCACCAACATGTTAATTAACTCAATCTCTTTTTATTAAGCACTAGAACACATGTTTGATTATGTCACCTAACTCTTAATATGTGTGAACATGTTTCTCTGTAATTAATTTTAAATTTCTTAACACACCAGCTTATTTGTTTGTAACTGGAGAGTGGATAAACTCTGTTTCATACATAAGCTAAAATGAAAGTCTGAAATCATGATTGCCATAGGAGCTAAATTCTTCGAAAGTCGCTTATTTATATATGACAGTATGACACTGTAAACTTTAGACAAGAAAGCCATAATAACTTACAAAATGAAATGTTTATTATCTCGCGGTAAAAATATGTTTTTTTTGTCAAAGCGGTAAAACCGTAAAGTATGTATAACCAGTTGAACCATGGTGGAGAAACTTATATGAATAAAAGGTTCATTATTTTAATGCAAAGGTTTGACTTTCGAATTGCTGAACGTAGAGAGAAAGAGAGAGAGAAGATAGAAGAGGAGGTTGGTCGGTTCTAATTTATTGGTAGTCGACAATTTGATGGTTAGGCAGACAAGAACAAAAGCTACAATCACTCAAAGAATCATCATAATACGTAAGAAAGATATGTTTAGCGTGTAAAAGACTGGCAATATACAAGCGCAGACGAGCTTCCACATTCTTCTTTCTTTTTTTAGTTTTTTATACAGGCTAATACAGCTATTTACCTTGCATGCATGAATGAAATTTATCCGTACTGCAATGTTTAAACACGGTACGTACCAGTGAATATATACACCCTCGATGATGACATGGGGTAAAATCCTTGTGCTGGTGTTAATATTTGATCTAAAGACGAGACAAACTAACTATTTTTATCATTTTTCTAAAATTAAAACTTAAAAGGCTCAAATTTGAAGCTATAACAAATAATAAAACATAAAACTATTAGAAGTTTAGATCAAAAACTGAAAGTAAAATAAATTTGAAGTCGGCTTTAACTACATTAATATTCATGCAATCTCTATCTTAGACTAATGTATGTCGGCCAAAATATCGGAATGCAACTAACCTATACCTTTTTAAATTGAAACTATATTTCTTTATGTTCTTTTGTTTTGCTGATATCACATGTGCTTTTTTAATAAATGCTAACTTGGAATAAGGTGGCATAGTTTTCGTTTAGTATTTGGATATTACTGGTTTGAAGTTATTGGTTTCTTTAGAAAACTAAAGATTATTACAAAAAGAAGTATGATCCATTCAAGATTTAGATTACAGATACGAAAACTGTTGTCTTGGCATCTTTTCTTTTTATTTGGTGGCAATTTTTTTGGTTTAGCTATAACTATTGAGACGTGTTAGTAAATAATCGGCCAGATTATATTGAAACCTTAGAGCAAAATATATGTATTGTTGTCACTTGTCAGGTACTAAGGCCGGTACGAGTAGCTTGGAAGTGTATTGATATACTTCCTTGCAGATCTCTTAGTCTCTCCATCAGTTATTTGCCACATGGCATCAAACCAACATAGAAGAATACACAAAGTAAGTGTCAGCATTAGCCGTGACATTGATCTATATCAAGGAGAACATCAGGATTGATCCTGAGATTTTGGGAGTCTTAGACGATTTTTAAATATTTGAAATAAAAAAATTTTAACTAATTTGAGATCCTAAATTTTTTTTTAAGATCTATACACATATAATTTTTTTCAAAATTTCCGGAATCCTAAAACGAATGTTTCAACTTGATCCAGGACCAGCACTGAAGAACAATGATAATTAAAGATCATGCATGCTTCTAGCAAGGATAATGAGGTGATCAATATTGTAATCTACCTGTGCTAACAGCATTCTGCTAATGAGATCCAGAGAGGATCAATGTCGTTTGGAATTTTCAGCCTCTGGTGACTATATATGTCTTCGTATGCCAACCATGCCATATTGGTCTACTAGTATTGTACATGAATAGGAAAAATATCATAAAACATCTATAAGTATTTAATTTATTTCATTGACTACAACACACCGTCATGTTTTGAGTCCAAATCTTAGCATGATAAAATAGATTAATATACTCCCAGCAGCAAATTGGTAAAGCCATGAAGGTAGTAATATACATAATTATAGGGTTCAAAATGAAATTGTTAATTAAAATTCTTTAAAAAAAGATTTATGGTTTCCAAAATCTCAAGACCTTGCTCTTCTCAATCCAAGAACTAACAATGATAATTCAGTTCTAAACTATATATGAGTTTCATAACTGGTTTGTTCTGAACTATGAGTTCCATTTGTTTTTCATACATTAGAAATCTCAAACTTAAGTTTGCTATTTAAAACTTTAAACGAAAGGTCAACAATTATTGAAGAATAAAAACGGTGGTGAAGCAGATTTCTAGGCTAAACTTAGATCATGGATTTTAATTGAAGAATACGAATGGTTTTAAATACAAAGAGAGAACGTTAAGGTAAAGCTGACGTGTTTGACCTATTTTAACGCAAAACCTTCACAACATTACTACCCATCATCCCCTCTTAAAAGATTATTTGATTCTCTTCTATCTTCCAAGAAACCCAATTTTTTTTTTCCTCAAAAGGGAGGAAAAAATAGGTTAAAAGAAAATAATGGAGTCGAATAAAACGTTATGGATCATCTTAATCGTCACGGTTTCCACGATGGTCACCTTCCTAACGCCTATGGTAGAGTCCAAGTCTAACGTCGCAAGGTCTCTCCTCTTTGTCTCCCCACCTTCAGACTCTCCATCTCCTTCACCAGCATCAGGGGCTCCTGAAAGTTCCATTTCTCCTACTAATGCTCCAACGCCAAGCTCTCCCTCGCCGTCACCAGAGGCTCCAAGGACAGACTCTCCCTCTCCTTCACCAGAGGTAGATATAGACTCTCCCTCTCCTTCACCAGAGGTAGATATAGACTCTCCCTCTCCCTCTCCTTCACCAGAAGCTGATCTGGAAGATTATTCATCTTCCCCTGCTAATTCTCCGACGGAGATGGAGACAGACTCTCCATCTCCGTCACCAGAGGCTCCCGAGGAAATCCTCGGGGCTCCATCTGGAGAAACACTTATAAGTTCAGCTACAACTCTTCTGAAAAACACATTGTTGTCTCCTGAAATCAAAACCATTTGTGGAAAAACCGATAATCCTGCGCTATGCGAATCTTCCATTAGTCCTCTCTTAACAGCTGCAATAAAACCCGACGCTTCCTCTGTTCTCGTTCTCGCCATTCAAGCTTCCATCAACGCCACCAAGGTGGTGTTACCAACCGTCAACAAAGTAGCAGCAGCGGATTGTCAAGAGCTGTACGATGACGCCGTGGCGAACTTGGAGGACGCGATTAACGCCGTCAAGGAAAGTGACATTGACACCGTTAACACGAACTTGAGCGCGGCCATGACGGATTACGGTACGTGTAACGACGGGTTTGAGGAGGCTGGTGAGACTAACCCGTTGGCTGACGTGGCTGATAAGCTTACCAAGATGGTTAGTAACTGTCTTGCTATCTCTTCGTTGATCAAGTGATGATTGAATGTACACGGCGTTACGTTTTTTTTCAAATCTTTTGAGTATTAAAGCAAATTAAAAAATTGTGATGTCTCGCTATCTCTACGCTGTATTCCATAAATATTTAAAGAGTGGTGAAGGTTTAGGCGTTATGGTGGTGTAACGATATTACATGCATCGATCTATATATCATCGTTGTTATATATTGTCATGGTGTGTGTGTGTGTGGATATTGATATCTCGTGAAACAAAGTGATATAAAAGTATAAATGTAAACTACATAATCATTTGCTTCTCTTATGTTAAGAAAAAATTGGTGATTTGAAACGATGTTGTGAACGTTTGGTTACTTTTGTGAAATGAACAACACGTGCGTTGACAAGTAATGCACTATATAGTTAAAATTTTGTTCGGGAACGCGCTAGGCACTAGTCGAGGTATACGGTTGAGTATAGCATCTAGAGAAAAAATCAGAAATTAAACAGAGATTATAAGAGGCATAATTTTAGACTATTTAATATGGTATAAAATATGTTAATCTTTAATTGTATATAACATTAATATATTTTAAGTTTAGAATCTTATAAAACACACAAATAGAATATATATACTTATTATAGTATAACTTTTATCAAAATTATGATTATAAGTTACATTTATTAAATTTTAGATCAAATAAATAGATAGAATATTATTATTTTTTAAAGATTAGGTGGCCATTTAGGCGGTTAGACTAACTAAAATCAAACAACAGATTTTTTACAGAGATTTGATACAAATCGAAACGGAAGAAGATCATCATGCGCCTAGATAACCGATTTTTAGAATAGGGGTTAAAATCAGTGCTCGAGACATCCATATGAGATGATTAAATTCCTAGAGTATTGTTGTTTAAACGGGCACATGCACCGATTTTAAACTTTTAAACGCATAAACTTAATTTAGATCTGATTTGTTGATTAGATAGGTGTTTAGACGCCACTAAAACAACTTTTTAATTAATGAAATCCTGTAAAATAATCATGTAATATAAATTTTCAGTACGAGAAAAAAAATTAAACTTACTAGTTCCTCGGTTTCATATAAGTGTTATAGAGAAAAATATTCATTATATATAAAATAAGTGTTGTTTTCAATTTTCAATGTAAAATATATCAATTTTATTCTATAATTTATTTTTTTCATTGGTTGAAATATGATCAAATATATAAATAAATGTGTTTATTATACAAAAATTATATAAAATTAGTTGATTTCTTAATTTGTACAAAAAAATTAAAAAGACATTTGTAAATGAAATAGATGGAGTAGTTTTCAGTTACTATAGGTTGTGATAGAAAGACACAAAGCAAAACAATATTACTAGTAGGTTCGTGTAATTGGGCCTCAATGTTTAGGACAACCCAAAACTGTAATAATTAACCGTTTGACGCTTTACTTCCGACAAAGTAAACACTGTCCGTCGCGCCGGCGACATTTAAAGAATTGAAGTGACGACCCGAAAAAAAGGAAAAAAAAACAAAAAAAAAAAAAGAGAAAGAGAAGAAGGGAGAGAGGAGAGAAAAAATGGAGGAGATAAAGATATGGGAGACTAAACATATCTTCCACAAATACCCTTCACTTAAAGCCAATCCACATACTTCATCTCTCTCGACACCCTTCTCCCTCTCCTCCTCAACTCCATCTAGGGTTTTTCCTCTCTCTTCCTCTCGCCGCCCGTAAGCTCTCTTCCTCTCTTTTTTTGTACTTGAAGAGTTTGTGTTGATGTAAGATTTTACTTTTGCGACTTCTTGAGGATATGTTAAGTGGGTTTAGTCTCTGGTTTCTACTAAGTGAGAATGATGTGTCTGATTCCTAAAACCATGTAGTTTCAACCTCAAAATCAATCTTTAGAAATATCTCCCAGGAAAAAAAAAACAAGAATTTTGAAGCTTAGTTTTGTCTGAAAACTGCTTTTCAGTTAACCTCGTCAACATTGTTATTGTTTAGTTACTTTCTGTATTAACTAACTAACTCTGGTCGGTTATTCTGCTACAGTTATTCTTACTGTTTTGAAATTTGAAGATAATGGAGCCAGTCTCTGAAGGTTCTGCTTCTACTTTAGCTGGCTTTATGGATAGGAGAAAGAGAAGCCCTCTGATTCGTCGACCCCGCGATGTAAAAGAAAGCTTTAACAGTTTCACTCCTAGCAATGAAAGTAACCCAACTCTGAACACACTGAAACTTAAGCTTAAGCTTGGTGGTGGCGTTACTCGTACTATCCAAACCAACTCAGAGGCGGGTATTTTCACCAAATCCACGGTAAAAAAACACACACACATACTCTAGTCTATTAAATAGTTTCGGTTCTGTTATTAGTCATAAATTAGTTTTTGTGTGAACTTGTTACATTCCTAATGTTTGAGACTAATGTGCAGAATAACGGTCAAAGATGTGTTCAGAAAACTATGTGTCTAGGAGATATAGACCGACCTAGAGTGAATCCCTCTGAGAATGTAAGAGGAGCATCAATGTGTGAGAAGAGCAAACGTGGTGTTAAAAAGCGTTTGTTGGATCCAGAACAAGAGAGTGATGTTGATGAAGGAGATGAGGAGATTAGATACCTTGAAAAGTTGAAGTCTAAAAGGGTCACAAGGGACCATCATGAAGGAGGCAGAAAGATACACATCAATGTGGAAGACAAACGTGATGTCGCTGAAAGGGATAAGCTCACTATGGAAGGAACAACTAGTGGACATGTTCCTACTACACGTACTCGAGCTCTCTTGTCTGGAAAAGATCCGTATTCTCCCATCGGTTCGGTTCCTCTTGAGTTTCCTGATGGCTTACCTTGCCCTTCTTCTAAAAGTGAGTTGCACATTTTTTTTTGTTTTCCTTTTAGCAAATTTCAAGGTGTGAATGCTGATTCTGTGAGGTTTAAACAATTACAGGACAAAAGCAGAAGCTTTCTGAGGTAGAACAACAATCCAAGAAGGCTGAAGCTGCACAGAGACGGCGAATACAGTCAGAGAAGGCTGCTCAAGAAGCTGAGGTAAAGTTAAAAAATCATTTTGTTTTAAGTTTGATTTGCGGTCTAGACCGATTTTTAAAACACTGGTCTGAACTCTTCTTTGTCTTCTTCATTAGGCTGAAGCTATCAGGAAAATACTTGGACAAGATTCAGGAAGAAAGAAGAAAGAGGAGAAGATTAAAAAACAACAGGAAGAACGAGCTCAAGTACCTAAAACAGCAGATGCTTCTTTTCCTTTGTCTCTCTCAATCTCTCTTTTGTGTTAAACTTCATCTTTTTCTTATTCACAGGAGAGAGCTACAAGATCAAGCACACTCCCATCAGACACTATCAGATTAGTTATTGGTCCAAGTGGAACAACCTTGACGTTTTCTGAAGACATTGGTCTTCCTGATATCTTCAAGCCGTGTACTCACAGGTAAAACACAGCTTCTAAATATAGTGTAGAAACCAAGGAATGGTGAGGTTTTGTAATTGTGTTGAACTGTGTTAAATCTTTCTGTAGTTATCCTCCTCCTCGTGAGAAGTGTGTGGGGCCAAACTGCGAGAAAGCATACAAGTACAGGGATTCAAAATCGAAGCTACCACTATGCAGTCTCACGTGTTACAAGGCTATTCAAGCCAAGATGCAACAACAATCTTTGATTCATTGCTAATTGCTTAACAGATTTTTTTTTTGTTTGTCAAAATGTATTATTATATATATGAACACAGTTGTTTCTTGACATGAACAAAACTTTCGCCTAGTGTGTTCAGTGAAACATGAAGTTTGGATTCCTGTGCTTTATAAGAATTGAAATGGCTGAATGATTTTCAATTTTATAGTAATCTTGATTTTTGTTTCGTGTGTTATTTGGTGTATACTGATTATCAAACTCTTTTTTTCTCACTGAAAACATACCATTTCATTTATAACTTTGAACCTTCAGACACAATAGATTACACTCTGAGCTATGCGATAAGCTCCACATATATTCTCCTATCAGCCTTTTCCAATTTCCAATCAGGAATGCTAAATGTACTGTCAAACTCTCAAATGGTATATATAGATGTTGAGATTTAGGTGGCCAAAAAAAAAGATTAAGAAATGTGGCTGCTGGGATTCGAGCCCAGGTCTCCACGGCCACAACGTGGAATTCTTACCACTAAACTACAGCCACTTTTGTTTCTTTATGTTTAGCAAATATTTCTATTCTACAAATTAGTGTTTGGAAAATCAATATTTAAGTGGCTAGTGGCTACTAATCTTAACTTCATTTGCTTTGATTATGTAGAGCAACCCATATTTTCATTTGCAACAATATAAAAACAAAATCTAAAAACAACACGTTTGGCTGCATATACCAAAATAGCATAACACTCGTCTCTTTGTCAAAATATAGTGAAGAGAGTGGAGTATCCACGAACAAAGAGGACCGATCACTAGGAACTTGAATTTAGAAGAAGAATAAAAACAAAGTTAGTTGCTGATGATAGACCATCATGTCTTACAATATGCAATTGAACAGACCACAGAGACTTCTAAGTTTTTTTTTTTTTCCCAAAGATGAATAATATAAAGCTGCAAACACAATGGACGAAGAAGAACCTGTTACCTTCTCAAACTCGCGCTCTCTATACATTTCTTCCTCTCCCTTGGTTGCTTTTCTATTGCGGTTTCTCATGTCTACTTCTCAGTCCATGAGTACCTTTCCGTCCACAGCCAACTACAAGTCCCAGAATGTTGTAATCTCAGGTCCCATTTACAGCCATTTCAGGTGAGGAGTTTGGAGCTACTACCAGGGATTCTTCCCCATTTAGCTTCTTTCCTTTGTCTGATGTTCCCTGTTCAGAATTAGTAACTCCATCATCCTTATGATTTTTATCATCTAAACTGTTGCTTTTATTCTCTTCATTGCTTCTCGGGTCCTCAGGTTCCTTTGCTAATATCGACCGGGCTACAGATCCCGTGGTGCCTTGACTTTTCTTGCTCGCAAGCACTGCATGGCTCAACGTCGAACACAGCACAGCAAATACGTTTTCTCTTTTCGGGTTTTTACCCAGTCGAGGTTTTTTGGAAGGCTCTTGTTCTCTCTCTACGAAAGGGGATTTGCGTTTCAGCCCCAGGAGCCCGCCTTCCTCCTCCTCAGAGACTTCGGGCTGTTTCTTAGGTGGAGGTTTATAGTCTTCATCATCTTCATCGTCCTCATAGTCAACCAAGCTTCCAGACCTGGGGCTATAGCGTTTATATAAGAAGCAAGCAAACCCATTAGACAAAGTCAATGCATATCATGAGTTTTCAATCGGAACACAACTATACCTCGAAGAAGTAGGGCTTGCAGCAACTCCATTTGATATGTGAAGCTTCGGTTGTTCTTTCTTTGTATTAGAAGAAGGTTTTTCCTTTTGTGTATTAGATGCAGATGCAGAATCTTCTTCATCGCTGTAAGTGCTAAAATGTGTGAGAAAAGTTTAAGCAGAACAATAAAAATAAAAATAAAAATAAACACCCAGAGACAAAACCTGTCTTCATTGAAATAATCTTCCTCCTCTTTATCCAATGCACGTTCGTCAATTCTTCTTCTCAGTTCAGCCGCAGCAGTGTTTTGTGGTACGGCACTTTCTAAGCACTGAAGACGCATTTGTTACACAAAGACGCACACACAAAAAAAATTAAACGTCAAAAAAGATCAAAATCCAAAAGCAATACCTGTTCATATTTAATCTTAAAAGCCTGGATGGAGGCCAAGCATTGGAATTGGGCCAACTGGTCCCAGAACGTATCAACTATGTATTTGATTAACAGGGTTGCATTTCCCTTGCGTATGTGCTCAAGCAGATCTAAGACTGCAGAATTCAGTAGATTGTACCGGTTTCCATTGGTAATGAAGACATCTAATATCGGTTTCAGCATGTTGTTCTTAACAAAGTAATTCTGGACATGATCATCCTGCAATAGAAATACATTTCAAAATTAAGTTCCTTTTTCTCATTCATCTGATAAGCTTTTTTGTAGTCATGATGGAAATAAGAGATAGCGTCAGTACACAAGCAACTTAGTCTATTATAGAAAGCCTGCGATATGCTACCTACCATTTCGAAGGGCAACTAGGATAACTTTATCTAACAATTTAGCCAAAAAAGCATGATTAACTACAGCAATATGACTCAGTTTTTAGCTTAAGGGAGCCTTTAGGAACTAATTCAAATGACTAGCATACATCGTCATGGTTCAAACAAATATACTCACGTGCACAGATAGGAGAGTACGGACAAATCGTACAGCAGCAACCACTAGGTATTTTTCCTTTCTCCGTGTGAGATGCAAAACTTTTTCAGTCACATTGTTTTGGAGAAAACTGCATCTGTAAACAAGAAGAAATGGTACATGAAAAATATCAAATGGGTTCCAGCATGAGAATAAAACAAAAAATTACAAAAATAAGTAGCAAAATGGGTACTTTGTTCTGGATGAATCTTGCATGATGCAAAAGCACAACAGTTCACATATACTCAGTAGGACTTCAGGCTTCGTGCTAACCCTTCTCGCTCCACCTTCAGATATGCTGCCTGACTTCTCAGGACATGAGGCAGCAATAACATCCACTAACTCAGGTATATGCTTCTCGAAGAAAATATCCATGATATTTGCTCTCTGCTATAAATGGAATGCGTTAGAAAATAATAGAACCCATGATAGCTACAATTAGAAGAGAGAAATGGGTAAGGTAGCAGAAAGCTTAAAGAACATTGAATACTTTGTAAATAATAGCGAAATCCTTTTAAAAAACACTATATAGTGTCTTATGCTGATTCAAGAGCATGCAAGTTCCGGGTGAAAGTTAGAGTGCCACTCGGAACGTTTTCTTGCTAAGCTTGACTATAAATGGATTTAAAAAACAGTACACAAACAATGGGAGAAATACACCCCTATCTAATTTCAGAAATTGAGGTATTGACAGTAAACAAGGATGCACCTGAGCTCCACTAGACAATGCATTTGCATCCAGTAAGGTTCGAATAATTTCTAGAAATTGACAATGCATCTTATCACCAAAGTCTTCCATCATTCCCTTGACCTGTTACCCAAATAAAGAGAGACACAACTCGAGTCTTAAAAAATAATAGAAACAATAGCCTCTCAACTGAAGAAACAATCCAAAGGCTTACAGAAAATTACCAGGAGACCGAGGAGGGGGGTTCCTTCTGTCCGAACAACATAAGAACGTAACAGGTTAGGGTCTTGAGTCAAGAAAAGAATGAGGATATCTGCTCTGCATCCACAAGAATTATTATCTTTAGTATAGAGCTTGCAAATTACCACTTAGGCTTCTTAACGGCAATAGAAAATAAAAACAGAGTAACCACAATGAGCTATCAGGTCTAATTAATCGTATACCCAGTTAATACGAGTTTTTTGTCTGGAATCTGCAAGACTTCCTCTATGACCTGGAAAATTCCTTCATTCACAAGGTCCCTGAAAATCATTGAAAAGACATGCACGCCAACTGAGAAACAATAAGAAAGGCAATAACAAAAATGTAATAACTGCTGCAAATGTTACAAAGTCGGTAACTGTTCAGCACCAATTGCATGTAGTTTCTGGTGAGTACATACCTAAAAAGCCGCAGCTGCTGCACCACTTGGAGGCTCTTGCTTAAACTACAAAACTCGTGCAAGAAATATACCTAATTTATAGAGAATGAAAGCACATCAGAATGACTAACTGAATTAAAAAGCAATACTTCTGTAACGGATCTATTGTTGCACTCTGTTGTCACATGTAGATCATCTCAACATAGGGACTAAAGAAAATGATCCCAATTAAATGTTGACTAAAGTAACTTTTATAAACGTCTTCAAGAATACAAAACAATTGAGGGATAAAACAAAATAACAAATGCCTCCTAGAGGCAGGAAATACCAAATTTTTCTTGGATTCCATAGATGTAGAAGGTGACCTCAACCTTGCAAATAATTCTTGAATAAAAGTACTATCGTCCTTCAGCAATGAAACAACCTGGGCAAAATACAGATCCGTTAAACTAAAATATGGGATGCATGCTTTCAATGCAATATATATATGAGAGAAGATTTCCATTAAACAACTTACAATGGCATTGTTTGCATGTATTACTGAATTTAAGTTTGCAACTATAGCATCTTCTAGTACTCGAGCCAAAACAACATCCTGTAAAATGTGACAAAAGGTGAGACCTAATACCATATAAAAAGAGGCACCACCGGTTTAAGGAAAAATCACGGGATCACACCTTTAGGTAACCAATTCTGTACGTTTGGTGTATCTTTGACAGGACTAAGGGATCTTTAATTGGTATAGCCTGCAAAAAATAAATGGATATTCTAAAGCATTCAAAAACTTTTTTCACACTTACTGGATTAATCTAATTTATAAAAGTCAAAGAAAACAAATCCTATTGTAGGCCTAGCCTCAGCTGTTCTTCATTAAAAGGGTATAAGTAAAAAAGATGCAGAACAAACTAGTAGCTAACAAGATAAGTTTGTAACAGAATAACGGTGCGCATATCATTTTCTTACCAAAGCGGGAAAAAACCCGTCTCTACTATTCCTGACGTCCAGTCTACGTTATTTGTCCGGAACTAAATGAAATAATAGCATAAGAGAACATAGTGTTACCTCCTTAAATACAACATGCTCCTTCAGAAAGTTCCGGTGATGCTGAGAGTGAGGAACACCAGGGTCATCTATCAGGAGAGTCAACATGCAGGTCATTTGCTATTAAATATGAAGCAACGACCAATAAAAAAGAAAGTAACACATTGGCTCATTTGTAGTTGCAAGTGTAAACCTTAAGAACAAGAAGCTATCCACATAATAACCACAGAAACATGAAATTTTATGTCCGTGTACGACTAAGGATATGAAACCACAAGAAGATTCCTCAAAAGTGTAAATTTCTGAAAGGCCTGTAATACATATATCCAACAGCTAGAGGACTAAGATATCATTTAGGTACAATTAGTGACGTCAAACTTACACTCAAGGCATCCGATAATTTCCATGATCATCTCATCTCCAAATATTTTCTCCAGGATCTGAGAACTGTTGAGCAAAACTGTATACAAAAGAAATAAGGTATGCTGGAAATCAGGAAAATAACTTTGAAATATGTGGATGGACGAAATGAAAATGATATGTATGTGAGTACTAACTGATTCCCTTGACAATATTGAATATCATGTGCAGGCCATCAACATTTTCCAAGTCCTCGCATATTTTAAACACACCCATCAGATTCCGGAAGAAATCATGCTGCTCAAAGAGAAAACGTGGTGTAAGGAAGTTTCCAGAATATATTTCCCAAGACATGATAAACTATAAGAATTTGTATAAAGTCAAAGTTGACACTGAAGTAACAATCTCAGATACCTTAACGACGAATTTGTAGTTTAAAAAAAAAAAACAAGAATCAAACTATATCAATGGAAAATGTTCTTGCTAGCGCTTGTTCGTAAACATGAAAAACCCGCAGTGCCAGAGACAGCAGATATATATATCACTAAATTGAACTGGCAAGGACAAGAATACTTTATAACTTACATCCTTCAATATAAGTTCAGTTAGACGCATCTGATCTGTAATGCCGCTCTCTGTAACAATCTGCAAGGAAGATATATAATAAAATCTTTGGGAAAACAAAAACCTAGGAACAAATTCAACGCATCAACGACACTATTAATTAACATGAAAAGTTATTATGCACGTTCACCACACGTGAGACATCAATAAAGTATAAGGGAATAGAATCTTAACCTTCAGTATTAGGGGAAGGGTAGTAAGCTCAACAGCAGGAAGCTCCCTCAACTCACTATTCAGGCTGTGGAATGGTTCACCTGCTTAATCACAGATGATTACACAGTTATATTGCTTTGAATCAAATTAGGATATAGTAGACCAGATTAATAAGACGACAATCACGATTAGTAAGGAGAACAAATTCAACACCATGCATATGTTAAAACATATGGTCACAAATATTCTGAAATCCAAATGCTCGCAGATGCTAAAAGGTGGTACAAATAAAACTAGCTAAGACCATTGAATCGCTATTACAGGAAATAAAAGAAGTAAATCACGATTAACAAAGATCACATAAATATACTTCAGGAGAAAAGTTCTTACTGTTCAGAGAGCTGAAATGCAAGTTTCGTTGCATAGTGCAGATCTGATCCCTGAATATTCAGACACCATAGTCACAGTCAAGACAATTGCAATATGTAAAAAAAGAGAGATGAGAAGAAGATAACACGAGTAATTTCTTCACTAACCATACATAAGAGCAACCCGCAGTCTCTTGAAAGCTCAAAGCCAATTCCGTTGAGCGCTCTGGATCTCTCCATGAGATTATCGTGTCTGTACATTAAAAATGTTACCAGTCATCAACAAAAAGAACAGAAACTCCAAACATATCAAAGCTAATTAAACAACAACAGAAAAAGACTACCTTCTTGCTTCCTGTAAATATCCTCAGTATTTATAGGATGCACAAGTAACGTCTCGTTATCTTCTTCATCAATCACACATAAACTAAGCTCTTCAGAACGCTGCAACACATAAGATTCCCATTAAACCACAAATTCCAACGTTTATAAACAGAATAATCTTAACAGAAAAGAGAAACTCAATTAGAATACACAACAGACCTCCACATAATCGATGCTCACATGCCCAGTTCCTCGATCATCCCATTTACCATCTTCATTCAAATGATAAACCTTCACTCTCTGAACAAAATCAACACAAGAGTGAGAAAGACTATCCCCACAGATTAAACATAAAAAAAAAACATCACTTCCTCTCAATTCAACAAAATTCAATTGAACAGTAATTTGCTGGGAGAACAAAGCTTATTCCTCGCTCTCTACACGAACTCATACTAATCGAGAAAAACCTAGTTCGAATCAAACCTGCATCGAATTGGAATTGGATTGCGATTTATCCGGGGCGCCCATCACTGATTCCTCCACCTCCAAACACCGAATCGAGACGAGGAATTGAATACAGTGAGCGGAGAGCAGTTAGGGTTTTTGGAGGAAAGGGAGATGAATTAGACGGAGACGGTGAAGGCGGGAGAATCAGCTCCTCGTCGAATAGGAAAACCCTAATTTTACTATACGGAGAATATCAAACGAACATTGACATTCTCTCTCTAGAGCTTTTTTATTTTTAATTTTCTGCGAAGGCCTTTTTTTCCCCAACCTTCGAAACGCGACAAAAGAAAGAAGAAAGGAAACAAAAGTAAAGGAGAAAAAAAAAATTAGATAAAGCAGAGGAAAATATTTTAATTCTCTTCATACGTTACGGATAATATTCCGTTAGTACCCTCAGTCACCATTCGATAATTACTGAAAGGCCATTAAGCGATGGGCTATTCATCCCCACGCGCTCTCTTCCCGCGAATCTGCTCGATGTCCTTAAAATTGACAGCCTGTGACGGAGATGTAATGACAGAATCCAATCATATAGAGCCACGTGTGATTTGGTTATTTGCGTCTGTGAGATTAGTGAAGTGTTATGGGCCTTATGGCTATGTGGTCAAGTAAATACACACGTGGTTTAAGGTTGTTAGTGGGACTGACAAAGGCCCAACAAAACAGAGATTGAAGGAATCGAAACGGCAATTCGAATTGTATACTTTATGGATACACCATCAATTTCTTAAGAAACATTATTCTTTAACATGATTTTTCACCAAAAATCTTTAATAAGGCTTTTAACCAACTAAACGTACGTTCCAGTTATATGATCAAGTTAATAATCTGTAGATACACCAATGATCGATCCATTTACAAGATAGAGGAGCAACAAAAGCCATACGTTATGAATCTTAAAAGCTAAAAGATCAGGCAATACGAGTTTTAACTAATTCCAGTAATGAAACCAGCGAGAATCTAGAAGAGACCTATAGGCGATAAAACGAGGTCGATTCATACCTCCCTGACAAACCTTTAGACTGTATAACTAATTATAAAACCAGAAACCTAGAAAAGGCAACAAGCATTTGTACTAAATAAATGCTAAATATGATGGAGACAGGCTTTTAGTTGAGCAAAACGAATCAAACAAAGAAACTAAAGACCAAGAGAATACGAAATGAAAATCCTTGATATTAAAATAAAGCCAGGGTAAAAGGGTACACAAACATCATCCTTAAACCAAACATAACGCGAAATGTAAACTGGTTCTCTTGTCTAAAACAAACTTAATTTCATAAAAAACCTCAAAACGTCTCTCAGAGAGAATCAAAAAGCTTATTCTTCTGCAGTAGCATCGCTGTTCTTGACGTTGTGCTTCCTTGCGTACCTCTGGTTCCTCAAGAACTTAGGATCCATCTGCAACATTTCATCAAAGAGAGAAAAAAGAAAAAGAAAATCAAACTCTGAAACTAAAAATTGAAATATGGATAAATAGGTTTAAGCTTCTATAAAGACTTACCCCTCTGGTGGGAGTGTGACGGTGTCTCCTTGGCTTCTTGATTCCGTTCTTGTGAGCCTTAGCCGACTGGTTATGCGCCGTGTGATTCTTCGACTTGGCCATCTCTGCAAATATACACTATTCAAATCAAATAACGAACGGAGCAACAAAGATAAAAGATGAAACTATATCAGCGTTGAAGAAGAAGTTAACCTGAGTAAGGGGAAAGAGAGACTAGAGATCTGATCGGCTAGGGTTGCCCTAATAAATCATACGTATGAATATATAGTGAAGTTAAAATGCCCTAATAGATCATATGGGCCTCTAATGATGCGGCCCATTAAGGCCCATTTAGTATTTAGACGTTATCGTCTTAAAAAACTGAAATCATTTTTTTCCACTGACACTTCCCAGAATGGCTCTTGTCCAATCCATAACTCTGTCTCGCCTTAATGTCCCCTTGTCGCCGATTCTATCCACACTCCATGCTCCGTCGTCTCTCTTCCTCCGGAGGGAAATTCGACCAACGTTGTCATCCTCCACCGGCGGGAACGTGTCCTTCTCGCCGTTGAAGCATCAGCGGAAGCTTATGTGCTCTCCGCCTCGCGGCAAGTTTGTTAGAGAAGATTATCTTGTGGTACTGTCTTATCCCACTCTCTTTGTCTCCGTCTATCAATTTAAATTGCTCTATTCTAGATTTTTTATCTGAGTATTTTTTTTTTTTTTTTTTTGCGTTTATGTATTGGTTTGACAGAAGAAACTGTCAGCTGAGGAACTTCAAGAGCTGGTGAAAGGAGAGAGGAAGGTTCCGGTGATTGTTGATTTTTATGCCACGTGGTGTGGACCTTGTATCTTGATGGCTCAGGAACTCGAAATGGTATACACATCCATTCCCATTTCTCACCTTTTTCTTTTTTTTTTTTCTTTTTACGTATTCTACATGTTAATTGCTTGTATTTGTTGGGTTTTAGAACTGGTTATCCATTATATGATCCTGAATCTTGAAATGGGATGGTTTATGATAAGGTTTCTTGTTAATTCTAGTGCTCTACTACTATTTTTACTAGCCTAGTAGGGGTTGGTCAGTGTATAGTAGCGTTTCAGCTCAGCAATAGACCTTACGGTGAGTTTTGAGAGCTCAGTGGTTCTGAATTGATTTATGGTCTTGGTTTGGGCATAGCTTAAGCGTTTAGAGACTGTTCTCGTGAATCAAGTTTCTTCTGTGGTGTAGTTCTTTGTTGAGTTTTAATACAAAAGGATGTTTTACCCTGTTCCAGTCTTACCAGGGTTTCACCCCATTCGTTATGGTGAAAATATATTGTCGTGAAGTTTTAGCATGTTTCCATTTTCAAAATAAGTTGTGCAAACTGTGGGTGGGATTGGAGAAACTCAGCTTTCTTCTTCTTATTGTCTACTCGCTTGTACTATTCAATTCTAGTTTGGTTCGTGTTAAAAAGTTTTTCTCTTGGGGTAAACATGATCGTCTCTATCTACTCGCCTTTACTGTGCAAATATCTCGATAGATTCATGTTAAACTAGTTTTGCTATTTGTGAAAACAGCTTGCAGTAGAGTATGAGAGCGATGCAATGATCGTGAAAGTTGATACAGATGACGAGTACGAGTTTGCACGCGACATGCAGGTAAAATCTAACTCTCAGCTTCTATTTTGCATCAGTCTTCTCACAGTGCATTAATGTGATGGATGACAATAAGCAAATCTTGATTTATGCAGGTTCGGGGCTTACCTACATTGTTCTTCATCAGTCCTGACCCAAGCAAAGATGCAATCAGGACAGAAGGACTAATTCCTTTACAGATGATGCGCGACATCATTGACAACGACATGTGAAAAGTCTTATCCTGAAGAAACACTTTCTTGCTTTAGAATTGAATAGTTGTTGGCATTTGAGGATGCAGTAGGAATGTCATCAGAAAATGTAAACGAGATGACTGTAATCTAAGAATCTATATGTATGCAGTGTTAGTTTCTGGTACTTGGTTTAACCTTTTAAGCTTGATGACTACTTCAGATCATTTAAATTTCCAGTAAAGGTTTGTGGCCTTGGATCGATTAAACATCTACCTAATCACGGTTTCTGTCCGGTTTAAGTTATGTTTAATTTCTTAATTAACAACCCGAAATTAAAATATTAAACTAAACACCGCGCCACTCGAATTGGCGCCCTTTCTTTTCACCCAAATTAACAAAACAAAACTCCGCCCGGTTTTGCAGTTTGTTGGCGCCCTAATTACCCGGTACAGGGGTACTTTCGTCATTTACCACAGTAGGTTTAGCCGGCCCAACTTCAATTTATAAATGGCGTTTGGTTTAGATCTGATTCTTGTGGTGTTTGTTAGGTCGTTACTTCAAAACAAAAAATATCTCTGTTTCTGCTCCTGACACTCCCTCGCTACTCTCTGTCTCCTTTTTATTTTTTCAAATTCTTTGTTTTTTCTGATCCTTTCCTCCTCCAATCTCATCATCTCGACTCCCTGCAGACAACCTTATCTGATCTCTATTCAAAACCTGAGATTCAAATCGTCCACGATCTGCCTGTTCAATCCAAACATCCCGAAGTTGGATAAATGCTAGATCAAACCGAGAAAGTGAGTGATCTGTCTTCGATATGCTTCTAGTGATTTGGTTTGTTTTAAGTTTTAACATAATCTTCCGTGTATGTGTTTTTAGATCTTCGATTCAGAAGACATGAAAACAAAGCTCACATCCAAATATGCAACTGAAGAAGTAATAATCAGCAGCAGCAGCAACGAGAAGAAGAGTTGTGCTATTTGTGGTACTAGCAAAACCCCCCTTTGGCGTAGCGGTCCCACAGGTCCCAAGGTTTGTTAGACTCTTCTCGGTCTTTAACCTAATCTCGAATTCCGTATTCGATCTGATCTGATCTGATTTGGTTTTGGTTATTTAGTCGTTATGTAATGCATGTGGGATTAGGAACAAGAAGAAGAAAAGTAGTGTGATCAGAAAAAATAGATGGGAAGTTAAGAATAAGAATAAGAAGAAGAATCCTAAGCTTGGTGACTCATTGAAGAAGAGATTGATGGAGTTGGGGAGAGAAGTGATGATGCATCGATCGACGGTTGGAGATCAACGGAGGAAGAAGCTTGGTGAGGAAGAGGAAGCTGCTGTGTTGCTCATGGCTCTCTCTTATGCTTCTTCTGTTTATGCTTAAACAGAATCTCACTGATTTGAGTTGAGATGATTGATTAATTTTCTAGTCACTTATTCAGATTCTGAGAGTAATAATAATAGCTAACGAATTAGTTTGTAATTTTTGTTCGTTTTCTGTTGTTTAATCAAAACTTCTTTTCTGAATTTTTGTATCTGGTTTGTGTGATATGTAGTAGAAACGGAAGGTCAAGAATTAAGATTATTTTTCAGTCTTGCTTTTTTGTTTTGTTCAAATTTTTTGTCTGTCTTACTATAACAATTTTTATTGATTTTTTTTCTTGAAGGTTTTGTCTTTTTTTTTTTTTAAGAGAAAAAATAGTGACAGTCTATCTGTCAAGCACAACATTTATTTTTGGAAAAGAAAAAAAAAACAAGAGAGTGTAGTGCTCGAATTTGCCGCTTTTTTTCCCCAGTGAAACCTCTGAAATATATTCGAGTTGGGGGAATTTGAAAATTTTGGTCATATACTTTTTTTTTTTTTTTTTTTTTGATCAAAAGGTCATATACTTCTAAGTTGCAACAAAAATTCCTTGAAGGAGGAATTGAGAACACTCCACTTGAAATCAATGAATTGGGCCGGAAGGCCGGGAAGCATAGTACCAAAGCCTTCAATCGCCGGCCCGATTTGTCTTAAGCTGATCCTCCACTTTGCAAGAAGGCTAATAAAGTGTTATAAACTGACAGATAAATGATTCATCCGGTAAACTACCAATTAGTCACTATATCTATTCTATTAAAATAGTCACTCTATAAATCTACTATCCAAGAGTCTATTGTTAGACCAATTCATATACACAGTGTGATCTTATCAAAATCTTTATTTAATATCTTATGTAAAGGTTTTATTTTATCAGACAGAGTTTCTTTGCCTAATTATAAACGTGTCATTTTATTTTATCGGACGGAGTTTATCTGTCCATTTTGCGCATATGTTTTTGACATTGTTGGGCTCTGTTGTCACGTTGATGAAGAACGGGTACCGGTAAATTAACCATCATGAAAACCTTCTTTTACAATGTTACGTCTCTGGAGACAAGATTTTGTATGAATATTTGGTTTAGTCAGGATTTAGATTTAGCTTTGTTAAGAGCATCTCCAATGTAAAACTTCATTTTTTCCTCCAAAATGGAGTAAAAGAGAATATGGAGTAAAAATGTTCCAACTCCACTCTATTTTCCACTCCATAATGGAGTGTTGAACAAATAAAAAACAGATTACTCTATTTATGGAGTAGAAAATGGAGTAAGGTTGGAGTGTTTTCTACTCCACATTCCCTTTTACTCCATTTTAGAGTAAAAATTAGAGCTAAGTTGGAGATGCCCTAAGATGTAACAAAAGCTTTGGTCTCCTTTTAGAAAGTTGTATCAGTTAACTAATGATGAATATCTGTAATCAAAAGTTTTATCAGTTTGAATCATGAAAATAATTCAGTAAAGCTACTAAAAGACAAAGAAAAGTAAAAAAAAAAACTGAAAAAACTTTATGAGTGAACACATGTAGATCTGCTTCTCATGAACATCTTCCAATCCGACAAGTTATTATCCAACACCCGGTTCCTCACATGTGGATAACCCCATAACTTATAATCCGATGGATTAAAAACCGGCGACTCCTTCTTAAACCGATTTTGTTTCGATATACCAAAAACCGGAGTCTTCTCGGTTATGTTCCCCATGAAACTTGCACCGTTGGTCTTTAGACATCTCTCTATCACCATGTTCTCTTCTCTGAACTTATCCCTAATGTCCCTGAGGGTTTGACAAAACCGGTTCGGTTTAGTTTCTTTGCGGTTCTCTTTGGTTTTGTGTGAGACGACACAGCTGCATTTCATACATATGTTCTTCCTTCGGTCTGTGTTGAAGCATCTTCTCTTTGTTTCGTCTGTAAGACATAAATAAGCCTGCATACGTCCAAGACAACAAGTAAGCTCTAGAGTTTAATCTTTGAACCGGAAAATAACCGGATTACTCAATTAACCCCACCAAACCGGTTATTGGATCTTATTATACTGTACTGATGAGACAATGAATGTCATGAATAACACGAGGATGCCATTATTATTATTATTTTTGTGCTTAAAGGAGGATGCCATTATTAAGCGTACGATTCATGTCCGAACTCCGAACACACATTTTTATATCATAAACAAAAAATAATTTTTTTTTTGGACAAAAGCAAAAAATAATTCATTAATGTATCCTGAGAAAATAATAAATGTATTCACGTGTAGATTGCTGGGAATTGTTTTTATAAATAAGATAGAAAAATGGCTGACCTCGTGGATGAGCTTAAAAGCAGTATCTGCTTTTGGGTGATTGTTTTTATCGGGATGAATCTTCAGAGCTGCACAAAATAAATACGATTTATATTAGAGATATATCCATAGAATAAAATATTTAAATTCTAGCATTGATGACTATAATCACACTCAAAATCTAAAAAAACGAAACTGAAATGAAACCTGACCTAGTTTGTGGTATCTTTTACGTATGAGCTTGATCTCTGCATCTTCCTGGATCTGTGTAAATCATACAATCAATTTTTTAGTAGGAATAGAATGCAATAAAAAATTATATATTTAGATTTTGAGAAATGAGAAAAGGACATACACCGAGAATGAGATACCAGTCGATGAAACATGAACCGGATGAGTTGCGATTGATGTGAATGCAAGAGATTGGTGATCTCGACAGGGAACAAATCTCTGAGACCAATGCCGCTTTTGGATCCGGTCCGGGTCGGATCTTACCCATTGCAATAATAGTTTCAAGAATCTTTCCAGATAAAAAAGGTTTTCTCTAGAGAAAGAAAATGGAAGGAGTGAGCAGAAAGAGAGAGAAGGAAAATACGTTAAGAGAATGCAGGCAGACTTTGCGGGAGAGACATTTTAAATTAGAAGAGAGAGAAGATGTATAAATTGATCCATTTATTATAAAATAAATTCATTAATTACTGAAAGAAAAAGTTACAACAAAATACAGAAAATTTCAAATAGAGAATGGGAAAAAGTTTGTTCAAAAAAAAAAGAATGGGAAAAAGTAACCGTAGTTTATCATGTATAAATGAATATCAAAGGTTGTTGAGGAAAAAGAGAGAATATCTAAGGACTTAGGTTATGTGGTGAAGTGGATAGTAGAATTTCATTTTTTGGTCTAACAGTCGAATTTCATGTATAATAGTTAGATAAAGTTTTATAAAATATATATATGATCGTGACAGAGTTTATGATACGAATTTTTTTTTATATTTGTTAAATGTAGAAAACTTAAAAGTGGAACACGAAACTTGTGATATATAACATGATAACCATATACTAAAGGATGTCTTTATTTGAAATCAGATGAAATAGGTGAAACAAACAAAAAGTAAGTGACATAAACAAGAAAATGAAGCGACTACCAAACTTCTATTTTAATTTTATCGAATACATGAAATATCGAAGCTGTGGTGATTTTTAAATTGGTTTTATAAAATAAGATTTGATGGTTTCAAAATAAAACCCTCGGAAATCTAATATATGTGTATATGTATGTCTCTATAGTGATAAAAATTGTCATCTGGCATTGCTTTGAAATTTGGACTTAGATTGGATTTCGGGATATCTCTTTTTCTGGTGTTTGATGTTTGACTATAACTTGAGACAACACCAATAGTATATCACAATGGCTTTGGACATAAGCTAAGTACAGTATAACCTCTTTAAATTAATAATCTATAAATTAATATCTCTATAAATTAATATACTTTCATAGTCTCAAATTGATTTTTTGGTTCAATTAATATCTCGATAAATTAATAATCTCTATAAATTAATAAAAATTTTAGTTTTGGTGTAATCCCAATATTATTAATTTATAGAGGTTTCACTGTATGTACCTAATGTTACAAGCACGTTGATTTATAAGCCCAACAACCCCTCCAAATACAGTATTTTAAATCATAAACCATAGTTTATGTTTTAGTTGTGGCTGACTTATTGTAATGAAGCCAAACAAATTTCAGTACTATATAATTTGAAAACAAATTGATCACTGCTCAAGATCAGTATTAAGTCAAACATAGCGGTTGTAATTGGTCACCTGAAAGCAAAATACACATGGGGATGCTAAGTTCTTGATTATCAATAAGTTTTTCTTTTTTGCCAATTATGCTCTGAATTTTTATCAATTATGTATTTAGTTTTTTTTTTAATATACACCATTACCTCTAGTAGTATATGACTAAGATGCCCGCTTCGTTACTAACGTTACATGACATATGTTAATATCGAACTAAATGAACTTTGACAATCAAACTCCAAACATTTAATTATTCTTTGGAGAATTAGTTCTCTACGAGTAAAAAAGGTTTAAATGATCCCTTCAAAGAAATGACAAGTCAAATCTTGGTTCAATGCTGCTAGTGAAGAATTTTGAAAATGCTCATCCCAGCTTTAAAAGGTGCATCATCCGTTTCAGGAATTGTGGTTAATCCAAAAAACGATTTCCAGACGTTGATAAACATGAAAAGTTGTTTCACTTTCGATTTTAAATTACACAATATTAGCATTCATGTGATACACCCCGAAGTCAAACTGCGGAGTTACATGCGATGAGAAAGAATTTCACAGAAGTTCCATAATTGTTAAAGACGAAACAAAGAAGAATATGGATGCATGCATAGTATAATCCGAAATCATAAGTGTCAGTGACTCAGTTGACACGTGAGATTTTATGGTGAAACTGTCAGTGATCAATCCCCAGAACCATTTGTTTACGAACCGAAAGTACAGTTTCTTCCATTATGCTATAAATGATCGCTACAATTTTCTGTGTGTGTTTCAGACAAGGTAGAACCAAGGAGTTTATAAAAACATAAAAACATGTGAAATACAATTGCAAATGTTCAAGAAAGTCACACTTGTTGTCTAACTTCTGATCCTATCGATACTATCTTATTGGTCTCTCGATTTAGAAGGAAGATTCCCTTGAGAATCATAGGAGCAAGGAGGCAACAAAAGGTAACTTTCTTGTGATACAAATAAATATAGGCCCAAACTTGAGTAAAATAGCCCACGCTTTGGGCTTTCGAACAAGAATATGGGTCCCATTTTGTCTTGGTTAATTAATCACGTTGTCTTAATTAATAAACACGTGTACATAAATCAGTTACGTGTTCGATTTGATTCGCCTCATTCGGACAGGACAGCTTCTCGATATTATTATTCCCGTCATTACCGGCGAGTTTTACAAAAACCCTAATCCAATCTGTTTTCGTGGATTTTGGGGGAAGAAGATCATCATCGTCATGGAGTTCTCTCTGATCGCCGATACAGTCTCAGTTTGCACAGTAAAACAAGGCATAGCGTTTGGGTTTCTCAATCCGGCAAATCACATTTCATTCAACGTTGATCAGTCTCATAGTGGAACCATCCAAGCATCGGCGAATAAAACAATCCGAAGGATCCGAAAGAAGAGGCGTATGAAGCACGTTTCATTTGGAGAAGACGGTGGAGATTTTGGTTGTTTTCTCTTAGAAGGCGGTGGTAACGACGGTCTATTTGGTGGTGGAGGCGGTGGGAAGGGATGGAATTACGGTTGTGGTGGTGGTGGGGGGAATTGGGATGAGTCTTTGTATTGGTCATGGTCGGATCCAGCAATGGAGTTTGTGTATGAAGTGATTTGCTGGATCGCTTTGTCTAATTGTGTACACTTTGCCTTCAAGAGGATAGTGAGGATCTTGAAAAGGGAGAAGCTTAACCTGACATTATCTCCGGTGTGCTGACATATTCATTTTTTAGGCTGCAGTTACATGTCTGAATGATCTCTAGTTTGTATATGTTTATACACATTGTACATAGATTCTCTATCATTTTGAGTTTAAGTCCTTAGAAACAAGAATGGTGAATGATGATACTGATAAGCTTAATAAACTCCATTACAGATGCCAACTTGTTGTTCATGAAAGTAACAAGAGTTTATACTATTAAGGAACTGTTATTGTCTAACTCTCAGGAGCTTTGATTACCCGAGGATGATGGTGGTTGGTTTTGGTTCCAGTTCTGCGTTGTTGTTGGCTCTCTCCTCTCCGCCTGCACAGTCTCACGGCGCCTATCGTACCTAGGCCTAGACCTATTTCTAGTTTGGCGCTGTTCAGTGAACCTGTACTGTGGTCTTGGTATCACCTTTCCTTCAATGTACAAGTCACCTGAAACATCATCACAAGAACAAATTTGGTTTAAATGATACGCTTATCCCAAATGAAACCCCAAAAAAACATTACAAACCTCCATAGTCTTTGTTTGGTACATCAAGATAAGAATCTGGTAGAACCCAGAGAACACCAGGCAATCCTGAAGAAATCACACAACACAACTCTAATTACGTATCTTTATATATATATATATATATATATATATATATATATATATATATATATCACATTCAGACAGAACAACATCAAAAGACAATAATTCACATTAAGACAGAAAAACATCAAGAGACGTTTTCTTAAAAAGGCAAATTTCAAGTGCAGCGTAGAAAAACAATTTGACAGTAGCATTCAAACTATATAAAAGCCAAAGTAACAATTGAGACAGAACAAGATCAAGAGATGTTTAAAAGTAACAACCTTTGAGTTTGCAAGAAAGCTCTTCAGAGATCAAAGCACCAAAGCCAGTGTATGTCGAAGTGCAAACCGAATAAATCTTCTTCTTTGCCTCCTCCTCACTACAACAACAACAAAAACTCAAAATCAATCAAATTCACAAAAATTCAATAATTATTAAAAAAAAGAGATTTTCACCTGCCGACAACTGAAGTTAAGGTTTTGACATAAGCATTAATCATTTCATCTTCTGTCGGTTTGGGATCAGTGAACTCCATCACAATAAGCCAATGCTCGTAATCGCACCCATCAAGAAGAATCGTCTCCTTCGGCGGACGGTTGCTCCAATTAGGAGAAGGATCGTTCAAGGGAGAGTATCCAGACCCGGATGTCTTGGGTCGGGTCGTTATGTAACACGGGCCTAATCCATTTCGGTTCGAGGAAACTTTGTCGAGTAAAGACACGGCGAATCGAGAGCGGGGAGAGAGCGTGGAAAAAGATGAATGAGAAGTGGAAGAGAGGGTTTTGTTTAGGACTGTCGTTAACTTGCGTCGCGCGGTGAAAAGAGCCATCGCCGCGGCCGGTGAGGGTTTTTTAAGCTTCTGCTCTCTTTCTTTCTTCGTGTGTTTTTTTCACTTCGGTCTTTTTTTTCAGATGCTTCGAGAAAATTAATGGGCTTAGTAGTGGGCCTTAGTTTATGATTTTTGATGTTTTTATTAGCTTGTCCAATTGTATTATTCATCTATCATAAACCAGAAGATTAGAGCATGTTTAATGTTTAATGGGAGGTTTATAGGATAGGGTTATTAACTTTTAATTAAAAAAACTAAGAACCGGCCGATTCTTAATTTTTGTAGTTAAAAGTCAAGAGACGGACTCTTATATTTCGTTAATAACTTCATCATGTGAACCTCCCATTAAACATGCTCTTAGTACTAGTAGTATTAACTATTTAGCTTAATGAAAAAACTACTTTTATTACTAGCCATCTTCTTTGAAATGTAGATATGACGTGTGAAATCAAAGCACCTAATCAAATACTACTAAAAATGAGTTGGCACACGTAGGCATACATGTGAAGAGACCTCTCACAAGTGTGTGGTTTTGATGACGCACCTCATGGACATGCTGAACTCTCCTTTGAAAATGTGATTGTCCCGGCCAAGAATATTCTCCTAGGAGAAGGAAGAGAATTAGAAATTGCTCAGGTAATAATACTATACAAGAGACAGACACAGATTCAGGAATTGTATTTATTAGTTTTCTCTCTTCGTATGCTAATATCAGGGTAGGTATAGGTCCTGGAAGGTTGCACCATTGCATGAGATTAATAGGTGCAGCAGAGCAAAGAAAGACAGAAAAGATAACATAGCCTTTATGTTCTTCATTTCCTTAAACCCCAAATATAGCATTTCAACTGGTCTCTATATAAACCCCATCGAGATCTTTTGACCCATTTGTTCAAAAATTTGCAAATACCAAACACCAAAAACCCCTCCCAAACACAAGTTATTTACAGCTAACTTTAATGATGGTATACTTTTTTTAGATGAGAATCATGATACTTGGGGTAACATAAATATAAAAAGTGATAAAAAGGACAAAAGAAATATAGAAACGATGAGAAAGTCGAGGAGGTTGCATGGTTTGTGGAGATCACATGTATCGTCTTTGAACGGTGGAATCAATATATTCTTCGCGCCTCGAAAACTAAAACTAAAAATTTGTTGTAAATAAAGTATGTAAATTATGAATGCGTATATATATACAGTGAAACCTCTTTAAATTAATACTCGATAAATTAATAATCTCTATAAACTAATAAATTTCACCGGTCCCAACTTGGGCCGTTGTAAAATATGACACATATCGATAAAATAATAAGATAATAATATTTTTAAAACTGCAATGTCAATATATGGTCCCACTAAAATCATAAATTAATAATCTAGCTATATATATTTTATATATGTACAATCTAACATTATATTGTTGATTTTATATTTACTATAAAAAATAATTTTATTTTTTAAAACATTTCAATATATTTTGATAATATTTAGTTAGAGGTTTTATATTTACTATAAAATACTTTTATTTTAAAAACAATTCAATATATTTTGATAATATTTAGTTAAATTATATCAAAAACATGTAACAATTCTATTAAAATATACACCAAATAAGATAATAAAACAATATAAAATTTAAATTTCTAAAATTTAAATAATGTACATATGCTAAAATCAAGCATATTTTTTTATTTTATAAATAAAATGGAAAAATAACAAAAAATCTAAATAAGGAAACTTTCGTAAATTAATATCTCTATAAATTAATTAAATTTCAAAGTCCCAACATTATTAATTTATAGAGGTTTTACTATATATGTATATGTATTTTATTAACGTAAGAGAGAAAGTGAAAAAGAATAGTGAGATGTTGAAGTTTTTATTCACTTCTTCTTATTTACAAAATGATTGTGAGCTGATCATTATATAGAGAGGTGAGTGGTCTTTTTGTACTTCCTCATGAAGTAAATATTTTAATAAATATCTAGAAATGGATAATCATTTTCTGCTATTTAACAAAATTATTATTTTACTTGTATACTATATCTGTATTAAGTACCACTCATGTAATGTCTATTAATTTGTGTTGGAAACACATCATAGTAATTATATAACTCTCTATACTTAGTTAATTAAAAAAATTAACATAAACCATAGTTTATTTTTATCTGAATGGTTACTAGAAAATGATATAAATTGTTTCCACTAACATAGTATGCTCATAATTATTTTATAATATCTGTGAAATATTTTATTAAAATAGTTAATTTAATGTAGGGCCATACACTGTCCGAATGGGTTTTAAAAAAAATGATAACGCTTGGCCATTTTTCATAAAGTAAAATTGGAAATATTATAGGGAAAGAAGCAAGTGAGGAATGTTGAAAATGATACAATAGACAGACTCGTTGGCTCGTTGCATTGAATTAAAAGAGCCCCACACTCTCCCCCCCCCCCAACGGCCATCTCCGTCTTCTTCGATCCCTCCACATACCCATTTTCATCCATTAAAACACTCACCTCAAAACTCCACAAGAAGAAGAATAATGTCGAACCGTTCCCCTGTTTTCCCCATCCATGACTCTCAACATTACAGCGACTATGGATTTAACTACTTTCAGGTACTATACTGTTACATTCTTGCTATGTTTTTTGAGTAATGTTTTGTCTGATGGGGGGATCTTGTTTTTTTTGATGAAAAGGTTATGGAAGAAGCGAGGAAGCATAAGAGAGAAACGTCAATGAAGTCATCCATCATCAACAGTCTTCACTTCAAGATCCAGAAACCCAAAGATGACCCGACCCGGTCCACAATGCACCACAACAACAAGAGGAAGAAACGGTGGTGGTGGAAGAAAGCTTTACCCCTTTTCAAGTGGCGTAAATGGCCAATCTCCACCGTCAATGAAGATCGTAAGGTCAGGAACTTTCGCGGTGTAACCGGTTCAATGTCGATGTCTAGTCCGGTTTACTCAATTGAGAGTAGAACCGGATCAAACACGCCGTACCGTACGACGACGAGTAGACCTATAGCGGGAACATTGACGCCGGCAAGGAAAGGTGACGTGTCGATTCCGTATTTGAGCCTACGAGAGCTTAACATAGAGCAGCAACAGAGGATCTCTATCTCTTCTTCTCCCATTTACTTGGTCACGTAAAAGTTACTATTATAGTAAATTTATTTACAGTGTGATGTTTTTAAATCTTTTTTCTGCAATTGGTGAAAGCTGTAAAGTTTCATCTGTCTCACGTGAAGCAATATTAGCTGACATTTTTTTTAATATATAGATTTTATATACAGCATGCGGCTTGTATTAACATTTTAAATTATTATTTATTTGGAATATTTTCATGTGATGGTTGAAAATCACTAGGACCGGTAAGAGTGGAGATACCTTTGTCGTGTACTACTCTTTCAACTAATATTTGAAAAGGAGCGTTACTCGTTAGTGTGTTGATTCGAACGTTGATACTTCAAAGAAATTGCCGCGCCTGCTTAACAATCACACTTTTTAGTTTATAGTTTCACATTTTTTCGTGAATTGACTACATGATAACTATATACTATGATAAAAAGTGTGGTTATATTGTATGAATGATGCTTTTAATGTCATATTTCATACACTAACTTTATCTTATTTAAACATGTAAGGATATTTGGTTAGAGCCATTGAGGGTGACTTGATTAAAGTAGGAAGGAACGTGTGTTCCACAGTGGAATCTGTATTGTATTCTATAAAGAAGTGTTTGAGCTCCACAAGTGCGTGACAATTTATCTCTTCAACGAAATGAAAATGTGGTACTTTTGTAGCCATAGTCATTGTCTTGACCATAGCTCGACTGAATCCCCTAAGAGGAACTATTTGACCTCCAAAGTTACTTGCTGTGGTGGAAACAAAGTCTAATCCTGTAACATGACTCTCAGAAGAAGCAGGATATGTTACGTTTCCTTTCTGGCCATCAAATCTACGAATATCCTCTTTCAAAACTATCCCATCTTTACCACTTCTAGTAACGACATTGATGTCTATGCCAATATCTTTTGCAAGGCTACAGACTGAAGGCGTTGATAGAGCTCCACAAGACTGTCTAGTTTTTGCTTTGAACCGCCTTGATCTACTAGAAGAGCATCATGGGCTTCTTCTACGACAAGCCTAACCAGAGTCTCTCCAACCTTGCAATAATTCATATAAACATATATATATATATACAATCAACACAAATTACATTCAATTCTAAAGAAAAAATTTCCACAAAATCTGAATGATATGCTTAGTCATAGGCTCATAGCCATATTGAACTATTCATTTATTATTATCCTCTAACCTTAATAATGTCACCTGGAGTATGTGAAATGAGAGCTACTTTCCCCTTAAAACGACTTGTTATCTCAATCGTTGCTTTATCGCTCTTCAGTGGCTGAAACTCTTCCACATGATCTCCCTCCAACAAGAGAAAGCTAGCAGCAAAAATGACTTATTCAACACTAAAACCAAAACAAGAAGCAGAGAGGGGATAAAAAAACAGAACTCATTGACAAACCATTTGAGAAGCTCACATTCAGCAATACCTTCCCCAGTTTGTGCCAGTGGCACATCAATGAACTCTCCTGCATATGAATATATGGACATGGCTTCGTTCGAAAACCAGCTTCTGCTTCCTCCTCCTCCACACCATTTCATCAACTGTCCATGTTACAAAAAATCATGATTCATGACCAACTTCTTTGATCTTTAACTTAACCACAATTCTAAACACTTCCCACTTTGTCAATCTCCTCATTTCTTAACTAAGTCCCCTGAAAAGTGAACACTTTTTCTTAACGGATCAATGTTTTTTTTTTGGTCCTTACAAGAGCTTGTCGGAAAGTATGAATCATCTCATTTACATTGTCGTTGTCTTGTATAAAAAAAAGAAAAATGGGATTTGATTCAGATCCGCCAGGTCACGTATTACTAAAACCACTAGCCAATCATAAAGAAATACAAATATATCTTTCTAAAAACGTGATTAATTCATTTTCTTATTATTTGTAATCAATGTAGAAAAGATACTACTACTGTATTTTATCCAAAAAAAAAAGAAAATTAAAAAAAAAAACTAGTGTTATACAACAAATTCACTTATTGGTCGACAAAAAAAAAACCACTTATTGAAAAACATTATTAAAGCAGCGTTTGCGTTAATAATATCATCACCTTTCTATTTATATCTTTATTTCCACGTAGAGAGAAGAATCAACGAAACACGAGCTCGAAAAATGGCTTCACGACCAAAGGGAAAGACGACGATGGAAGTTGGTGGCGATGGTGTTGCCGTCATAACAATCATCAACCCTCCCGTCAATTCTCTATCCTTCGACGGTACTCTACTCCTCTTCTATTTTTGATCTGATTGTTTGAAAATTGGGACTACTACTAGTTTAATCTCATGCTCCGTTTAGTATAGTGAGTAGCTTATAATCTCAAGAGACCTCATTTTTTTAGCATTCCAAGCAATTAACCTGTGTCGGTTACTCTGTTTTTTTGTATTATTGTGTACAGTGCTAGACAACCTCAAGAGTAATTACGAGGAAGCGTTGAGAAGGAACGATGTTAAAGCTATTGTTATTACTGGTACCGTCTTGAGATCACTCTCTTCCAAGGCAAAAACAGAAGACATTTATGTGGCTTTTGTGTGTGTGTGTGTATTTTTTTTTTTACTGCAGGTGCAAAGGGGAAGTTCTCTGGTGGTTTTGATATATCTGGTTTTGGTGAAGTTCAGAAAGGGACAAGTATGTTTCTTTCTCTTGGTGTTGGTGTCTTTGTTTGATTGTATTGGTGTTTTGTATTAATGTTTTTATTGATTTTCTTAGGGAAAGAGCAGAAGGTTGGATACTTATCAATTGACATCCTAACCGATTTGTTTGAAGGTTAATTTTCTAACGTACTGAATCCATTGGTTTAATGCAATGGTTGTGAGGATTTGATTTATTTCTTTGGATTTCAGCTGCAAAGAAACCTTCTGTCGCTGCCATTGATGGGCTTGCCTTAGGAGGAGGGTTAGAACTTGCCATGGTATAGTTTTTTTTATGTTTTCCATTTCCCTCTTAATAACTCTTCTTGTAATTGTTGAGCTTGGTGAGCATTTTCTTTTTTAGATGGGTGTTGATACAGTTTGTATGAATTCTTTTCAGACTTGCCATGCGAGGATATCAGCTCCTGGTGCACAGCTAGGTTTACCTGAGCTGCAACTCGGTGTTATTCCTGGGCTTGGAGGTTACATACTTTAATTTGTTGATTTTCAAGTCCTTAATCATGTTTTTCCATAAACAATATACGAGTTTTGATCATATAAGAGGCAAAATCTTTGACTCCTATGAACAAAATCATATGTTTTAAAACTTCGTGGCATAAGAAGTCAATACCTTTTTTTTGCATACTGAACTATGTACTGAATAAATTAAGTCATTTTTGTTGTTTTATCTTCTTAATTATACTCCTTTGGATTGATGCAGGAACACAGCGTCTTCCACGTCTTGTTGGTCTCACAAAAGCCCTTGAAATGATTTTGGTACATCAATACCTTATTTTTATGGTTTGGTTAGTCTGCTTTGGTTAAAATGTAACGTCATTTTTCTTTTCTTGAAACATATATAGACATCTAAGCCAGTTAAAGCTGAGGAAGGTCATTCATTAGGTCTTGTTGATGCTGTTGTGCCACCTGCCGAGTTACTAAACGCTGCTCGTCGCTGGGCACTTGACATAGCCGAGAGGAGAAAACCATGGGTTTGTAGTGTTTTAAAGACTGATAAGTTACCTCCTCTTGGAGAGGCAAGGGAGATACTAAAGTTTGCAAGGGAGCAGACACGTAAGCAAGCTCCCAACCTGAAACACCCCTTAATGTGCCTTGAGGCTATTGAAGTGGGTATTGTTTCTGGTCCGAGAGCTGGTTTAGTAAAGGTATACATTCCTTTTTTTTTTGTCGCTCCCTGAGACTAGTGACCCTTTACGAATTTTCACCACATTGTCACTTACAGGAGGCTCATGTTGGCTCGCAAGTGGTTAACCTGGATACTACCAAAAGCTTGATCCATGTCTTCTTTTCTCAAAGAGGAACTACAAAGGTTTGTTTCTTATGTCATTTAGATTGATATAACTATGTTTACAAGATATTAACTATTAGCATGAAAGCTTTCCCTCTATTTTTGATTCCTTCAGGTTCCTGGAGTTACTGATCGTGGGTTGGTGCCAAGGAAGATTAAAAATGTAGCCATTATTGGAGGTGGGTTAATGGGATCTGGAATAGCCACTGCATTGATCCTCAGTAACTATTCAGTGATTCTCAAAGAGGTAAATGAGAAGTTCCTGGAAGCTGGAATTGGCAGGGTCAAAGGTAAGGGTGATTTTCTCTACATTGTTTACCAATGAATTGCAGAAGCTTGATCTGACTAGTTTCATTAATTTAATCAGCTAATCTTCAGAGTCGTGTAAAGAAAGGAAGTATGTCTCAGGAAAAGTTTGACAAAACCATGTCACTCCTTAAAGGTTCTCTTGACTATGAAAGCTTCAGGGATGTGGACATGGTCATAGAGGTAATAATTAGCATACTGAAGCTGAAATTGTTTTTGTATGACTTTGCTTGATGTCTTGGTGTGGCTTGAACAGGCTGTCATTGAAAATATATCTTTGAAGCAGCAAATTTTTGCTGATCTAGAGAAGTACTGTCCTCAACATTGTATTCTTGCTAGCAACACATCTACAATTGATTTAAACAAAATTGGGGAGCAGACCAAGTCTCAGGATCGGATTGCTGGAGCACATTTTTTCAGGTAATGACTCATCCTTTAGAGTTTTAATTGAAAGAGACTTATTTTTGGAGTCATGTCTATTCATTTTCCTGATGCAGTCCAGCACATGTCATGCCACTACTTGAAATAGTTCGGACCAATCATACATCTGCCCAAGTGATTGTTGACCTGTTAGATGTTGGGAAGAAGATTAAGAAGACACCAGTTGTAGTGGGAAACTGCACAGGGTTTGCAGTTAATAGGATGTTCTTCCCATACACACAAGCAGCTATGTTCCTTGTTGAGCGTGGAACAGATCCATATCTAATCGACAGAGCAATCAGCAAGTTTGGAATGCCAATGGGTCCCTTCAGGTATATCAACATTATAATGATTCATGTCAATCTCAAACACTATTTTTTTTTTGTCGACGTCTATCTTTCAAGATCAAGTGGTAGACGGTCTTGAGACATTCCGAAGAGACGTTCTGTCCGGCTGAGTCTGATCTATATCATTTATTTAACTGTACTTTTGTTACTTGTATGAACGAGTAGATTGTGTGACCTAGTTGGATTCGGTGTGGCGGTTGCAACCGCAACACAATTCATCGAGAACTTCCCGGAACGGACAAACAAATCAATGATCATCCCACTCATGCAAGAGGACAAGAGAGCTGGTATATAACAGAAGCTAGATAATGTTTTTTTATTTAACATTCTTGTGATCTTTTCTGTTAATTTCAGGTGAAGCCACTCGTAAAGGTTTCTATCTTTATGATGATAAGCGCAAGGCTAAACCTGATCCTGAAATAAAGAAATATATTGAGAAGGCAAGAAGTGTATCAGGAGTGAGCCTTGACCCTAAGGTATGTTCAAAAATCAAGTAAATTTCTCCATTTCTATCACTGTTTTTTTTCTTCTCATTCTGATTGATTGTTGTGGCTTGCAGTTGGAGAAACTGACAGAAAAGGAGATTATTGAAATGACGTTTTTCCCAGTAGTGAATGAGGCGTGTAGAGTTTTTGCAGAAGGTATTGCTGTTAAAGCAGCAGACCTTGACATTGCTGGTATAATGGGAATGGGTTTTCCACCTTACAGGTCAGTGTTGTCATCAAGTAAATGCTGTATAAACCATTCTCGTTTTTTTATAAATTTAAATCTCTTGTAAACAGAGGGGGAATCATGTTTTGGGCTGATTCTGTTGGATCAAAGTACATTTACTCGAAGCTAGATGAGTGGTCAAAGACTTATGGTGATTTCTTCAAGCCTTGTGCTTTCTTGGCTGAAAGGGGATCTAAAGGAGCTCCTCTGGTGAGAATATATCTTTCTTTTTCTTTTTGGCTTGTAGGATTGCTATTGACAAAATCTATTTCAGCTTGGTTTATCTTACATGACTATTTATTACATAATCAAATCAACATACTAGCATGGCTGTTTCTCTTATTTTTGTAACTCAGACTATTGACTATTCCTTCATTTTTGTTGCAGAGCGCCCCCTTGGAACAATCCAGATCTCGATTGTAATGTCAGTGGTACTTTTTCTTGGTTGCTTGCATCTATTGTGTTTTCTTTACGACCACATTTACTTGCCAGAAAGCTGTGATGGTTGGCCTGCAGAGTTTAAAAATAAAGTCTCATCTCAGACAGATGAATGTGGGAGAAAGTAGAAAGTAAGTTCTGAGTAGTAGTAAGATTTGTTTATGTTATGTATAATGCTTTGTCATACAAAGCGTCAGATACATTTGTTATAAATGTTTCTTACTTGTATAAGTTGTATTATACGAATGTTAATAAGAAAATGCTTTGATCTGGATCCATAGAATCAGAGTAGTGAAGTGTGGTTAGATCCATAGATTAGCGAGTATGGTTACACCCAGGCAATGTGTAACTCAAATTTTTTATACAACGCAGGGCCTGAAACTAAAATGACTTTGAGAATTAATATGGAATGTAAATGGATATAGATGTGAACTAATTATGTGTATAATAAAATTAGAAATATTGCGTAATAATAACTAAAACATGACAGAAATGGAAGGGGACCATAAATAGCAAAAATGCAAATAAAAGATAAGACAAACAACTGTGTAATAAATTTAGACAGGAGAAAAGACACGACTAATCAAAACTTTGGACCCCCTTTTGTGTGTTTCTCTACGTCTCTACTTTCTCGATACGTTAAAGATTACATATCTTCGTGATTATAAAAATATATGCTTTGGGTTATCGTCATGTTGGTCGATTTAGATATGAGAAACAGAATATCTAAAAAATGATTAATGTGTCCCGGTCAAGCCCGACTAAACCATAACCTCTAGTTATTACACCACCGAACCCTGATCCGCTGCAGATTAAGAATAGTAATTAGCAGTATAAAACTACGGATACTTATGAACGTTGTTCTACGTGAAGTCGTGAGTATATACTATATAGTAATATATATGATAAAAATGCTCTCAATCATATAAGCTAACTCCATATTTAGACGTGGACTACGATTTAACCCTTTTATAAGTTAATTACAATGGAGAGAGAGGTCATCAAATAATAAAATGATTTTGTAAGCTTGGTTGGCACCTATCAAAAGGAAGCCGGTGAATTTCCTAATTAACAAAACTAAAGGATAAGTGATATTTAATACACTAACATGCATGGGTCCGGACTTATAAGAGCACTAACATGGGTAACAACTAGGGTATTTTGAATAGTAAATGTATTTATTTTTCCTTCTTGTCAATCATCAATGTTTATCGTCAGGCTTAAAATTGATTACTTAACTAAGCTAGTTGGTCATAAAACTTCAATGATATGAGAAAAGTGGACGACCCACAACGCCACAAGATATACGTTTCAGCTTTTTTTTTTGTGGTACAATTGAATTTAATTAAAAAGTGAAGTGAACTTAAACGATGGTTGCATCAGATTTCAGCAAATAGAATCAGAGTTGCAAGTTCGAGTTTCCATCATTGAGAGAGAACTAAAAAACATGCTTTGGGTTTTGGCTAGAAAAGTCCCTAACTTTTCTCTAAATATGCATTTCCACACAAAAATTAGGGTCTACTTAAACAACAATTGTTCTGTATAATCTTTTAAATCATCAAATCTTTAGTTTATTCATCAATTTTTTTTGGCGTCAGATTCTGACTAAAGTAAATTATCCTAAAATAGTTTAAGATGTATTTTGTTTTCAATTTATGCATTTAAACCCAACTAAAAATCCGATTCTGAATAATAATGTTCCATTTCACATTTTCACTTTCTATACACCAAATCTTCAAATAAAAAGTAAAATCTACAAAAAAAAAATAGAAAACAAAGGGGTATTCTTAACGGTACAGGTCAGAAGTTCCACGTGCACTTGGGGGATCTCGACAACGCCTTTCTCTTTCTCTTACAAACTCTCCACTCTCCTCTCTCACTCTCATCTCACTCACAAACAAGTAAACTCTCTGTCTTTCTCAAAAGAAGCTAAAAGCTCGTTCTCTCCTTCATTACACACAGAAACAGAGGAACCTGAGAGGACTCAACATTTTCTTGTTTAATCTTCTTGTAATGGTTGAACTCAAAGATCAAGACATGGTAGAAGGTATGCAATGCACAACACATCCTTACACAAAGAACCCTGGTGGTATCTGTCCACTATGTCTCCAAGAAAAGCTAGGTAAGCTAGTCACTTCTTCTTTCCCTCTCCCTAAACCAAACCACCTCTCTTCTCCTAACTCCTCCTCTCCTTCTTCCACCACCTCTTTTGCTCTATCTCTCTCATCTGGAAGCAAAGGAAGGGACAACACTAACAACAACAATAACAACCTCCCGTTTCTACTTGCCAAGAAGAAGAGTATGCTCTCAGCTTCTTCATCCTCTTCATCTTCAGCTAATCTTATCTATAAGAGAAGCAAGTCAACGGCTGCTGCTTATGGTGAGGGTTTCAACAACCAGAGGAAACGAAGTGGTTTCTGGTCGTTTCTTCACCTCTACTCTTCCAAACACCAAATCGCCACCACCACCAAAAAAGTTAGCCATTCTTCTAGGCCAAGAAACCAGAGAACAGAAACAACAGAGACACCAAAGAGGGTTGTTGTTGGTGGAGGGGGTATTGATGTGATAGTAGAGGAAGAAGATGAGAGTCCTAAGAACAAAGTAGTTGTAGAAACGCCAACAAACAGTGTTGCCAGTGGTGGTGGTGGTGGATCTTCTTTTGGGAGGAAAGTGTTGAGGTCTAGATCTGTAGGGTGTGGAAGTAAAAGCTTCTCTGGAGACTTCTTTGAGACGATCTCTAATGGGTTTGGAGATTGTGCATTGAGAAGGATTGAGTCACAGAGAGAATCCACAAAGGCTATTAGTAATGGTGGTGGTGGGGAAGCAGCAGCTGATGATCCCATGAGTGAAATGGTGAAGTGTGGTGGTATCTTTGGTGGGTTTATGATTATGACATCATCATCATCAGCATCATCAACAGTTGATCATCATCATAAGATGGGGAATAGAAGCTGGGGATGGGCTTTTGCTAGTCCAATGAGAGGAGCCAAGACTACTACTCATAGAGATCGTACGATTACAGAGTCTTCAACTATTGACAAGAACACATCTCCAAACTTGGACTCAGTTCCTTCATTAGTTGCTATGAAAAGCTAAAAGAGATACATAAAGTGTTAATCTCTAGATAATATTTCATTCATGTGTTTAGTTTTTTTTGTTCTTTGGACATTGGTTTGATCTTTTGAGTACAACTAGTAATGTAATATCACACTATGTTCTTTTTTCTTGCTATGTTCATCTTCATCATCATAAAAGCTTGAAACCACTAGGATACATTTTCTGTTTTGCCTTGTTTTTCTATGATTATGTTCTTATTAATGGTTCATTATTATCTAATTTTGTCTTGTAGTGCTATTATAATTGTAATATTACTTGTAAAAGCAGTCAACAGGTTTTAGGGCTTTGAGTATTAAATGAATGGAATCAAAAGGCCACAGCCACATGCCTTTGCACATGCATTATGATTCCAACACTAAATAGTTTTCTCTTCATTTTTTTCCTGGAGCCCCACAACTTGTACAAGTAAGACATGCAACAACAAGAAGTCAACATCTACAAAACTATTATCATCAATTGGGTTTAGATCATCAACCAGCTAATCTATGTATACCATCACACAATAGATACAAAACCAAAATACTGAGTTTTCTGTCCAACCAGAACTACAAGTTTGTAAGATGTGGGAAACATTGAAATAGTCTATAGTGACATCACAAAACTAGTAGGAATATTAACATTAACAAATTCATATTTGATAATGAGATGATATAATTAATAAGTGGATTGTTTTTTTCACAGAAGTGTTGTGTGACACCATTAATAAAATTCAGATTGATAATGAGATGATATACTGTGTGGAAGTGATGGTCGAGACAATGACATCAAAAGTGGTCCACGAAGGTGAAAAGATAAAGACGAACAATTCTGTAGAGTGACAGAAGGGAAAAAGGCTGCCTTCTGACTTAACTCTGTTCATATAAATTATTTTCATAAGTTTTATATGATTTTTGTTTGTTATTCGAGGGGACCCAAATTTGTACTTGTCATACATAATCCAAAAACCTGCAAGGAGTAGATACTCCAGACGTGACCATGTGTAGGGCTGGGCATTTTATCCGTTATATTTGATTCGATTCGTTATTCGTTTCGATTCGATCCGAAAATTCCGGATATCCGTAAACTTTCGAATCAAAGCAAATACTAAAAATCAATATCCGTTAAAATCGAAGCAAATCACAAATAGTAAAATTTTGGGAAGCGGATATCCGATCCGATCCGTAAATATATAAATATATGTATATCTTGCAAATATTTAACATTTTAAATGTATAAAATTATATAATTATTATTCTAGCATATGATTTTGAACAATTCTATTCAAATTATTACTTATATAAAGTATTACATAAAAATAAAGAAAGAAAATTATGACAATTATATTTTTTTCTTAAATTTTGTGTTATTATAATTGTAATTTAAGCTTAAAAAAATTACAAAATATATAAATTCACTAGTTCTTTTAAGTTTTATTTTATATATCATGCAAAAAAATAATTTTGCAAAGCAAAGTTGTATCAAAATTTTAAGATTATTTGTATTAATCAAAATGGATGAGATATCCGTAAATATTCGTAAATATCCGCAAATATCTATTTATTTTCTGGATATCCGTTTTTTCGGATATCCGTATTTTTTCGAAGCAAAGCAAATACCAAAATTAGATATCCGTAACATTCGAAGCAAATCACAAATACCTTAAAAAACCCGGATATCCGATCCGTGCCCACCCCTAACCATGTGAATACGATCAATTTTTCCGTTGTGAGATATTTATAAAGGAAATATTATCACTCTAGGGCAGTTTTATGTTTTTAATGTCATAAATAGACAGTTTCTACTACACAGACACTTTATCTTAACTATCTCCTCTTCCTCTCGTTAGCCTAGACTACACAGTTACCAAATCATTAACTAAAGATTTTGTTTTAGCGGGAGAAAACCTAAGCCCTTCATCTATATCCTATCCAACGTCCCATATTAAACCTCGAATAAACCTCTCTCTTTGATTAGACATATATCTGTCTGAATTATAAGCCATTGGATTTAATTTATCTTTTGTTTCAATGGACGAGATTTTATGCGTTTGTTTAAGAATTCTTCTCATCTCCATTTCCAATTTCCTACTGTTCTTCTTCTCAATCTCCACAACACTCTAGATCACTGTTTCCAAACAAAGGTTTGTCTTCTAACATACAATTAACATAATCGACCATTCATTAATCTTTGTTCTTATCCATTTTCATATTACAATGGTGGACCATACAGTCACTGTGTACACATGTACTCAATCCCCAACCCCCACACAATAGACAACCCAATCGCCCTCTTCTAGACATAATGTACACATCTACTCAATAACATGTCCACTATAACAGTCACCTAACAGTAAGAACCCAATAGCTCATGTACACATGAATTCACTTCCATGTACATTAGAACATTCATACAATACTAATTCAAACCCAACACTTGGACACTCAACCCAACACAGACTTAATGTACACATCTATATATGTACACACACACCCAAAAACCAATGTACTCCATCGCTAAACCATATCATTGATCAGTGGAACTAGTAGTATGCTTCCATCACTACTAGTTGTACAATACCATATATGATAGTGTACATACACGTGATTATCCATGTGTACGCCTATGAACTTGTATATGTCTTGTTCGAAAGCTTGGTACGCATTTTGTTAAACAACATGTACACATGTACACGTTATCACACATGTGTACACATTAGTTTCAGCTTCTTAGTGAGTGGCATTTTAGTAATTATATCTTCGTATTTCCCAGATTTTTAGGGTTTTCTGCAACACTTTTACGGCTACCATTGATTTTTTTCTCATAATCTTCCATTCTTTTACATTTTAATTGTAGGTTACACTTCAAGATCATAACTTTATCATTTATAAGTAGATTTTCAACTTTAGATTTAAAACAAAATAATGAGCTTTCTGTGAGATTTGACCATTATGTTTCAGATTCATTGTGCAACTGAAAAATGGTGGGATTTTGAGCATCACATCACCACGAGCTTACAGCACAAGGGAAATGAACTGAAGAGCACGATGTGTTGATTTACGGTGAAGAAGAAGACGAACGATAACGATTTTGGCGATCGAGCGGAGATGCGTATATGACTTGGATCGAGAGATTGAAAACTGAGATGTGAAGAAGAAGTTTTTGAAGATTTTTTATTTCTAAATTTTATTTGTTCACTCTTAGGAAAATAAACAAAAAGTTGTAAATCTGGAAAAATTGTATGAGCACTCTAGTTTGATAAAGAGATTCTAGTTAACAATAATTGGTTTCTAGTTACAAAAAACTACCCTAAGAGCATAAACTGCTCTATATTGATATTAAAAACTCAAAACTGCCTCACAATGAAATAAACTCTTTATAAAGAGCATCTTTTACATCAAAATGTAGTAGAACCCATTAAGATCTTATTCTAGTAACTATTAGTCCTTCCCTTTCACATTTTTGGTTACAAGAAAGTAAAAATGTCATTGCATTCCTGCTATCATATTAAGTAATAAGTTAGGTGAGATTCGCAAGTGTATAAATCTTGATTAAACCACATTATTTTTAATTTATAATCTTTTTAATATATCAAACTCAATGCATTTAATAGTGAAAATATTGTAAAAAGATATTTCAAATTTTCACTACCAACAGATATAACAGTCATAACACAACCACATTGTTACCATTTTGTATGTACTACACCAAAATATTTAAGCACCCATCTAACTCAGTAAGTCTCTCCAACACTATCTACATGAAAACCTTTCAAAACTAATCTCTTTTCAAAAATCACTCAGCTCTCAGTTGTAGAATCTCCTTCGCTGTCCTAACCCGAAAGTATGGCATATGTTCCTGTGCAAAAACACGCAAACATCTTTACTTTCAGTACTCTTATTCCCTCTCTCTCACAATAACAGTTTTAAGTGTTGTTTCCTGCGGTTTTACCTGAGTGAAACAAAGATCCAGACCTCTGCTATAGAAGTCCATATATTTCAGCATAAACATTCCACAATCAAATCTGCAAAATACACAGAAACAAGTTCATACACAGCTACTGTGAATGTACGAACTAGTAGAAAAGAAGATACAATACCCATTTCTCTGCTCAGGAAGCACCTGCACAAACTCTTGTCTCCATTGACTAACATCAACCTCTACTTCATTCTTGTCCCTAACTTCATCCGCAAAGTATCTAGCCTAACAAATGATTAAAAAAACTACATAATCAGGATCCATGTGAGGAGGGTAAAACATGTTTTAACTTGCTCAAATACTACCAGCGCATCGAGGATTTTAGGCTCTCTTCCTTTGAACGAGTCAAGATACTGGAATTTTCGTTCCTTTACATTGATAACTGCCAAAGTCCAGTGGATGCTCATATGTATAGGGATAAAGATCTGTCAACAAACATAAAGTGCTCTTAGACATTTGGTAAGACTATGAATGACAGCATAAGAATAATACAAAAGGTTTACCTTGTCACAATCTATGAGATGGTAGCCCAACTTCTTCATTGAAGTCCATCTTCTGACTGCACTGTAGTTATATCCAGTCCCCGATTGAACCAACTGAGATTGAATATAATTATCTCGTTTAAAGTTTCACAGAACCATAAAATTCATAGGAATGTGCAATAACCTTGGTGAAGAAAAATGTATTGAAAAAATGACATTTGATAAACTTCTTTGGTTCTCTAGCTTCCCTTTCTTTCAGCAATACCAGATACAGATTAATGACCTACACATAACAAAGTCCAAGCTTTAACTAAATCATAGAGGTTTTTAACTGGAAAAGAGTGAGTAGTGATTAACCTCATCGTTCAACCATTGACCTGGTTTAAGACACCTCAGTTTCTCCACAGTAATGTCAATATTTGAATTCTCATGTGTAACCAAGATGTTCCTGCATCCAAAGAGACAATTACAAAACAAGAACATGTAAAGAATCACTAGAGAAAGTAAACAGGAGACCAAAGAGTCAAAACCATACTGAGCATTAGCTGAGAAAGCATGCTTGACTTTAGCCACATCCTCCTTGGAAAGAGATTTAAATGGCTCACGTCCTACATCCTAGAAAATCAATCAAACAACAAAAACAACTCAAGCATCAGAAACTTTAGCCACACAAAACTATGAAGGTAAATATAGCCAGAAACCTCAACTGGTTCTTGATCTCGTATGAAAAAGAAACGCAAGCTACGCAACAAACCACGACACCTATCTCTCAAAACATCACCAAAGCCTCTAGCTTTAAGTTTACTAGTCCTATTCTCAGCACTCTTGAGAGCCTTTCTATACGCTTCAAAACTACAAACATCAGTCACAGGGAGTGAACTTTTCTCATCAACCACCATAAAGCTCCCGTTTTTCTTATTGCCATCATCTAAAGACACTTCCTTTTCACTCTCTTCCTCAACATCCATATCCACCACAACGTTCTCAACAATCTCAACCTCGTCATCATCATCATCATCAGATATAACCTCCACGTAATCAACCTCGTCGTCTTCATCAACATCAATCACTTCTCTATCCGTTCTACAGTCCAAAACCAAATCAAGTGTCTTCCTTTCTACAACTAAACCATTATCACCAGAAACTTGTTGTTTGCTGCAACGACTCTGTTTTGGCAAAGCAGAGAGACCGAACTTGCGGAGAGGGGAAGGAGCGTGGACTTGTCTACGCAGAGGAGATTTCACTTGCGGGTAACGGTGGTGGTTTCCTGGAGCCATGGCCTTAGACGAGGGTGAGAAACTAGGTTTGTGGTGGTGACTGTTCACCCCATTCATTCGTGTGAGTTGAAAGGTCAAAAATCCCAATACTCGGTAGCAAGCAAATTTTTTTTTTTTTTTTTTCATTAAAGGAGTCTCGCGACGGTCCCGAGGATGACCGGGTAAGCGGTAACCCGACCCGGTAGTTATGGTTGGATCATGGATTGGTATATGTGAAACTTCTTAACACTCTGGTTCAAGGAGAGTGTCTGGGACTTGCTTTCTATTTGGTCTAGATTGGTTAAAATATACACAAAACCTATTTTAATTGATTTACACATATTTAAACCTACTTAAATTGAGTTACACTAGACCACAGAGGTGGTTTTCATATAGTCCTTTCGTTTCGATTTATATGTCGTTGTAGGAAAAAAAAATTCGTTGTAAAACAAGTGTCGTTTTATAATTTCAATGCAAAATTTATTAATTTTATATGTTATTCTATATTTATTTGTTAAAATATAGTTAGGTGTATAAAAAAAATATGTTTTTGTCTAGAGAATAAGCAAAATTAAATATTCTTTTTATTTTGTGTGTATAAATTAATTATATAAACCTATTGAAATTGATTTACACATGTTTAGAACAATATAAACTGATCTACTCAAACTAAAATTTATTTTGGTTATTTTACTCCTTTAGAGCTATTTTTGTGAAAATAAAGTAAAAATGGTTTTGTTCAAAAAAAAAGAAAAAAAAGTAAAAATGGCTATTTAAAGAAATTTCTCTTAGAAGAATGGCCATTATTTTACTAATTATATGATCAAATTTTGACGATGTAACAAATTTTTCTTTAGTTTATTAATCTGACATATACCAAAAACATAAAATATAATGAGGTAAATTTTCATGTGGTAGTGGAAGTTCTATTTCTGATTTGTTATATGTTAATCATGTATCTCAAAATTAGTTATCTGAATCAGTGGTAGTGTTACTTCGTTTAATTTTTGTTGTCAAAAATTTGGTTTACACATTTAAACCGATTTAGAACAATTTAAACTCGTTTTCTCAAATTGGATTAAAAAAAGTATATTTTTGGTTATGGATAGAGTAAGAACTGATGCTACTAAGACCAGATATATATAGTTTCTGTAACAATTTGATGAAAACGGGTATAATAAATCTGTTACGATCTTCAGAGGTTTGGAAAATCCTGAGGCTTATGTTTCACAGAAGCGAAGCTCAATCATAAACTCTTTCTGTTTTGGTGAGTACCAAGCAACAGCCTTGGCAGAACCAAGCACTTGGAGAGCATATTCAATAGCAAACACTGTGTTATGTACAGTCACAGGGTTAACTCCGTTCTTGAGATCAATCTGAATCCCAGACTCTGCTCTCAAACTAAAAGGTCCAACAAGCTGCAACAAAAACCAGACAAGACTTATAACACAAGTAGGTGAAAACTTATGATACAGAGCATGAGAGTTATACTTCTTATACCTGTTGCTGTAGAGAAACTGATACTTCAGGGCAGATTTTCTGAAACGCTTCTAAACTAGGCTGCCGAGAATTCAAAAGCTCCTGTGCAACACTAGTGGCACCGGTAAGGAACTTTAGACCATGAGGGAAGTCTAATCTAGCGTGGAAACGGGTGAGGTCAAAGAAGAGCTTCTGAAAGTTTCCATACTGAGCTGTGAGTGATGCACGTCCTAATGCATCAGCCATGAATCCGGAGTTTACAGATGGTAAATGAAGAGAAAACCCTCCAACACCTTCAGAATCCTTCTCAGGTTTTGATCTTACTGAATTTTCACCAAACGCTGCACTCATCACACTACCTATTGAATCAAATAAAGTCATCAGTAACATCCAAAAGACCAATGCTTCTGAAATGAGTCTAAGAAACTTATCATACCGATGATTCCAGATACTGAGACATGAGGACTACTGAGAAAGATGTCATAAGGCTTGCAATTCTCCAGCTTAGGAGAGCTACCTCTCCAGAGATCCATGTTAGCTCTATAAGAAACCGCGGATTTTAGAGACAAACCAGGAAGCAGAGAAGCTGGAGGAACTACCACTTCCACATCATCATCAGAACTAAACTTCTTAGGCACTCCACTGTTATGATGCAAACATAAACGGTAACTTAGACCAGACTCAGCAGGAAGAGAAGCTAAATCAATAGCCATAGATAACGGCACATCCCAATATTCCCCATCTTTATCCACATACAGTCCAGGCCAAACCGCTTCTGCTGTCAAATTATGAAGCGGAAACTGAAAAAAAAAAAACACTAAGTAAAACTAATCACATTCTGTTTAAGAAACAACAAAAAGCAACCTCGTGACTGAAGACAGCTTTAGCTCTTGGATTCTTCTTAGGATCACATTTGTAAGTATCATAGGTAAGAAGCAGAGCATCCTCTGGTGTTAACAACAGCTCAGAGCAGAAACCTAACGCATATAAAGACTTATCCTTTAAATGCTTCCCAAGTGTGCTTAACCGAGAAGCTGACCCACGAACAAAAGCTTCACTCTTTTTCACTTCCGACACGAATCTTTGAACATCAAACTGACCCAGAAGAGACACAAACCTTGGAACATTACAAAAACACCAACATTAGGACAATAAAGGTGAGATTTTTAAGTTTTGTCAAAGTGTTACCAGTTGTTGGGGAAAGGGAAAGTGAGGACTTTTTGGAGAGAGAGGCCACCGTGGAGAGGGGAGAAGGAAGGGATGAGAGGTGTGGCCATGAAGCGGTGGAAGAACTCAGCTTGCTTAGGGCGAGAGAGACGAGTTCCTCTGGTGAGACCTAGTGGGAGAGGGTCGTTGGAAATGGCACGTGCTGTGGCTTCGAGTGTTAACGGAGTAGACATGTCTAGCTCCCATATGTCTCCCTCTCCGACCAATCTCAGTCTGTTCATCGCCGCCGCTCGGTTTCTAGATGAACCTCGAGATGACCGAACTTTTATTCGTTACTCTTTTTGGGTTTGGATTTGTTTCGGTAAACACCCTGACGTTTTTTGGTTGCATAAGGAACATGCGTGCCGTTTTACTTCGGTGGCAAATGTTGTGGGTGGTGGACTATGTTAAGTGCGAATTATATATACAAATTATTTTATGTATTATTATTTATATAGTGTTCTTTTACATATTATAAAACAAATTAAAATTCTATATATTAAATAATTGAATATTAGTAAATATTAAGTGTATAATTAAATTAGTATGCTCACATAAATAATCAAATTATAGTGTTAAAACTGTTTTTCGAGGTTTGTAAGCTTAACCCCTATAAATTTTTAAAAATTTCAAAACTCGTATTTTTTGATAGTATACTTATTTAAAGGTTTATTAACCAAATTATAGTATTGAAACTATTTAACTATCGTTTTGAAGATGTCAAAATTCGTTGTCTCCTAAGCATAATGTCAAAATTCACCAAATTTTAGAGGTCATGAGCTAAATCCTATGAACTTTTGAAAATTTTAAAAATTATACTCCTTGATAGTATATTTGTTTTAAGACCCATCAACCAAATTATTGTGCTGAAATTTCTTAACAATCGTTTTGAAAAATGTTTGTCGTCTCCTAAGGATAATGTCAAAATCCACCAAATTTTCGAGTTTGTGGGTTAATCCCTATGAATTTTTGAAAAATTAGGAAAAATGTATCCCTTGCTAGTATAAATATTTAAAGACCCATTAACCATATAGTGTTGAAACTATTTAACAACTGTTTTGAAAATGTTTCGTCGTCTCCTCAAGATAACGTCAAAATCAACAAATTTTTTGAGGTCGTGGGCTAACCCCTACAAATTTTTAAAAATTATAAAATTTTATTACTTGTTAGTATACTTATTTAAAGACCCATTAACCCAATTATTATGTTGAAACTACTTAACAATCGCTCTGCAAATGTTTCGTCGTCTTCTAAGGATAACATCAAAATCAACCAAATTTTTGAGCTCGTTGGCTAATCCTTATGAATTTTCAAAAATTTAAGAAATTGTATTCCTTGCTATTATACTTATTTAAAGACCCATTAACCAGATTATAGTGTTGAAACTACTTAAAAATCCTTTTGAAAATGTTTCATCGTCTCTTGAGGATAACATTAACATGAAATTTTGAAAATTTCAAAACATGTATTTGTTGCTAGTATACTTATTTAAAGACCTATTAACCAAATATAGTGTTGACACTATTTAACAATCCTTTTGAAAATGTTTCATCGCCTCCTAAGGATAACGTAAAAATCCACCAAATTTTCGAAGTCGTGGGCTAATCCCCATGAATTTTTGAAAAATAATAAAATTGTATTCCTTGCTAGTATACTTACTTAAAGACCCATTAACCAGATTATAGTGTTGAAACTACTTACCAACCGTTTTGAAAATGTTTCATTGTCTCCTCAGGATAACGTCAAAATCAACAAAAGTTTTGAGGTTGTGTGCTAACCACTATGAATTTTTGAAAAGTTAAAAAAATGTATTTGTTTCTAGTATACTTATTTAAAGACCCCTTAACCAAATTATTATGTTGAAACTTCTTAAAAATCGTTTTGAAAAATGTTTTGTCGTCTCCTAAGGATAACATCAAAATCCACCAAATTTTTGAGGTTGTGGGCTAATCCCTATGATTTTTTGAAAATTTTTTAAAAAAAAGTATCCCTTGCTAGTATACTTGTTTAAAGACCCATTAACCAGATTAAAGTGTTGAAACTACTTAACAATCTTTTTGAAAATGTTCCGTCGTCTCCAGCTGCTAACGTAAAAAAATCCAACTTTTTTTTTAGATCGCGAACTAACCCTTTTGAATTTTTGAAAATTTCAAAACATGTATTCCTTTCTAATATACTTATTTACAGACCCATTAATGAAAGTGTAGTGTTTAAACCGGTTAACATTCGTTTCAAAAAAATTTACTCGTCTTATGAGGATAACGTTAAATCCGCTAAAATTTTCAGAGGTCATGGGAAAATCTTTATGAATTTTTGAAAATTTCAAAACATATATTATTTGCTAGTATACATATTTAAAAATCCATTAACCAAGTTATAGTGCTGAAAATGTTTTGTCGTCTCTTCAGGATAACGTCAAAATCATTAAAATTTACGAGGTCGTGGGCCAACCCCTATGAATTTTTGAAAAATTATTAAATTGTATTACTTGTTAGTATACTTATTTAAAAACCCATAAACCAAATTATTATGTTGAAACTGTTTAACAATCGTTTTGAAAATGTTTCGTCGTCTTCTAAGGATAACATCTAAATCCACCAAATTTTCGAGGTCGTGGGTTAACCCCTATGAATTTTTGAAAATTTTAAAGCTCGTATTCCTTGATAATATACTTATTTACAGACTATAAACGAAATTATAGTGTTGAAACTGTTTAACAATGGTTTTGAAAATGTTTCGTTGTCTTCTGAAGATAACATCAAAATCAACCAATTATAATTTGGTTATTTAATAGTTACTGTGATTGTTTAATTTATTTTTCTAATATAAATTTAATAACAAGAATATAGGATATATAATTTTTTATCAAATCTTTCTTATTCTTATCATTAATTGTCATATATATATCATATTAAGTAATTTTGTAGTTTTTATTTAAGTAATGAATGAAGAGCAATAATAATAATTTATTATATATTTATATGAACCAACATTTTTTTTTTAGAAATTTTGAGAAGCAGTTTATTAATAACACGTGTCATAGCTAGAATGTTGTACTGTTCTCTTTTAATATATAGATGATTGCAATTAGAAACTTTATCACAAACTTCATTATTTCTCTATTTTATACTGTATAATGTTGTGACAAGGAAAATGGTGTATAATGTTATGGCTAAAAGCAGAACGACTAAGAAATTTCTTCTTTCCAAAAAAACATTTTTAAATATAGTTAATTAGACATTTTTAAAAAAAACTATATTTACTATATATAATTGTTAAAATATATTTTATATTTTAAAAAACAACATAACCTTCTAAAATATCATTTGTTATATATTACGAAACGAAAAATATTGATTTTTGTTTAACAATACGATAAAACAAAATTACAAAGTGAAAGTTATATATTTTTTGGTTAGTGGGGTGTTTCTTGCATGGTTCCTCTAGGATTCCAACTTGACCAGCCTTCTATAAAGAGAGTCCTTGTATTTTGAACCCTAACCAACAGACCTCACATGCTTATAATTATCCACAAGCAAAGTACATCTCTCTCTATAACACTTCTTTTTCTAAAGTAATTTTATAATGGGAGGTTCTTGGCGTTTCTTGTTTAGCTTCTTCGGCAGCTTCAAGGCATGGTTGAGGAAAAGACAAAGATCAAACCCGGCAGGAACTGACGACGAGATGTATGGTGAGGATAGTGAAGGCAACTTTTATAACTGGTACGTCGTTGAGCCGGCTATTAACCGGAAATCCACTGATTTCATCAGAAGGTTCCACGAGACTCGTGACTGATTCCATCTCATCTTTATTATTTTCTTCAGCTTCTTTAAACGTACGTAGTAGCTTGGAAGAAAATTTGTTCTTATTTCATAGTATGTGTTTCTATGTGATTCCAATAAATGTAGTTTTAATTCGATCTGTCGAGTTCTCTTTTTCTCTATTTACACTCTTATTGCGTGCACTAAAGATAATATCGAATGCTGGTTTATGTTTTGGTAAATATAATTTGATAATGCAGAAAACAAACAAATAAAATCAAATTGAATGCTTCCCCATACATTTATTTGTATGTTTGTGTGGGATGTTATTTTCGTAATATATCAGATACAGTATTAGAGTAGTGATTGTAAACAAAATAATCTACTGGAATTAAACAATTTAACTGATCATATTAACGTGACCATCTTAAGTTATTCCCCTAGGTCCAGTATCTATATAGTAACACTTCCATAGAATGAATAAGATGTCGCCTCTGAGGGAAGTTTGTGCAAGTAATTTACATGGGGCTACATATGATGATATAAAGCTGTCACTGAGAGTGGAAGGATTGATACATCGTCTTATTCATTATTTTACATGTAGTATGATGTTTGGCTACTATATGCATTCACCATTAAAGTTGAGGGTGGGTCTCTGATTATAATTTCGGCAAATAATCAGTGAATTCTTATTATAAGACGATATGCATGCACCAAATAATGGAAACCAAAACTCATTTTATTATTCAAACTTTTTGGAAAAGAAAAGTGAATTATAATGTATGTTAAAAAGAAGGAACCTTTGTAGGCACGAATCGATACGGAAGCAATGAGAATCAGTCAAAGAATGATATGCTTATAATCGAGAAGAGGATGTCTGTTTCAATAATACATGTGTCCCAAACTTTAAGACAGCTTTGAAAGCACTGCTTTGTGGTTAAGTATCCGCATTCTATATATAGGCTAGACATTTTGTTACCTTTTTAAATTTTTACTTTATTGTAAGCTTCTCGCCTTTGTTTTGTTTAGGGAACATGTCTCACCTCTTTTACTTTACCTTTATATTTGTTTTCATAATAACTTTTCTTTTTGGGTTTGTGGGTAGTTCAGGATAGGAGTATAGAATCCGTTTGGATATTTTATATTTTGGAGCAGATTTTTATATTTGTAGTTTGGGGCTCGGGTAATTCAAACCAGATTCGTTAATTTAAAATTATTTGAAAATAATATATGTATGAAAAATAATATAATATTAAGTAAACAACAAAATATGTTGTTAACCAGTGGGGCATCAAGACGGATCAATTAAGTCTACGGAGGAAGAGACAAAATTAGGTTTAGCATGATCTATGAAAATAAATAAATCAATCTAAATCATTATGGATTTACAATTATTATAAATATTTAGATATTTTGTATAGGGTATTACATGATCGGATTCGGATATCCAATAAATACACATTCAAATATTTTTATAGTTCAGGTTTTTTGGATCGGGTTCATGTTTGGTTTTCGGCATCTGGTAAAATATATATGTCTAGTTTGACTCAAAAACGAAAATCACATTTCCATTTCATTAGCAATAATAATGATGCTCGTCATTCTTTCATTTTAATATAATTGTCAGATATTATGGTTGACGTGTCATAACTGATAACGAACAAGAGATTTATTGCATGTATAAAATGATTGATCAAATGTAAGTCTCCTTAGATCCCACCAAAAAAAAATGTAAGTCTCCTTAGATTGGCTATTTGAAATGAATTAGTCAATGAATATTAATTAATACATTTTCAATTTGGCAATATATGTACCAAAGAAAACATAAAAACATCTCTACAGGACTGGCACCAATAAATTTGGAATGTGCACAGTGGAAATTAATACAAATCAATATTCGCTTTCCATATATATCCAAAGTCAAATCAATTTCTGCTTTTGACTTTGACTCAAATCTAATTAATCAAAGAGATCTCAAAACAATATAACCTTAGAAACAGCTATAAAATAGATTTCGAGACAAATGCAAAAGTAATACATTGACAATACTTTAAACATGAATTACAAGATTGGATTCATGAGCTTTCTCGTAATTTCTTCAATAATCTTCAGCGTTCTCTTGGTTCCAGGTTGGGCCCTTTATAAGCTGCACGTTTTGTCTTTTCTAATATAGCAAATCGTGAAAATATTTAATATTATATTATCATAATTCTTCTTCTTTTATGAATAAAATGTAGAAACAGTAGAAGCAGTGGAATGCCTTGGACCATGTGGACACGAGAGGCGCTGTACGGCCCTTTGCCAAAAGAAAGGATATCGACTAGGCCAATGCGTTGGTTGGGATCATCCTGATATGTGTTGTTGCATTAAATTCTAACATTATTGCATGTCCGAATGTTACGAATAAAACTTAATAATAAAGAATACACATCGTCGCCTTGATAACATGCAAGCATTTTTTTTATTTTCTTTTACAATTTGATTGACTTTTTGTTTTATTTGTTTTCTTTCTTCAAAACTCAGAAACCCTATCTTTCTCTTGGAAAATTTGGACACATCTGATTTTTTTTTGTTTGTTAACACTCAATCCTTCAATATAATATAAGTTCATGATTACATAAATGCAGAAAACGTACTGCAAAAAAGAAAAAAAAACCCCAATACATAACATGGGTCCTTAAATTTTGGAGGTCTTGGGAAAATTCTTAAAAATTTCAGTTAAAATATTTTTATAACTAATTTGGGGACCTAAAAATTTTTTTTTGAAGACCTTTGTACATATAGACTTTTTCAAAAATTTTGGGGACATAAAACAAATGTTTCAACAGGCTTAGTCCAGAACCAGCCGGTCCTGGTACAAAATAAAAGACGATAGAAACTTGGCTATATTAATACCAGTAGGTACCATTCAAACATAAACTGTGACAAACCTCAGTCCATCCAATTGGTGATTCTCAATTCAGCAGCATTCTACTAATTTCAATTAATTTTTCTTTTCTAATATCAAAAGAGAAGTGTTGTTTCTGCACCACATTCCATAGACGTTGCAGATCAAGACATTAGAAACTGAAGCACAAAATATGTCATATATGATATTAAAATTCGAACCACAAAAATCTTTGTTTTCATTTTTTTTTTGCTGCTGGTTATGATAAATTACTTTACAAACGATACACTTTGCCTAAGTGAGTTGTTGCAAAATAAAAACCAATCAACAAGAAGAGAAAACAAACATACAAGAGGTAACAATGCACAAGAGAAGAGAGGAGATTCTTGGAGCAAGAAAGTCAAGAACAAGCAAACCATCTTCTGAAAGAGAGGAATCCAGATGGTTCCGGTATATGATCTGGAGAAATCGGTTGTGTACTCGGAAGATGTTTGAAAAAAGCCTTCACAGCTCCAGCCACACCATCCTCATCCTTCATCTCCTTTGCTAACGTCTCGGCACTGCTCTTCACCTGCTCCCATTCAAATGCTCAGTTTCATTTATTAACTCAATAGCCAATGGTATTGCCATAAAATGTTGTCAAGGTATATATATTCACCTTATCGTCCAGCATAAAGTTTATGGCATCTTCAAGCTTATGGAGTGAGAATTCGTCTATTGGGATTGGTGCAGGACCTACTCCTCTAGCGTGAACTCGTTCTCCCCAAAAAGGTTGGTCTCCAAAGAAAGGCACAATAGTTGTTGGACACTGCATGTTTAACTACTAAAGTCACATCTCAAGATGCATACTATTTTTTAAGCTTACACTCAAATTAAACTATACCGCTGCTTTAAGACCTGCAGCTGTTGTTCCAGCACCACCATGATGAACCTGAAAGCAGAATAGCAACAATGTGTGACTGTGTCTTAAACAAGATGTTCAGGGACTAATCTAGGAAAAGTTGCAGAATATTATTAGGCATACCACTGCCTTGCATCTTGGGAATAACCAGTCATGTGGGACATTATCCAACAAGTAAACGAAGTCCTTGGGTTCTTTCACTGTATATGAAAGCCACATCAAACCATATATTATTATAAATAATATACCAAACAAGCAAGCATCCACAATAGAAAAGGGTAGACCTACAGTTTCCAAGGCCTCCCCATCCTTTGTTGATGATTCCTCTCTGTTTAGTTCTTTCAAGTGCTTCCACAATTATCTCAGTCATTTTCTCTGGTTCTTGGACAGGCTTTAGTAGCACCAAATAATCACAGAAAGGCACAGACATTGTTTTAATTTCTCATAAGATAAGTTAACTACAGAGTCATAGATAAAAGTTTGAGTGGAGAAAAAAAAAACTCACGAGACTACCAAAGCCAATATAAATAGGTTTGTCACCAGCTTCTAGCCACTTCACAAGTTCTTCAGGAGGTTCATAGTTTGATGCAAGATCAAGGAAGCAAAACCCCACTACATCAATTTGTGGCCCCCAATCTGAAATGGATGAAAAGTAATGAACAAAACTGCTATATAATCAATCATTAGTAAGCTAATGAGCATCGTGACAAAAAAAAAAAAAAAAGTAAGCTAATGAGCCATACAGTATACTACCTTTTGGCTTAGGGACAAGATGAGGACTCCACATATATCCATGTGGAATATTAGAGCCAGAGCCTTGTGTTCCACTTAGATATGAAACAGGACGTATCTTCAGTTTCTTTTTCCTAAGATCATTTATCATGTCCCTTATTCCAAGCCAGATCAATGAATCAACGATATGATAAGAAAGCTGAAAATTGCATTAAGAACAGAATGTTAAAAAGAAGAAGTCAAGTTTTATTAGCAAACCAATCAGAGAGTAAACAAGTCTCACTCTGTATCCTGCTGGTTGTTTGACACGTGACAAAGGGTGTGGAAACTCACTTGTTGGCCTGGATCATTTGCATAGTAGCAGAAAGATAGTGAATGATCAAAATAACATTTATTTAGGCCACAATCTGTTTGCCAATACAAAGACTTACGTCCAGGGCATGGTGAAAAATACGTGAATTGGTATCCTCAGTGCTTCTGCCACGTGTGTATGTCCTGAAATGGCATTTCCCAAACTTAGTCACCATTCCAAGTGAATCTATGATAAGTTGTGAATGGCATTACAGATGTTTAAAGAGTAGCCATT